CCACCCCCTACCCCACCGACATCCACTCAGTGAAAGATTAAATTCATCTCCCAGCATGCCTCCACCCTCTGGCCCCCTTTCTCCTTTTCAGCCACAGCCATGCTTTCACACCCTGTTATTGCCGCTCGCTCTGTGGGCCAATTTAGACGAAAATGCCCCTTCCTGGGCGAGGGGAAATGACCGTGTAATGGCTACATCCAAAATTACGAGCGGCGGGCACAGCTGGGTGGCAGCCGGGCGGCTTGGCCGACTAATTATATGCCAGCTCTCTCCCGCGGAGATGAAATCGAGAAGAGAAAACAAGTTTTGTGTTTTTTTCCCCTTCCTTTTTTTAAAAAGAGTTTAATGGGTAACTCCTACCTGACACCACTTTCTCTGACCTCGTCACAGCCCGTGAGTCGGAAACTTTCTCCGACCCGTTCACACGGCTATGACTTAAAGGATTACACAGGACCTCCACTTTCATCCTCCAGCCCCTGTGGTCTCTCTTTCCCACAATAATATCGCGATGGCACGATCGTCTAATATCGTAAAATACACCATGATATGATGAGGACATTATCACATTTGTATAATATTCCTATACAATATATTTGTACAGTATAGTTAATTACTATATATGTTTTATATAATACAACGTGGCTATGTAAAAGATCTAAACATAAATATGTCTTTAGCTGCTGTAATATAGAAGATGCACAAAACGTGTGGGAGAAGCTTGTGGGAATGAACAATGGGCTCATCATTATATTTGTTGTATGCTGTAGTACCATATATACAAACACAATGACAAAAATCCATACATTAGACCAGTGGTTCTTAACTTGGGGTGCACGCACCCCCTGGGAGTGGGGGGTGCCCTTTCTGAGTGTGCGAGACATGCCATTTTTTGTTTAGAAGGTAAACATCGAAACACAAATTGAGCACGGGCACATAAGTGCAGCTACTTTGTTTCATAAAAGCAATGTATTTATTAACTTGTAAAAAAAATAACGATTGAAAAACCAAAGGGGTGCAAGGCTACAGTAAAGGTTAAGAACCACTGCATTAGACAAATAATCAGTTCAACTGTTAATTAACTTTATGCCAAATTGGCAAGTGACTAGATTCCAGAAATCTGTGTGGTTTTGACAGGTTATTCAATAGTGCAGTGTGACTTCATTTTCACAAAGACCATATCATTGCATCTTATTTAAATGTTTATATATTGTACATACATACATACATGAATTAAAAACACAGAATAGGAATTATACACTATCAAACTAACATTTCTGCAGGGAAATAGCATGTGATGCCAACTCCCGACGTGAGAATGTAAAAGACCCTGTGGCATCATACAAAAGGACAATTCACTGCGTGCCGGTGTTATTACTCAGAATCCTCAATTTTAACATGATCTAATGCTGTATATAGCATCAGATTTTTTTTAAACACAAGAGATATGGCGCGCGTATGTATCCATTGCAAATGCTAGTTAAGGACAATGAAGTGAATTTCCATCAATTGCATGTGACTGTTGTGACCAGTTTGAATTCGAATTTAAAACTGCAACAGATTTTGCCAGATAAAATGCATGAAGGCAGTTTCCAATTCATGTGCATTTAGAACACAATTTTACATGACAATGAAAATGCTGCTTCTTCAAGCATAGACTACACACATCACTTCAAATCTGGCCATACCTTGTTCTTGAGTTTGGACAGGCATGACGATTCTCAGTGAATCTTTACAGGGTGGTCATAGAAATTGATCCATCCCAGAAAAGTCACATGGAACATCAAATATGCATTCTGACACAATTAAATTAAATGTTTTTAAAAGCAGGAGAGAGACAGAGAACGCATTGTCACAGAAACCATCTTCTGCAAGCGACATCTACAACAAAACGCAAGAACACAAACATGCGTGGTACAAAATCCAGCACTGAGAACAAAAACAATCAAACACTTGAGAATTTGTTGTGTTTAAAAACAGCTGCCTCGACGAGAGCCAATCGGGCATTACCGACACAGCGTGGTGTGCGCGTGGCCTCCCCGGGCCGTTCTGCGTGCGAGTGCCGTCGACAGCAGAAATTCGCTCCCTGCGGTGAGACGCGAAGAAATAAATAAGACGGTTCAACAAAACAGAAATGACGTGCTCACAATGCGGCGGGCTCGTCTGTCATTGTCACGTGCAAGCCACGGGCTTTATAGTGGCCAGAGGTTAGCAGGGTCCCCATTAATATGGTGGTTTCAGGAGACCGCTTGAGAAGTTATCATTATTATCATCATACAAAAATTGTGTGGGTCTATATTTGACCCCTTTACAATCCACTACTGGACGAGGGCCTCCCCACAGCGTGCGGGTCGTGAGGATTATTTGATCACCACGCTGGTCAGTAAGGTTTGGGGTGAAGGTGGGGAGCACATGTTGGAGAATAGAAGTACAGTACAAAATATGATTATTCATGCACTGCCCTCTGCTGTCCATACAGCCCACGGTCTTGCCTTTAATACTAATAATTAATTGATGGTAACACATCAAAGTATATGTTCAAGCACACTTAGCTTCTGAAATCAGGCATATTCAGGGTGATCTTGCCATCGGCCAAAAATGCCAAACTTCAAACGAACATTGGATAGCAACAATGGTCATCAGAATACGCATGCACGATGCAGTTTTTTATTTCATCAAAACATCCACGTATAAAAAAATAAGTAACTAAATTATGTATGCATGCTCTTCCTCTCTTTTAAATAATCTCATTGGTGCAGACCGTGGTTTGTTGCATTTTACCAATAATGTCCTTTCTTTAGCCAGAACAGCCTCAAGACTTTTTAGGAGGGTCCTATATTCGGATTATTAGCGTTTTAAATAAATACAGTGAGTGTTTGGCATGTGGGAGTAAACCATATTAACAAGATAAAACCCATGCATATGAGAGTGTAATATTCGAATATTTTCAGAGGTGAATATAATAATCGAATGCCAGTATTTTCATCTTTGGGTCACCTTATAATGGGAAAACAAATACCTGCCATTCCTTCTCGACTACACTGTGTGTGTGCATTGAAGCCAGGTTTCAGCCACCTTCCTGAGAAAGCATTTATTTAAATTCGTGATAATAATAAAACAATCCCCAAGATAAATGTAATACTGGTGTCTCCTTCATTGGGGATGGTTAATTGATGAGTGAAATGTTATTACAATGAGGTGAGACCACATTCAGCCAAGTCTCCTATGCAATAATACAAATTATGGTGAAACTGTACCGTAAGAGTGTATCCAGTGCTGCTTCATATAAACTACTGCGTGTGTGTATGTTAACATAGTACTGTATGAGCTTTCTGCAGGTACTCCGGTTACCTCCCACGTGTCGTAAGACGCATTAATGGAATTATCAAAAGCATTCTATTGTGCAGGGACCTTCCTGAAAAATGTCTTGAGACTCAGTGAGACTTTCCTGGATTAAAAAGGCCCTCATTATTCGTATTACAGTATGAGCATCCATACATAGCAACGTTTAAATAGGTTTATTTAGTTTTTCAACATCATGCAAATACGAATTTTTTAACAACCGTGTAAGCGAACCATCTCATGCAGCCACACTGCCCCCAAGTGGATAAATCCAATATAGCTTTTTTAATGGTCTCGTGCATACACTGCAGTACTGTACAAGATAATTGTATCGTCTCCCACATACCCTACAAATAAAGCATCTTTTCCCATTAGCTTATTGGCTTCATAAACCAATGCTATTTCTCTACGCAAGAAAACTCTGCGTCTCACTGGCAGATTCGGGAATACATCAGCGTAGGGAGGGCCTCATGCAACGCTGGAATTTATGTATCATTTATAATATCAAGAGATACCTGAGCCGGTCCTGGGCTAGTCTGGTTCATCAACCCGCACGGACCAGCATCGTCAAGTTATATCATTGCCAAACACCTATGACCGACACGGCGTGGAAGAGATTCCTTCATCCAGAGGTAAACTGATAAATGACCGTGCACAAACACTGCGTCTAACTTCAAGAGCATACGCTGGTCGTGATGTGAACTCACGAACAATTCACGTTGACACAATTCACCCGGCTCTCCATGCGTTCGAGTTTAAATACCAATTTATGGATCAACTCAACCCATCGTCCCATATACAGACACCCACCAGGTGGCGGGCAGGACCTATATTGAACTCCTTTCCCATTGTCAATCCACTGTCTCCGCAACGCATATAACAACAAATTCAACTTAGTCGCATCCCTCCGCTGTGCCGGTGTGCCACTTTCACATCTGTGAATACAATCGGCTTCATGGCTCATCGGATTCCTGCAGTGTTAAATAAATATTCTGATGAAGACCGCTTGTGTTGCGATCGAAACGTCGTGGGTTTTTTTTTGCTTTTAATTTAATTATTAATTTTATTTGAATTTTCTGTCTACGTGACATAAATATTCTGATTCTTGAAAGCAAATAGGTGGCGTGGGGTGGTGGTGGGGGGGGGGTGGTGGGGGCGGTATGGTGGGGGGGGGGGGATTTGGTGGGGGGTATAGTGGGGGGGGGGGTTGGTGGGAGGGGTGTGGTGGGGGGCGGTATGGTGGGGGGGTTTGGTGGGGGTATGGTGGGGGCGTTATGGTGGGGGGGGAGTGTGGTGAGGGGGATTTAGTCGGGGGTATAGTGGGGGGTGTGGTGGGGGGCGGTATGGTGGGGGGGGGTGTGGTGGGGGGATATGGTGGGGGGAGTGTGGTGGGGGGGGATTTGGTGGGGGGTATAGTGGGGGGGGTTTGGTGGGGGGTAAAGTGGGGGGGGGGGGGGGTTGGTGGGAGGGGTGTGGTGGGGGGCGGTATGGTGGGGGGAGGGGGGAGTGTGGTGGGGAGGGATTTGGTCGGGGGTATAGTGGGGGGGGTGTGGTGGGGGGAGTGTGGTGGGGGGGATTTGGTGGGGGGTATAGTGGGGGGGTGTGTGGTGGGGAGCGGTATGGTGGGGGCGGGGTGTAGTGGGGGGGATTTGTGGGGGGTATGGTGGGGGGGGATTTGGTGGGGGTATGGTGTGGGGGTGTATCCCAATCGGAGCGCGCCGTGTGGGCGGAGCCAACGTCCAAATTGTCCAATGGGAGGGCGCGGAGGTTGGCGCGAACCCGGCGCGCGCGAGCCTCGGTTTCCCGCGCTTCGAGTCAGCGATAACATCGCCGAGACCCCCAAAAAACAACAAACATGACATTAAACAATCCAACAAAGTAACAGCAGTGTGTAGCGACCATAATACCGCCGTGTAAAAGATACTGCATTTATTTATTCATAATATCCGCAGTAATTGATTCTCGTGTGGTTTTAAGGACCGGCTACAAAAGGGTATTTATTCTCTGAGGGGATTAAGCAACGTTACGAAGTCAGACGTTACTTTTTTTGCTTGTTAAAAGTAACACAGAGCCTCCGAGAGGCCGCGGTTATTGATTTACATGTTTTAAATATCCACATTTTTAATACGTGGAGGAGGGAGGTGCGCGATGGCAGCGGCGTCCGGACGTCAGGCGCTGAGCGACATTTCCAACCCCCAGATCCAAGGTGTCACACGTCCTCCCCTCATCCCCCAGTGTCTCATTGTCTCCTCATCCCCCAGTGTCTCCTCATCCCCCAGTGTCTCATTGTCTCCTCATCCCCCAGTGTCTCATTGTCTCCTCATCCCCCAGTGTCTCAGTGTCTCCTCATCCCCCAGTGTCTCATTGTCTCCTCATCCCCCAGTGTCTCAGTGTCTCCTCATCCCCCAGTGTCTCAGTGTCTCCTCATCCTCCGGTGTCTCCTCATCCCCCGGTGTCTCCTCATCCCCCGGTGTATCCTCATCCCCCGGTGTCTCCTCATCCCCCGGTGTCTCCTCATCCCCCGGTGTCTCCTCATCCCCCAGTGTCTCCTCATCCCCCAGTGTCTCCTCATCCCCCAGTGTCTCCTCATCCCCCAGTGTCTGCTCCCCGGTGTCTCCTCATGCCCCGGTGTCTCCTCATCTCCCAGTGTCTCCTCATCCCCCGGTGTCTCCTCATCCCCCAGTGTCTCAGTGTCTCCTCATCCCCCAGTGTCTCAGTGTCTCCTCATCCCCCGGTGTCTCCTCATCCCCCGGTGTCTCCTCATCCCCCGGTGTATCCTCATCCCCCGGTGTCTCCTCATCCCCCAGTGTCTCCTCATCCCCCGGTGTCTCCTCATCCCCCGGTGTCTCCTCATCCCCCTGTGTCTCCTCATCCCCGAGTGTCTGCTCCCCGGTGTCTCCTCATGCCCCGGTGTCTCCTCATCTCCCAGTGTCTCCTCATCCCCCGGTGTCTCCTCATCCCCCGGTGTCTCCTCATCCCCCGGTGTCTCCTCATCCCCCAGTGTCTCCTCATCCCCCGTTGTCTCCTCATCCCCCGGTGTCTCCTCATCCCCCGGTGTCTCATCCCCCAGTGTCTCCTCATCCCCCGGTGTCTCCTCACCCCCCGGTGTCTCCTCATCCCCCGGTGTCTCCTCATCCCCCAGTGTCTCATCCCCCAGTGTCTCCTCATCCCCTTTCTCTCCTTGTCCTATTGGTCTCCTCATCCCCCAGTGTCTCCTCATCCCCTTTCTCTCATTGTCCTATTGGTCTCCTCATCCCCCGGTGTCTCCTCATCCCCCGGTGTCTCGTCATCCCCCGGTGTCTCCTCATCCCCCAGTGTCTCCTCATCCCCCGGTGTCTCGTCATCCCCCGGTGTCTCCTCATCCCCTTTCTCTCCTTGTCCTATTGGTCTCCTCATCCCCCAGTCTCACCTCATCCCCCAGTGTCTCCTCATCCCCTTTCTCTCCTTGTCCTATTGGTCTCCTCATCCCCTTGTGTCTCCTCATCCCCCGGTGTCTCCTCATCCCCTGGTGTATCCTCATCCCCCGGTGTCTCCTCATCCCCCAGTGTCTCCTCATCCCCCGGTGTCTCCTCATCCCCTGGTGTCTCCTCATCCCCCGGTGTCTCCTCATCCCCCTGTGTCTCCTCATCCCCCAGTGTCTGCTCCCCGGTGTTTCCTCATGCCCCGGTGTATCCTCATCTCCCAGTGTCTCCTCATCCCCCGGTGTCTCCTCATCCCCCGGTGTCTCCTCATCCCCCGGTGTCTCCTCATCCCCCAGTGTCTCCTCATCCCCTTTCTCTCCTTGTCCTATTGGTCTCCTCATCCCCCAGTGTCTCATCCCCTTTCTCTCATTGTCCTATTGGTCTCCTCATCCCCCAGTCTCACCTCATCCCCCAGTGTCTCCTCATCCCCTTTCTCTCCTTGTCCTATTGGTCTCCTCATCCCCTTGTGTCTCCTCATCCCCCGGTGTCTCCTCATCCCCCGGTGTCTCCTCATCCCCCGGTGTCTCCTCATCCCCCGGTGTCTCCTCATCCCCCGGTGTCTCCTCATCCCCCAGTGTCTCCTCATCCCCCAGTGTCTCCTCATCCCCTTGTGTCTCCCACGCCTTGCCTCTCCCGTCTCGCCCCCATTGTTACCATTGTATTGTCCTCGTTTCCGTGATCGCATGCACCTCTGCTTGTCCATCTGGTTTCTCTGGTTTATTTGTGCCACATGTTTTTTTTTATTGTTTGTTCGTTGTAAATGTACGACCCGCCGCTACTGGACGTCTCTGAAAAAGAGTTTCATAGCTCATCGGATTCCTCCAGTGTAAATAAAGACAACGATTTGTGTCCCAGTGTCCCTCGTCCCCTTGCCCCCACATCTCATCTAGCAGTTCGGTTGTATTCTAGATTTAAAGCTTTCGTGACTGCTAGGATCCATGCTCTTTGGTTCTATTGGGTAAAGTCACGTAGGTGAAAATAAAATAACAAAAAATCACTTGATTTTTTGTTATTTTATTTTCACCTACGTGACTTTTTGTTATTTTATTTTCACCTACGTGACTTTACCCAATAGAACCAAAGAGTATAGTTCGGTTGTATGTTGAGCTGACAAAATGGTTGTATTTGTACATCTATATACACGCATTTAGTATGTGATTATACTCTAAATAAGCCTGAGGCATAGCCCCGCTAAAGAAGTGTTTTGCGTGGTCCATTTCAGAGACGCAAAGACGCTTATATGAAGATCTCCTGGACCCGACGGGATCTCCTATGACGCCCAACTCACTAAATCGGCAACGTCGGTCAAAAATTACCCCCTGTAAACCAAGAGACGAGCCCGTGGCGTGCGTTCCAAACGCAGGTAAACTGCGCTGAGCGCATTATAATCAGGTATAAGGCGTTCAGAGCAGTACCATGGTGTACCATGTCCAAAAGTGCAAATTACTCTTCAGAGCAATGTTCTTCACTAAATTGCAGAGGGGGGCCACTTTTGCCGATAAGACATCATCAGTTGGAGGGCCACCACACATTTGAAACCATTGGGGTTTGACAGACCAATGGGGCTTTTTTTGTCACATTTGTGTATTGTCAGGGGCTGCACTGAAGGACACCAGGGGCCACCAAGTGGCCCGCGGGCCTTGCAATCAAGAACACTGCTTTAGACAGTCGTACAGAAACCATAACAAAGTCAACCAACCCACTGTTTTTGTATTGCCTGTATGCAGAAACAGACCAGGGCGTCTTGTATGAGACACCTCCCTGTTCATCCCAGCGGAAGAGACTCGTCCCTTCTCAAAAGAAGCCCTTCATTGCTGACGAGACCCCTTGCAGGTGCTCTGCAACAACAGGTGACCCACCAAAACCCCATCCTCACCTTTGTTGGCATCGGCCATTGCATGCATGTCAGAATCTTGTGCAGCAGCTGAAAGAATAAAAACAGCTGAGTTTCTGTTGCCTGCAAGACTGTGCGCAGTTGTGCTTGAATTCTAGAGTTTTTGCAGGCCTGACGATCAAGAAAAAGAGGATTCCCAGCACCGAGGAGATGACGGAGCGACCGCAGCTGCAGACAATACTGGCCGCGCTGAGCAGGGATCAGCTGGTGTCGCTCATTGGCTCATTTCTCGAAAGACACCCGGAGCGAGAAGGGGTGAGTGTGATACGGCGAAGCTGTGGTATTTCTCCCGTGACTGAAAATCTCAATCCAGATAAGCCCTCATTGATGTCAAACACTTTGAGTGGATATTGCTTGGAAATTTGTTGGAAACTGATTTTTGTTGTTGTGTCTTTAGTGAGGAAACATCGAAAACTGTCGGGGGAAATCCCACGCATGCAAGGAGTCTGCAACCTGCTTGATGTACTGCCCCCTAGAGGAACCGTCTGGTATAACCAGACGAGTATTTGGCTATTAAATTCTACATAAGGCTGTTATCATGTGGCCAGGTCGCTTCTGCTAATAGCTATATCGCTCAGTGGGCCTTACCTTCTATAATTTTAAATAGTTCAATCGTTACCAAGTTTGTAAAAACCTGCACCGATTTCCGTTGTGAAAAGTTATCTGTTTGTCAAACGTGAGCTTAACTCCCTTTGCTCAAGACTTTACAAGTCCACATGCTTAAACAGTTTTGTGAACATCAGAACAGCACTCATAGTAGTTATCAGCTGTATGCTTGCAATGTCACCAATCACCCTTGAGTGTTAGTGATGGCACTCTTAAGCCACGGCAAACCAGCAATAACTTGACATTTCATTTGCAGGAACTGAGGAGCCTCATCCCAACGCCAGATGTGACCCCTCTGATAGAAAATCTTGAGAGCCTGAAGAAAACTATCTACAAATCTTTCCCCAGCTCACGGTCTGGGTCCCACCGTGATTCCTTCTGCTACAGAAGAGTAATTTCTCACCTGCAGGCTTTCAGAGTGAGCTTTGTCCTTGAAAGTTATATGACTAACATCACCAGCTTCCATCATGGACAACTCAACGCACAGTTTTCTTTTTATCACATTAAAGCATAACTAGATCACTCCAATAGGCCTATTTTATGCAAACGAGCATCACAATGTTACATGCCCCACAAGCAGTGTCCATCACATGTCAATCAAACTAAAGTTTATTAAAGCATGAATTTAGCCAAATTGTGTGAAAAAACTAATGCATTCGTGACTAGACAAACCACCAGCCCACTACTCTTGAGAACGGGTTAATCAGAGGTGTGCATGAGGTATTTTATATTTTTGCTGAAGGAAGCTTTGGATTTATTGACAGATCACATGCCAGGAGCAAGGGAAGATTCTGCTTCAGAGTCAGTTTCACGAGGCCATGCTGGACTACTCCCTCCTCGCTTGCTCCACTGTCGCAGCTCTTCCCGACTGGGATAACGTTGCCCACAACGCAGTCAAGCAGCGCTGCTTCCGAACGCTCACCATGCAGTGCATGTCTGCGCTGAGCAAAAGCACCTTCGAGAGGGAAGGATATACCCGTTTACGGAAGAGGTGATTAACAACACCATACAGTTAATCTCAAAAGAGAAGTGCTTTCATATTGGATTAGTCATTCGATCAATTGCAAGTGTCGGAATTTTGAGACGTAATCCCATTTTTCCCCCATTCCAGGTTCGAGAGTGTGTGCACCATCAACAGTGAGCTGCAGCCCTGCCTCCTGGAAGTGGAACGAAAGCTTAGCCAACTGTAACAGCTTAATGTTGCGGTGTGTGGAATAAGTCCTACCAAATATCCACTATTTAAATGTGTTGGCAGTTAAATGCAATAATTGTTTTAATGTAACATTACAAAAAAATGTATTAACTGTAAAGACTACTAAAGTCTAAATATTCACGATTTTGGCACTTTAGTGATGGTGCTTTAATTTAATGGTGTTGTTCATAATCCTCTACGTGTGAAGTTGCCCAAGTGTTAGTTTTGCTTTGGGATTTTTTTTCAAGTCGTTCCTATAAAAAAATATTTGCACAAATCCAATCTAATCAGCATGGACTGCTATAATCTAATACTCAAGCCAACATCTATGCCATGCACACGTTGCATAGGGTGATCCAGATGTCGTGACCGCAATTTAATGCTCTAAAATTTAATATTTTAAAGTAAGGTTTATTTAAAACAAATGAATATGCAAAGGAAACACGTTAGCGGTCAATTAAGTGTGGGTCACAAAGACATCCGTACGACCCTGTTCATGATTTGGCGAGTGCACAAACTAGGTGGCGCTAGATGCCTGTTGCATATATTATCTGAATGTCATGTACCTTTGTTTCAATGAACTATTTTGAAGTTTCCATGCATTCAAGCACAACCTTTACTTGTATTGAAATGTGCCATTCAAATTTTTTGTAACATTTTAATATTGAGTAGTTTATCACCTATATTAACATTGAAATGTATTAAGTGTGCCTTAACATATATTGCTTTATTCACTTTAGGAAATCCTAATGAATTGCGGATTAAAGTGGTTTCGTTTGAAAACGGCTCTGCAGGAATTACTTCTAAGTTCACCTTTAACCTGTAAACTGGGATTTTGAAAACAAAACTACATTGAACTCTTAATATATTCATGGTTCCAGCAATGCCGACTCATGAACAATTAATCTTTAAGCCACTGCTAGGCTATGAAGGTATTTTTTCACAATGTTAAGTCAAAACCTCGGGCTGGGAAACTATTTAGTTAGTCACGCAATTTTAAAAGAACTTGCTTTCAAAAAGCCAATGGAATTAGGATTGTCTACCATGCTTCATGACAAGATTTATTCCGCTGTAAAGTACACAAAGTCTTGACTTACAGCTTTCGTGACTGCAGGAATTCATATTCTCTGGGTTTATCGGCAAAGTCACGTAGATAGAAAAAAAAAAACATTAAATGAAAATAAAGTGAAAAATATATTTGCGATATTTTTATTAACACTTCATTTTGTTTACCAAAAAACCCAAAGAATATACTACACAAAATGTTTTGAAAGTCCAGAGGGTGGGGATGCTTTTCAATCTTTTATTTGTCCCATCGATTGCAGTACTGCACCCAGTGATATACTTTAGACACCCAGGATTGGCGACAGGCAGTTATCATACACTATTGACTTAGGGCTCCAGATTTTGTATGTAAACATAGGTCTGCCCTTGCAAAAGCCACCAAACGCCATAACTTAACACTTGTAAACATACCCGATTTCCAAAGCAGCTTCCAAGAACGGAGCACAAAACCTGCACCGCAGCCACCACTGGAAAAATTACCGTTGAATGTCTTTTCCTATCAGAACTCTGCAGCATCGCATTTCCCACTTCTTGAATCCCAGAGGACCTGCTTTTTTAGTCTTGACCATATGCCAGTTTGATGTAGAACACAATTGGACACACAAAAATCAAGGGTCAGTTCAAAATCAGATTATGCTTCAAATGTTTTTATTTTGAATATCAACTAAAACGTAATTATAAAAACCAGATGTAAATAGACACCAACGCTCAAAAACGTTCAGAAAAACTTGGAACTGTGGTTAAAAATACCAGTTGTGTGAAACAAAAAACTGCAGCAAAGCACAGAACGTCAACATTGCCTGGACCAATAACTAAGTTGTTGCTGTCAACAAGTTCAGAATTTATGCTGGTGTGGACTGGTACACGTTAACCCCCCCCCCGCCCCCAAAAACTCCCATCCCCCAACCCACGTGGCCAAACTTTCTAGAAACCTACATTATGGATAGGAGCCCGGCCTATCCCCCCCACAAACGAACAAATCTTAAGAAATAGCTTCGGGAAGATGGGTGGGAGGAGGTCACATACAATTGTTTCGAAGGTGAAGAGGCTGGAGAAATAGCGCTAAACTTCCAACTCAAGAAACAGCGGCTCCATTAAACTAAATAGCCGTCCCGCCAATGTGAGCCCCAAAAGCCATAGGCATCGCATTGCTAAAGTGATTTACTCACAGGCTACTTTCTAGAAAAATATTGGGTGTACCTCGGGGGAGGGGAGCAGGCACGTGGGAGAGTTGTGGCGAAATAAAGAGAATGAACGAGCAGCCTTTGGTGAAGGCAACGCGCGCGGCGTGGGATGGGTGGGCGCTGGGGGCCCCCCCTTTCGGCACAGGGTTAGGCGATTGTCTGGCTCAATGAGCAACCCGCAGCAAACCAACCACACCACCACCTCGGCCCACATCTACTCCACCAGCCAATCGCGTTCCGCTTTGCTCAAAAGACAACACGGGTCTCGCATGGCAGCCGCTCACGCGAGACTACACGGCAATGTACCCATCAGCAACGATAACAAAACTGCACACCCGAGAAATTGGCTTCATCTTTTACCATCGTTAAGCCCCCCGCTATGTAGGCAAACCTCGCTACTTTATGCAATTTCCCTCCACACAAACCACCCCCCCCACACACCTTTGCTTTTAAAGCGTGGCGACATCTTGCCCGCTGTTTTAGGCGCACGCCATTTTCCCCATAGAAACTGCGTCTCCCCTTCCCCATGTTGGGGCCACCCGAGCGGTGAACCCACCCGGGCGTTGTCGTCAAGTTGAAACGCAGAACAATCGTCATTTTGAAAACAAAATCAACCGCGGTTAAGCAAGCACGCGCAGTCACCGCTGTTGCACGCAACGAAAGCCCAAGTGGTACGCACACAAGCACGGCACGTGGGGGAAAGGAGGGGGGGCGGGGGGCACAGCAATTAACTCTTAACATCACCAACTTATAATTAACGCCACTAATCCCGATATCTCCTGGACCTCGTCAACATCAAACTCCGTTAATTCGCATCACCTCCCACCCTTAAAAACGGATTTCCCATCGTTAACCCCAAGCCCACAGAGCATCACCAGCCCCCGCGATGCCAACCATCACCCCCCCACCCCCGAAGCTTGTAGGTGAACAGTGGCAGGGACCACGGGATCTTCTCTGCTCATCATCCCACCACGCTGCCCAGTTCATGTGGTGGTGGGGGCAGCGATGGAGCGGTGCGAAGTCGGGCTGCGTTGTCGTAGAGAAAGGCGGCAGAAGAGGTCGTTTTGTCGTAGAGAATGGAGGCGGTCATAGAGAAGGTGAGGGGGGGGCATGCGCAGGGAGGAAACGCGCTCAGTACTCCTGCGACTGCGAGGACTTCTTGCCGGCCTTGCCGCCGCTGCTCGCCGCCTGGCCCGTCTTCTTGGGCAGCAGCACGGCTTGGATGTTGGGCAGTACGCCGCCCTGCGCTATGGTCACGCCGCCCAGAAGCTTGTTGAGCTCCTCGTCGTTGCGGATGGCGAGCTGCAGATGTCGGGGGATGATGCGCGTCTTCTTGTTGTCGCGTGCGGCGTTTCCCGCCAACTCGAGGATCTCGGCCGACAGGTACTCGAGCACGGCGGCCAGGTAGACGGGTGCGCCGGCGCCCACCCGCTCCGCGTAGTTGCCCTTGCGCAGGAGGCGGTGAACGCGACCCACGGGGAACTGCAGGCCCGCGCGGGAAGAACGCGACTTGGCCTTGGCGCGGGCTTTGCCACCGGTCTTGCCTCGTCCAGACATGGCTTGTGGGTTTTTCTTTTGTCTCGCTGGCCGGCCGCTGTTGCTGCAGCTGAGCGACGCCCGCCGATGAGTCGTATCGCGAAGTGGCGTGGAGTGAACCAAGCCCGCCAAATGCTCGTGTTTATATAGATTTTGGGGAGTGGGCGTGACCTCGCTCGTCGAGCCACCAATGGGAGCGCGGGTGTCGGCTCCCCGCACCCCCTCGCGTCGTGGGAGCGGGGGGGGGCGCGCGCCAGCGATCGTTGCGTTTTGGCGCCAAAAAAAAATGTTCTCATGTCGTTTAATGAAACCGACGAAACATTTTTTTCAGAGAATTAACGGCACTGCGGTGAAGTTATAAAAGAAAAAAAAGCGCTTTACAAAGTACACTTGTGCCCATAGACTTCCTAAAAAAAAGCACTTAAGTACTGTATTCTGTAATTTCTCTACAGTACGTTTCCGCCTCAATGCTTGCACTGTGCTAACAATTTGGTTAAGAAATAGCAACAAAATATCGATGCCGCATTACTACTGTATTTTCGCTCCAAATAGTTTCAATTAAAAGGTTGAAACAACCTCTTGAGGGACTAAACGTGTCGTGTTGAACTTCTTTCGCACCGTACGAAGCCAACAGTGCTAATCGCAGTACTGTACAGTAATGTTAGGATCTTGTTAAACCACACTGAACCAAGTACTCTGCACATGACTACATTTTAAGATGTTTTTAATTAAATTGCAAGCCGTTCAATAAGAGGGATAGTTTTTTTTTATCAAACTAAAAACTCCCACGACTTTAATTAACCAATTACAATCAAGAATTTGCCTAAATGCAGATACAGAAATCAAATGTGTTTGTGTCCGTTCCATGTGACCTTGCATTTCTCAGGGTGATCTCATTCAATCCTCGTGCAGTAACATTTTTTTTAATCATACCACGTCCTATAAAAGTGTCGAACCAAGATACAGATTTTTTCCTTTCACTTTATTATTCCGAACCAATTTATACCAGCTCCATAATAACCTCGGTACAGTTCCTTTTTCCGTCACCATCTCAACCACACTCACAACCGAGGTCCGACGTCTTCCTTCCACGTGGTCCACATCTCGAGTGCATTCATTCATTTTAGCAGTGGTGCACAAACACAAATTCTCATCACGTCCGTCGTGGACACACGTATATTGACTTACCTTTGGGCAATGGCTCAAAATCCAAAGGCCTTTAAAAGTTTCTTCAGAATTTTTATACAAAAAAAAACCTTTACGATTTCCTGCAACAAATTATTGAGGCGGTGCTAATCCATTTACAGCCCTGAGCCAGTGGTGTTACATTCCACATTCATGTGGCGGGGGTGAGTCTAACTACGGGACCATTTGCCGACTTCCCCACAAAGTAGTTATCTATTTTACCGAACCCAGAAGGATGATGGGCTGGCATCCCCCAACAAGGATTTTAACTTGCAACCTTCACAAACCACCTGGCTGGATCTTAAAATAGCATCCTGCTTTGGTCGAAAATGTTTTGCCAAAAGCCAATTTGCCTAGAGCAATCCTTAAATTTATCTCCAAAGCATTTACCCTCGCACGTCAAAATACTCCCCAGATTGTAAGAAATGTTCGAATTAATCCAATCGGCTACTTTGATTAGCATCTATTGCTTGGGTATTTATATTAAAAATTTTCAATGGCAGACCGACGTAAAACCCTAACATAAAGAGAACAGCCTTGTACCTCTCTGCCCCATACCGTCTTGGAGTAGGGTAGCACCCAGGAGTTCAAGACCACCCACGTTGCAGTCCATATCCATGGACTCTACACAAGTGTGTAACGGCCTCCGCAATCCGCATTGCAAGTGGAACGATTCGTCAATAAAGTCTATTAATCGACTCAATATTGTCAACTTTTTTAAAGTCAATTATTCAGGTGTCTTTAAAAATGCTGGCAAAACCGAAAATCCTGCCTCCAAAAGACAAGCCTCACTTCATCACCTCCCCATCCAGCGGCACACGTGCGAATAGAGGCATGATTTTTTTTCCCCAACCACTTCCGCGTTATTCGATGAGTTAAGTAAAACCGAACCGATCAACGGTAATCAATTCCTTAAACAATTAGATATTCCGGCTCTACCTCAGTGATGCGATGAACTCTACTCTCCATTGGTCGAACTGGGCTGCTGAAGTCAATGGGGAGGCACAGCAGAAGGGCCGCAGCGTATGTGCAGTTGGAAATGCAGATGCCGTTTCACTATAAAGGGCCAGCGTAAAGCTTGAAAGCATTTGGCAATTCAGCACAGCTGACTCATTTGACATGTTTATTTATCAATCACCAGCTTACTTTTTAAATGAACGATACAAATGAACTCACACATTACAGTTCCGCAGAATAACCAAGTTCACATGATAAACATGGATAATTACTGTATTGAAATAAAACACGTGGTTAGACAAAGTCGATTTCCAATGCTCGAATAAGTTGTTCGTGTTTTGGAAAATAAAAGTACAAAACATTGTACCAACTTTAAAATGATCACTTAGAACCAGGGAAAATATGTACCTGTCCTTATTTTAAATGCACTTGGCAAGAAAAATGTCTAAGTGAAGTCATTTGTCCAACTAGCTGGAAACAGTGTTAGCTATTTCCTTAAACATTACTAATTTATATCTCCACGCGTGGACACAATATCTTGTGTACGAATAAAAAATAGCCCACATACAAATGTGACAATTTCAAACGCTTCCAATGGCTGCATTACTTCATCCGTAGAAAGCAACACACAGGACAATGTGTGCCAATGCAACTGAATGGATTTTATTGGAAAAATGCATCACCCCTTCCTTTACCTTAAAAGTTAGAGTATGAAATAGAAGGGTACAAACTGCACACGTTTATGCAATGCAAAACGGTCTGCTCTCTTTCGCTTCTAAGTCTCCGTATCATCAGCAGCAACAGCCGAAGACTCATTCACCACCCCAAACCGCTTCTTCCTCTCTTCCAGTTGCTCTTCCTCCACCACCTCCTCCTCCTCTGCATTCTGAGCAGCGTCGTGAGGTCTTTTTAAGGATTTCGCCGCAGTTGGGGTTGCTGCATTGGCGGCGGCAGCAGCTGCTTGGTTGGCCTGGTGATGCAACGCTTTGACCATGGCCTGCAGGTGCAGCGGCGGATGGAAGTATCGGCACTTTGGGCGCATGCAACGGGCCATGACGAAGTCCATGCACACAGTGACTCGACCATCAACTGGATCCATCAGCTTCAGCTCGGGGGGGTGTGCCAGCCGACAGCTGGTGTTCAACAGCGGGCAGCTGCCACGCAAGAATTCCGTGCACACTTCCAGCTTGTCAGGACGGAGTGGGGTCTGCGTGCCGAGCTGCAGGGATGCAGCTGCTTGCATTGCGTTCATCACGAGCGTGGCATAGGCAGTAGGGACCCCGGCCGCTTTGGCCAGGATTTCCGGCGAGGGATAGGTCACCGCCGGGGTCAGCGAAGAAGCAAGGTAATTCCCATAGGACAAAGAAGACGCAGCCTGGGGTTGCGCACTCAGCTGCGGGTACGGGTGCACGGGGGCGAGCATGGAGGGAGCCGTCATCTGCATTTGCGAAATCGCCGTGACATTCTTTTGTTGGATCCCATGATTTTTTCCACTGATCTCGAGCTGCATCTTGAAATGCTTGGGCGGGTGGAAATACTTGCAGTTCTCGCGTGTGCAGCGCCCCTTGACGAAGTCGAAGCAGGCTATGACGCGGCCGTGGGGGGCGGTGACGTGTTTGGGTGGGTGTGCGTAGCGGCACTCGTCCTCCGTGCGCGAGCACGTGCCCCTCTGGAAGTCGCGGCACACCTCCAGCATGAGCCAGTTGTTGTCGCGGGAGCCAGCCTGGTTCGAGACGGTGACCGCCAGCGCCACGTCACTGTTCATGCTCCCTTCTTCGAAGAGACCAGCCCCGCTCCCTCCTATTGGGAGTTGAGCCCTCTTGGTGCCTCCTACTGTTAAGAGAAAAAATATTGCAAATATTTTAAATATTTTATTTTTTTATTATTGTAATAAAGGGAAGTCTTGCCAATATATCCAATAACTAATTCTGCATCTAAGGTATATTATGCTGTTGAGAAGAAACAATACATTCTGACTTTCCCTCACTTTCACAAACGAGCAGTTATTTGGCTAATGCTACAATAATGCCTGGTGATCTCCTCTCTGCATCACCATTCCCACATCTTCCTTTGACCCAAAGGAAGTGTGCAAACTCTCTCCTCGTGTCTCTTTTCTTGTCTCTTAAAAAGTGCCTCAATTAGACAATAATAATGTATTGAGGCTCAAATAGTGGCTCCATTGGAAAGAGGCACAGGCAACCCTTTTAGCTATTTTGCCAGTTTTCTATAGGGCAAGTCCGTTATCGCAACACTTCATACTAAAATGTATATTATATTAAATCATCTTCATGGGCATTGCCATGACCCCAAATTACAGAAAGACAGACATATAGACAAGAGCGAAAGCATTAAACCTTGGTCGAAAAGTGTTAAGAACTAATCGGAATAACCTGCTGAATGGTGAGGTCCTCCTGCACCGGCCGGCGTTGCGAGGTGAGGCGGCGCATGGAGATACTTGCAGTTCTCGCGCGAGCAGCGCCCCTTGAGGAAGTCGAAGCAGGCTATGACGCGCCCGTTGGAGATGTTCACGTGCTGCGGTGGATGCGCGTAGCGGCATTCCTCCGCCGTGCGCGAGCACGAGCTCCTCTGGAACTCGCGGCACACCTCCAGCAGCAGCCAGTTGGTGTCGCGGGACGCCAGGCTAACAGAATCCATGTTGTTCTCGTCGCTGTACATGAGTCCTTCGAGGTGAGCGCCCACACTGGGTACTGCTGTAAGGATGCACCGACTATTTGTAAGCATTCAAGTAATTTATAACAAATATATCATTTTTTAATAATCAAGCTTTCTAATACAAGCACCTCTTGTCTTATCTGCATGCACATACACCGATTCTGCATTGGTGTAAATAATGCTACTTGGGAATAAACCTCCATCAAATTACCACTATCCCTCACCTCAAGTAACAGTGTAATCGGCTAATGCTACATTAACCCCTGGCGAGTCTCTGACCTATCCTGACATTTTCTCTGGGTTTTCACCTGATGTCACAATTACTTCTACTTCCTCACTCAATACAAAACCATGCGTGTCTGTCCTGGTGTCTCCTAGTCCTCATACCTCTCTCCCCTCGTGTAACACTCTCATTGTCCTCTCGTGTCTCACTCTATTCGTGTATCTCATGTCTATCATTGTACGTCTCTCATCTATCACCGTAAAGCCTTGTACATGTCTTCTCATGCGTTTCAGGTCTCCGTACGTATAGAATTTGTCCGTTTATAAATGTATATGTGAAGGTGCATGTGTGCCACCACTCCAGCCCAATATCATTAATATATCATCAACATCATGTACAAATAGGTTACAATATAATGTTAAAGGCCTAGCTGTGAGCTTTACCGGCTTCTGCTGCACTGCAAGCTCTTTCCCCCAGCAGCAGTTGACAGTCGGCTCCGAAAATCTGAACGTCTCCTCACCGTCGAAAATTCTTCCTCCAATTTAAGACAAATTGTCCACGTCTGAGTCACATACAACACACAAATTTAATAAGATACCATCCGAGGCAAATGTGACTTCATCCATGATATTTAGAACAGCTAAAATGTGCGTATGATATTTGATCTAAGTATTAATTCACACACTTACAAATTAATCCCAGTTACGTTTAGATCTCTCTGATAAATATAACGTACACGTACATCCTATCCTGAAGAGGGCATTTGCCACAATCACAGAGACTAAATAAATTATTCTAAAGAACTGGTAAACCACTGAATTTTCCCTCCTAATAAACCTGGAAATACAATTCTTTAAATGGCTACCATTGAACGCTGGGAACCTTTTTCCACATGGTACGGAACCTTTTGTTAAAATCTTAAATAAAACGCGCATTGCTGTATATAAATTGGTTATATAACTTGCCTTCCGTTATCAAAGAAAATACTTACTCAAGGCATCACCACTGCCATATAGCAGAAGTATATATATAAAATTGACAAACATTTTCAGGTTTGATGACAAGCTCTCATGGTCAGTTCTGAAGAGAAATAACAGAGGCTGGCGCTGTATTGTCAAATGAGAACTATCCAGAAAGCATAAGCTATGAAAAATCACAGAAAAATGGAAGTAGGCTAAATATCAATGTGGTTGAACAATAGCCCAAGCAGTTGAGAGTTCAAATATGTGGAAAGTCGGCAGATACTCGACTAAGATCATGCGAACTGCAGCATCGGTTCGGTTTGTACGATTTCACGTATGTGTGACTCCCTAATTTCTACCCAAAATTCACGATGTGGTTTTAATCCAGTCACGTGTGGATATGCGGTCGGTCGTGGAACAACATTGAGAGTACTACATGTGCTACTCTTGTTTGGTTTTGCTTTGTGCGCCACTTTTCTTGAAACGCACCTATCGCATAAAGCAAGGGAAACCTCTTATATATTTCAAAAGCTGTGTAGAAGATAGACGAACAGGTAATTGAAGGAAATACGGTGTACACATCGTCGCATGGAGCGACGCGTTATATTCGGTAAAGACATGAAGCCAACAGATTAGTGTGGTTGGCTACGTATGGTGTGAAATAAGTTCAGCATACATACATACAGAATAATGTGAACATATCAGGTGTAAATGGGATGTCAAATATAAAGATTGTCTCAATTTGGCGGAAACCGAGTAATGAGGAAGTGTTAGTGGTTTCAGGAGTACATATATCTAATAGGAACACTTTATAGAAAGCAAAACACCTGGATTGGGCATACGGTCACTAGGGATGGCTTGCTGAAGGAAGCTGTACAAGGAAGTTGTGAAAGAGGCCAACAGGAAGGAAGGAGAAGACACATGCTCTACGTGGTGAAAGGGGCATTACGATAGGAAGAGGAAATCACAAAATCAGAGTGGAAGGAACTTGAACAAATAAGAACAGGGCATTGGAGCAGAGAACCGAGTGGAATGTTTTGAACAATGCTCCTACTTGGCAGGAAGATTTCATTGTATGTACATATAAAAATGGCAATTATTTTTCCAGAAAAGACCCGATGAGCAAAATCTGCATAGGAACGTTTGGCCAATTCCTTATTTTAAGTGTTTGTAGTCAAATGGGAGGAATGCAGAGGGTTTGACACTCAGCGATTCCACCAATAATACAAAGTTCTATCTCGTACCAAGTGGCCAGCCGTCCAAGTACTGCACTAGCCAGACTTAATCCTATCTTTGCATTCTAATTATTACGAAAAAGCCCCCATAAAAAAAACCCTCGGATATAAAACCACTGCATTGTGACATCTTTTTGCTGAATGCAATAGTAAGGACCGTATATACGCATTGAAAAATGACGATTCTTTTGATTTATAAAAGCTAGCATAGTCCTTTCAGGTTATATAACGCTTAACGGACGTCCTCTTAAGCCAAGCCGCACTGACCGGCGTGGTGAAGTATGGTCACACAATCCTCCCACCCCATTATGATCGGACAACGGCGTGATGAATTTCACTCCAGCAGTGTTGGTGACACCACGGCCTGCGAGCGAGTTGACGTGCTGAGCATGGCAAACGCATATCTTATTACATACAATACTGGTGGTTCATATATATACACACACGCACACATGCATACATTGCACTGTTTGCAACATATATAGATGTTGCAGGGTGCGATACAACAGGCAAAACAATCTCTCCGTATGGCCTTGGACGGGAGTGTTAAGCGAGCACCTACAATGCCATGCACGCCACTGTACGGCAGAAATTACACTCGGTCGTAACCACAAGCACTCTCAATTTAAAACACACGCGTACACACAGTTGCAGACCGGGCACAAATGAGAACAACGGTCCCAACACAACTCGTCAATAGCAAGGCCCTCGCGTTAGAACAGCAACAACAACAATAAACCAAGCGAAACAAGTAACGATATGGCGGGATAATAAAAAGGTGGTCTCTCTCTCTTCTCGGGGTTGGGATCTGGGCCTTCGAAAGATGCGGAGGTGAAAGCAACTCGGGCGGGCGTCTCCCAGCAAAACGGCGTTGGCGAGCAGCGCGATCTCGTACGACGTCGTTCTTTCCCGCCTGGGAATCGCCTTCAAGGTATTAACGAGACGACGTTTCGCAGCCCCCTTCCGTCTTGGCTCCGCGTTAAGGCCGTGAGCCCGAAGCGTCACGGCGGAGCAATGGGAGAGAGATGGGGGGGGGGTGGTGGTGGTGGTGGTCATCGTCCGAAACGTCGCCTATCACACACACCGCACGTACCCTTATCAACGAATGTAACGTTTTTTGTTGTTGTAGGTTTTAGTGATAAGATTTATATTTTGTGAAAACGCGGCCGAGTTGAAAACCATAGCACACACGCGCACGCGAGATTTCAATTCGCACCGCGGATGCGCACGGGAACGGGTGGTGGGGGGGGAGGGGTCCCATTTAAAAACCGTAGCGCGGATAAGCGGCCGCGGCCGTCCGCCCGCAACAAGCACGAGGAGCCTCCCCCCGCCCATCGAGAGCGAAATTAAAACAAAATCCGCCGTCGCGACTCGATCTAAAACAAATCGTCAACGACACAAAACGCCGTCTGCTCGCTCGCTCGCTACGTACACAGAGACACACAACGACAAGGGGGATGACGAAGGGAAGTAATTCGATGTTACGGGACGGGTCTCGACTTGCCGTGAAAGGGCCCCCAGCCCGTTGACGGCGCGGCTCTCTCTCTCTCTCTACGACACGCACGCCTCTCTCACGCGAAACACTCTCTTCGCTATCACACACATACACACACATACACGACTACTAACTACTCCACTCTCTCACGCGAGCACACCACCACCATCCACCACCCCCCAAGTGGTGAGGCTTCAAACCTTTCCTCGCAGCGAGGCAGAAAATGAGAGACGGAGAGAAGATGGGGAGGGTTCCTTTTTGTGTGTCTGTGTGTGTGTGGTGGTGGTGGGGGAGGAAGGGTTCCTTCTCTTCCCTCACCGCGCCGACCCCCAAAGCAATCGCGCGAACAAAACGCCCCGGGGGCCGCGGAGAGAGCGAGGGAGGCGCCGAGGCGTGCGTGAAGGGCCCGCTCCAGGGGCGTCTTTGCCTCGCGAAACGAGACCCCGACGCGTGAACAAAACAACAACCACCACCATCGTGGTCGTGGTTCAGGGCACCCAAAGCCATTCGACCCACGCCGCCGGTCGGCGAGCGGGGAAGGAGTTTGCCTCGCCGCGTTTGGAATTCGACGTGAAAAATAAGGTGAGGCCGCATCATCATCGTCTTCTTATTGTTGTTGTTTGTTGTTGTTCAGTGTTCTTCAGTTCTTCTCGTTCGGCGTTTTGTAGAATTCGACGTGAAATAATGTGGGCCGCTTCTTCATCAGTGTTCTAAAGTGTGCTTAAAATGTTTGTAGAATATCGACGCGAAATAAGGGCGAGCCGTTTTTTCTGTGTTCTTCGGTTCTTCTTAAGTGTTTGTGGAATTCGACGTGAAATAAGCTGAGCCGCTTCATCATCTGTGTTCAGCGTTCATTTCTTCAGTGTTTGTAGGATATGGACGTGAAATAAGGGCGAGCTTCGGTGTCCTTCAGTTCTTCTTGTCAAAGCGTTCTTCAGCGTTTGTAGAATATCGACGTGCAATAAGGGTGAGCCGCTTCTTCTTCTCCGCCTCTTAATTGTTCCACGTCGTTTGAAAGGGTGAGATCACACCAAGAGGATATGGCGTTGGAAGTAGTGGGTGATGTTGTTGAGCACTTGGCAGCTGCTGTCTGCCGTGCTTCTGAGGAGTTTTGTTTGAAGTGATTTTGCAGTCGAATAGTTATCGGCACCGTCATCACATTTGAGATCGTCGGCAGCTTTATGGACAACCAGCTAATGGCATGGCTATCAAGCACGTTCAATCAATCACCACTGTCTTTATTACGACCACCACCATCACCTCTGTTACCAAAGCATCATCATGGCCAGTACCAGCAACAACATCATCACTGTAAACTTACCAACCTCATCATTATTGATGTCACATTATCAAACTCACCATCATTGCTACTGTAGTGTCGTGCGTTTCTTGCTCGAGGCTTGTGTGACGTGCGTCGCACACACACTCAGTCGGAGACGAGGTAGTCGCAGGAGGCACCGTCTCTCTTTTATTGTGTTCACGCCACCAACTCGGGCCCCCTCTCTCTCACGACCACGCTGCCGCACGACCTGTCCCAGACACGGCCCTGTCCCAGACACGGCTCTGTCCCAGACACAGCTCTGTCCCAGACACGGCCCGTCCCAGACACGGCCCCGTCCCAGACACAACCCTGTCCCGTCCCAGACACGACCCTGTCCCAGAAAGGACCCTGTCCCAGACACGGCCCCGTCCCAGACACGGCCCCGTCCCAGACACGGCCCTGTCCGCGTTGCACCGACGGCGTCGACCGGGACAGCCAACCGCTGTCCGGCCGCGTAACGATCGGGCGAAGGCGGCGGTGACGAGGGCAGCGATCGACGGCGACGACGAGACGAGTCCAATCCCAGAACCGGCAGCCCGGAGCTTTCGCTCTCCACTGCGTTTATTCACCTCGGCGTGGCTTGGCTCCGTCCTAGCCGCCCGCGCCTCTCTTCTCGAACCCGCCAGAGGTTTCAGGGGCCTCCCCACGAGGTCTACCGTGACCCTTGCCCCAGTTCCTCCGCCCTGCCGGCACACACGCACCGTGTATATGCTCAATGGCGTGTGCGCTAAGTGCCCACCTGCAGTTGCAGGTGCTGTACAACAGTCGGTGCTGTGTCACTACACTACGATAAATGCACCATTATCACCAACAACAGCAACACCGTCTTCACATGGTCATCAGTGTTTTCACTGTCATGATCACCACTATCATGAAAATCATCATTACCACCATAATCTCTATTATAACCTAGCATCACTGTCACTACCATCAACATGACCACAATCACCTGGTTATTACCACCACCACTAGCATCACCAAACATCATTATCTTCGCTAACATCATCGCCACTACCATCACCACCACCACTACCATCGTCACTACTAGCAGTTGATGTACGAGCTGAGGTCATTCCGATGTGCTTTCAGAATATTTATACTGGAGGAATCCGATGATCTCTTTTTCACAGATGTCTAGTAGGGAGCAAACCAGAACGTTACAACAAACAATACAAAAACACGATCAGAGTGCAAAGTATAGGAAAGGTAAACAAATCACTTGAAAAATGTATAGAAATAAAACTAAACTTTTATCTTTTTGAAAGGTAAACTAATCGCTTAAAATATATAGAAATAAAACAAAACTTTGTATCTTACCAGGTAAGGCCCACTGAGCCATTATCATTCGACCTGATCCTACTGTGTATTGTTCTGCATGATGTCCGACGTTTTCCTCCATGTGCTGGAAGCTTCATGAGGAAGTTGTAATTTTTAGCCGAGACGTCCAATCGAAGTTTGAGCAATCACAAAGGTTGGGTGACCCCCGAGAGGCTTGACATTCGTTTCATCCACAGGGAAGGATTGAGCCGCGAGGATGGACAGCGAGCTGGCTCGGGACGGGCGCCTCCTGGAGCTGGTGGACGAGGACTGGAGAGAGGACCTCCTTCCGCAAGAGGACGTGGATGTGCCCCTGGTGACCTGCGTCCACCCCGCACCCCCATACCCTTCCCCCAGCCGCACAGTTCCCGATCGTTCCTTCTGGCTCTGACATTCTGCCTCGAAGATACTGGTCGTGGAACCATCAGAATCATCAGAATGTTTATACTGGAGGAATCCGATGAGCAATAAATCTCGTTCTGCACAGATGTCCATCAACCCTCATCAGGACATCATCAACAGACCGATGCACAAATCTCCTTCATAAATGGAGAATTTCAGGCACAAGCCGTCAGTAGTGTCATTGTGGCCATGCAACCCAAACTATGGACCAAATAGTAAACCACTGTTGTCTGTGCTCCTTCAGTGAACTCTGTCCCGAAGCCTTTACATGGCTAGAAGACCTCGACATTGGCATATAGCTCCTGCACATATTATCGTACGCAAGATTAAAATAGTTCCCAATCGTTCATCGCACTGATGTAGCGTTGCATGGTTAGCATGAGCCCTTGGTGCAAGGAATCAAATAAGGCAACACCCTAAACAACATCCACTCCTCTAAGTGGTCTTTTATTTAAAATGTATTTATTATATCTCACCAGGAAAAAAATCCTTAATGGAACATCTCGTTTTTAATGGTGTCACCTGACACATACATCGCAAACCCACAATAGCTACTCCACCGTCACAGTGCCTTCGTTCCCTGTTGTGGTCGGTGTCACTAATTTACATGAGGAGGGGGGACTAGTGGGAAACAGAGGGCTGCTATAGCCGTGGGGACAGGACATTAGGCAGCGAAGGTTAACACTTGCCGAGCACGCTGGTTCGTTTTTTTTGCCTCGGATCCACCTCAGAAATAGGATCTGTCTGATTATGTGAGTAAATACATTAATGATACATACGTTGTTACCAATGGAAATATACTTTTGTATGGCAAGGTAAAATTTGTAACGTGTGTATGGATGTTAAGCCATTTAATTACCTCTTTGGAGGCTTGGTGGACATTAGTGATTGTTTCCGCTAATCGGTGATGGGGGGCATTGTTAGATTATGCGATCGACCATCACTCACCATTATGATTAAGCAAGGCATGTTTTTGGACCCCTCTGCCCAAAAGGGATTTTAGTGAGGGGCTAATGTGTATTGTTCACCCCATTTGGTGGGAAGGTAGTTCAGTTTCTATCCCCGTGGTGCTGCCTGTGTCCTTAATAATCTTGCAAAGCTGGGAAAGGCTTGAACGGGCACAGCTGCACCTCAGGGGGAGGAACATTGCTTGCTTCCTGTCCAAGTACCGTACAGTTACCGTAAGACTGTATGATGCAGGGCTTGTATTATCAGATGAAAATTTGACCTTGTTGATCTCTAGGGCAAAGAGCATTTTCCAGTCAAATAACCATACAGATTTTTGAAGCTGCAGAAAGTTGCAGTTAAAAAAAAAGATTGATAAGCACGGGCTCAAAGGTGCAAAAAGCCAAAGGGGATCGGCAACAAACAGCATTATCCAAATTTTTATTTAAAGCTTTCGTGACTGCAGGGATTCATATTCTTGGTTCTTTCGGTAAAGTCATGTAGAAGGGAAACAAAATAATAAAAATATAAAATAAAATTATCACGACGTTTCGACTGCAACACAAGCAATCATCATCAGGTGTGAAAACCAATACGTATCTATCAATGCAGTCAAGAGGATGTTAAAGACCTACGAAATTTTCAGCAGTAGACCATTGTCTGCAAGCATATCAATTCATTCCCATTTTGGTATGTTTTTTTCACAACTAAACTGAATAATTAGTGAGTCTCCCTTGCTAGAGATTCATATTCTTGATGAACTTCTGTCTGGTTTAAAAACCTACTGATTTCCACCTAAATGTAATATTACCATCTCAATGGAATCTCGAATAAATTAATTATTTTAAATAACAGAAGGAAGTTAATTTATCTTGCCAACGGTTTACGCTCATTTACAAGTGGAGGTGTAACGAATGGACTTTTAACCTGCGCTGTGCTACGCATGTGTGTGTGTGTGTTTGCGATATGTTCTGCCTATGCAGATGGAGTTGCCGGAGCCTGACCAAGACAACGGTCACGTGACGGAGTCCGTGCGGGAGCAGGAGATGAAGTGGACCGACCTGGCCCTGCAGAACCTGCACGAAAGCATGCCCCAGTCTGCGGCCAACTGACCAAGTCGGGGCTCCGTAAAAGATCTCCAAACTCAAGCAATTGCTCGGATCGGTGATTCTGGCCATGTTTTCTAGAGCGTTGTTTCTCAACTCCAGTGGTTCACAAGGTCCCCCACGATACCGCCTTTTTGTGATTGCAATCATTGCTGTTCGTATGCATTTAAGCCACTGCAGGCTGCCAACATCTGATTGTTTTTTAACCATTGGGGGGTCGTGAGGACTGCAGTTGAGAATCGCTGAACCAGAGTGAGTAGATAACGATTCCGACTGCCCCTCCCCCCAAGATTGAACGAGTGGCGACAATTCGAATGAGAAGTAGATATTTAGTTTTGCTTGATTTTTTTTTCTCTCTCATCTGTAGTGTCATTACGTTAGCCTGAAGTTGAAATGTGCACATCTTTATCATGTGTGTGAATTGTAAAATAATAGATTCTCACATGCATGGTTAACTCCACTGCATTTTTCATGAGCATAAGCATTTATGTTAATAAATCAATAGTTTAATCATAACTAAGTACATGAAATGGCGAGCTTTCGGCTTTGCAACAACTGCATCAATAGCAATCCCTTTCTAGATTTGAAGCTTTCGTGACTGCAAGGATCCATACTCTTTGGTTACCTATGTGACTTTACCGAATAGAACCAAAGAGTATAGCAATCCCTTTGTTTTATTGTGTAACTGGATGGGTTATTTTCACGTCAGATTATTTGATACCTGTAATGCAGAATAAAGGTACACGGGAATGCAGCTGCCAACAGAGCACTGATAAGTACTTCCAGAGTAATTTTCTCCAGTCGCATTTGTTGAACCAATGCTTCGCGGTCGCCAAGTGTTATGGGCCAGGTCCACCCTCCACAATGCAAGGACCTAAAAAGTGGATTTGCAGCAGAGCATGGTATACAGTGTAATTGGGTTTAAAGCTATCGAAGTTTAATATTTGGCTCGATTAGGAATTAAAAATGGGTCCGATTTGGCTGACAACCGTAGACACGATTTCATTGTTTACAATTCAACAAAAGCGACCAGGCATTGTAATGAAAACGGATAAAAGTGTCGAAACAGTATTTAACATTTTATTAAGAATACAAATGCTGTAGTTAGGTGCATGTCAACACGTTATGCAATAGTGTACAGTGGCACATTAACTGCAGCAGATATGTAACGAGTACTTTAAATTGACAACTTATGGCTCTAAGATTTAAAAAAATAATACGTATGCTTCATACACTAAATATAAAATGTGTCAAGGACAATGTTACCTTGGTGAATGAGCATAACAATGGAATTCAGGTAACAGAACATTTTTATCTTATGTGTCGTAACATAAGTGGCCATAACCTGAATACCTTCTAGTATTTATGTTTTTATACTTAAATTTGCTCGCTGCTTATTGAAACATACGCGTTATTTACAATAAACATAACGTAAATAGCCTACGGTATGTGTGTGTTTACAATCTGCACAAGTACTTTTATACTGACAACCTTATGTGAGTGAATCTTATGGCGGGACCCCGGGAAGTAAAAATCGTAATTAAAGAATGTATTTATTTTTGGCGACTCCGCGTCACCGCGCACATAAACGCCGCGACCCACCTGACACGGATCAGTCTGTTGTCGTCCAAGCGCAGCGAAGACGAATGCGCAGAAGAGCTGAACAAGCGAATGCACTCCATGCTCGGGTATGGGCAGAATCATAAGTCTTATCCAAGGCTGCTCAAACTGCCTACACGACTTAAGTCCTTTATTTGTGATAACGGTATGCATAATACACTGAAACTGCTCTCTTATCGTCATTATTATTTGTGATCTACCAATGTCTGCAGCCTGGATCAATCGATGACAATCCTATATTACCTGCAGATATTTAACAGATGAGATGCTTTGCACCGTTAATTCCTCCTGTTTGATAATACTTCTGTTGTCCGTATGCATCTGTGCAGATGGGTTTTTTTTGTTGCGGTTAAGCCATCGTCCCCACATACCGCTCGTATCAATGCGTATAAGAGGAGTGGCAACCCACTATGTAGAGTAACATTGGTATAAACGCTTGTTACAATATGAACAGCGCATTGAAAACGCGTACTAATTTATGTACTGTTTACAAAGCGTGTTCAAAAATTCACACTGAGAAACACGATGATTGACAGAGGGGTGTAAATTATTATAGTGTAATTAAATAGAGGTACTGCAGGTAAGTAGTTTTCAGTTTTAAAGGCAGTTTAACAAGACAACACTTGCCACCATCCTTCAAACCCATTGTTGAAAAAGATACGTTTTTGTTTACATTATAATCTAATGTTTATGCGAGAGCTGGGGGCTTATGGGATTTTGGGGTCCCGCCATAAGGTTCATGTGTCTATTTTTTGCGATTATGTTCATCAGCCTCACTTTTAATTGCTCCTTTAAATGTAAACAACACACCCAAATATTATTAGGTGTGTTTACAGTCTACGCAAAACAACTATTTAAACTTCCCCTGCCCCCACATAATAAAATTCAACCGGTACTGCCCTCGTCCAGCAGTGGATTGATCAAGTACATAGGCGACAATAATTATGCTCATCTGCAGATACATCTGGGGACAGTTGCTGTATACACAGATCCCAACTTCCCAGATGCTCTTCTCAGATTCCCCACTTTCCAAGGGTCCTGCCTCATTCTCCCGTACCCCGGTCTCCCGTGCTCAGGTGCGGCAGCAAAATCCACATTTCTTGCAGAACGAGCAGCAGAAGCAGCAGAGTGAGAGCGGGGAGTGTCTGCGTGTGCGATTCCTTGCCCAGCCCTGCTTTCACAGGCAACACACATACAAAGGCAAATATCTCACATGTAGCTTACACACAATGTTGGGGCAAGTACTGTTGGCAAGCGTCTGCGAATGCTAGCAGGGAGCATGGGAGCCTGGTGTAGCTAGAACCGAGCTTTCATTCGCACATTTGCATGGATAAAGCGATTTAAGTGTATTGGCTTTCCTGTCCAATATCGATCATAATGACGCATTTATGGAGGCTGCAGAGAGTTACAATAGTCGAGTAGGGATGTGATGAAGGCTTTGGCAGACAGGGTAAGAAAGTGGCGAATGAGAGAAATGGTGATATTTCTGGATAAGAGAATGGGAGCTCAGGAGTAATGACAACTCCTAAGGTTTGCCTGTGGCAGTGTGATGTCAGTCGAGGAATTATTAAGACCGTTCAGGTGAAGAAGTTACCAATGCCTGCGCGATGTTGACATCCACGGCCGGGAGTGCCACCTCTCCAGCGGTTGTAATTTTTGCTGCAATCTTCGCCTTATTTGCAAACAGAAAGTAGAACGTTTGTGTTAATGACCGCACAGCACCAGATACTCACGTTATCCTGAGTTGACTTAGGGGGTGGAGGTAAAAAAAATAGGTTCAGATCCATAGTGCAACTGGTGTTGTGCATCACCTGCAAGACTCAAACCGCCGTATACACTATCATGTGGCATTTATCACCAGTTGAGCTCCTATTGAGACACCAAAATATTGGTAACGGGGAGGTGGGGGAGGGGGTGATTTGGGTAAAATAAAAATAGATACAAGTTAAAATAGCCGAGTGTTTGAAAAAACGAGTTAAAATTTATAATGTAATGAGTTACCTTCAATTTCAATGATGCCCTTCACCCAGCAAAGTCTCACCTAGACCTAGTCTAATGAGTCCTTTTCCAGACGCCACTGGAGGTTGGCCAATTCCATTAATGAGTAGAGCATTTGGCATAATTTTTTTATATATATACACATATAACGTACAGCGTGTATCCATATTTATTTTAATATGAAGCAAGAGCAGATGAAGAATTGGTTAAGTGTTACTTAACCGGGGTTTAAAGGAGCTAGGCAATAAATACCTGGTCGGTCATCCGCAAGAGCGATGAGACGCAGAGGATGAGAAGAAGTCCACACAGTGCCTGGCGAGCCATTCTTCTGCCGCTGTCAAAAAAAGAATTAAGGAGCCCTCCTGTATGTCTATGTATGTAATGTTGAACTTCGTGAGCACCGTACGTAGCCAACCGTGCTAATCAGAGGTGCGAGGGAAGAACAACAAACGAAACCCAAAACAAAGTAATTCTAAAGAAATACGTTTTCAATCTGTGATTTAAAAGTGCACAGCTGCCAGTTGCTTCCTAATGTCCTGTGGCGTGGTCCCTCGCGAGTCCACACGCTCCATTTATCCTGTCTCCCCAACACACGTGGGTGAGCGGTAACCCATTCCCTTACCCAATCACTGTTCACACACAAAATTAGATTGCACGTGAAAAAGAGCGCCCGCTCCTGAGGTCAATGTGAATGATTACACAACCTTTAATCGGTTTCTTTTACCTTCCCGGAAAGGAATATACCGTAAAACCCAACGATCACGAGTCATTATTTGGATTTATTGATAGCGCATTGGCGTTCGCCTGGGGCTAGATAACAGGAAGACGCAATCCAAATTAACTCTTAATCTTGTAAATTCTTACCTAAGCTGTTTCCCAGGCTATCTGATGTGCGTTAGGCCTCCATGCGTGTACTTATTTTCCCAATTGATTGCAATTGTCATATCAATAATGTCATGATAAATATAACCCCTGAGGAAATCTGAGCAGGGTACCCCACTTGTCAAAGAATGGCTGTGAAATATATTTATTTCATAGGACTTATTCCAATTAAAAACATCCTTTAAGTGGCCTATTTATCCTTTACACATGCACGAGGGGTTATACTTTGCTGTACTCTATTACGAGACTGTTGCATGACAGTCAAAGCAATATTTGTTTCAGAACTCAAACTTAGCCAAAGAGTGGATCCAAATGTAATGTTTTTTTGTGCAGTCATAGGGGACTTCACAGGATTGATGTCACCGGAGCATTATAAAAGTCCTTATTATTCACGTGGCGTTTGAAAACAGCAACAAGCTACAGAAGTTATTGTTGTGTTAGCTATACCACGGGATCCAGGGTGGTAGCTGAGTGGAATCCGCTTGTTCCACGTGTTGTATTAAAAAGTCATCAGTGATATTCGCTCAATATTTTGCACCTCACCGCATTCGCAGCTTGGCGAGTCGTTGAACTTCCGCTCATGGACGGTATATTTCATCACGACTGAAGTTGCAAACTCATCACCAACAGTTCAGCAAAATGTATCTGCAAAAACCTGCTTTCTGAAGCCTCGATTATCGTTGCCACCCTGTAGGCGTTTGACCTGCACAGTCCAGGAAGTGGTACGTGTTTGGATGGCAGAAATTGCTTTGTTTCAGACCTGGGCTGAATGATACATGTCTGGTTTTGGCTAGAGGAAAAGGTGGCACACCTAGCACTGATAGATGTGGCTCACGAGGATCAGTTTTATACAAGTGTAGTGCTTCAAATAAAGACACACACTACTTGAGTTAAGGCGATTCGTTTATGAACACTTCCCTTACGGGACAGGTTCTATAATAGGTGTAGACGTATCTATCGCTGTGTAACACTGTGTAACACTATATATCACTGTATAACACTATATATCACTGTATAACACTGTGTAACACTATGTAACACTGTGTAACACTATGTATCACTGTGTAACACTATGTAACACGGTGTAACACTGTTACACAGTGTAACACTATGTTACACTGTGTGACACTATGTAACACTGTGTAACCCTTTACACGCAAGACTAAGATTCCAACCCGACGACGTGACCCGACCCACCAAGGGTTACCCACAAATACGACCCTTTACTGTCCCTACGCTGCCCTTTAATCCCCCTAGCGTGGCCTTCCCCAACGCCCTCTGGCTACACCCCACTCCTGGCACCTCCCAGCAAGCTCGCTCCCTTGATTACCCGAATGATGGGATATACCGGCATTACACAAGGGTTCATAACGGCCAACAGTGGAATGACTCAAAAGCCAATAGTTGCAGATAATAGATGATTAGGAAGCAATGATGTTCAGAACCCACAATGGCATAAGACAATGATTGGGCAAGAGAAGCCCCTTGTTGACATGACACGTCTCTTATGGGAAAATGATTTCCGAGAAAAAGACTCAGATTTTTGGAAATGTTGTTGACCTCCTGCACAAGCATTCATATCACTCGGAATGCAATCTGCTTCCGCCCACGTAAAGCATATTTACAAAGTAGCACTGACAGAAAGTCACGTTACATGAAATGCCAACACCAAGAAGTCATAAATGTAATCCAGTACTGCTGAACGCTTTTATTCAACCACGTGGTGTCTCGCGATCGTGTTTGGAAGGCAGACTTTGACAAACAAATGTTTTAAAATGGGGATTTTTACAGCACAGCCATTAATTTTTTCATTTTGAGATTTGGGCTAAAGCAGGGTGAGCATGGCCTGCCCTTGTGGATTGTGTCGGTGCCTCTTCAATTGACTCACATGGGGGTGGGCTACAGAAATCAATTTAGACACAAGAACATGTTCAAAAAGTATTATATATATATTTTATTTTATTAAAGCAATGCTAATTGAACATGGAACAAGTGTAATTTGTTTTAGCAAACGCAGGGCATGCAAGCATACATCCTTCAGAAGGAAAAAAAAAGGCATTTGTCAATCCTTTGTACACAACCACGCTCAGTTAATACAAAGTGCGAAATGCACGTGTGTTATGTATGTCGAACTTATTTCGCACCGTACGCAAGCCAACTGGGCTAATCTCGGTAAATAAACCTGAAGTAAGACGAGACTACATATTATATTCAACGGAGAAAATGAAATTAATGTACGAGTGTGAAAGGTCATTAATAATTCCAATTGTGACTGGAAACTACTTTTACAATATAAAATAAAAAATAAACACATCTTAAACAGATATGGACTTAAAATATTCCACAATAAAGCAAAAAATACAAGCTACTTTAAAAAATTTCATTGACAATATATAATTACCAGCCTCCGCCCATCACTGTCAGTGCACAGGATGCCCAACAAATGCTTGCGTCTCTGAACCACCTTCCGCTGAACCCTTAACATCTTTAAATGAAATCTTTGAAAAAAAAAGAACTCAAAAAAATGTTTTAAGGATATCCACGCAAATTGCGTCGCAGCATGGCAGAACACGACGATGCAGAAGAAGAATGGTGTTGGGACGTTCTGGACATCCGTGATCCACCAGCAAGGCCCGAGGAGCCCTCGCCCGAGTTAGAGGACAAACGGCGCACGAAAGAAAGTCTTCCCCTTGAGCTGTTGTACAATTCAGGGGGCAGCTTGCGCTTCTCCTATGCTGCTTCCGCAGGGTAGGCCCACGGGATGCGACTGGATGGACCGCAGGCTGGGGCTGGCTGTGCGCATCACTGCCCTGGCACAGAGCCCACCACCTCGATGCCGTGCTGCTGCAGCTGGGTTCGTAGCAAGGCGCTCTCATTCTTCAGCTCCTCGAACTGAACACACGCAACAATCAGGGCGTCATTCATCTGTGCGACACGCCGTTGGGGATTCCTCATCCCTCTTGGGAAGAAGATGGACACCAAGCAAGTAGTATTCACTTGCTCACGATCGAGGAGTGGTGTGAGAAATGTGCTGTGATTGGATAATTTAAAACGGAGTTATAGATAAGTGCAACAAAAATTTACGATCTTAATGACAAATTATAATTACACATGATTAAATCACGACAATGACCTATCACAATCAGAGTGGGCCATCATAAAAATTAGATTAACAGTTTACCAAAAATCCTCCCTTTCAGCAAGGTCGGATTTCTTTGTGCAAGTGCTATCTGCACGCCTCGCATGAGGCCGGTGCTGCGCATAAGGCTATGGGTGGGGACGAGCAACACTGCATGCACCCCCTCCACCTTTGCCTCTCTCGTGCTGATGCTCAAATGTGCACGAAGACAAAAAAAGACAAAGGTTCCCCTGTAAAGCCTTAACAGACTGTTGGGGCAAGTGCTGTTAATGAAAGCCAGCATGGTACACGAGGTGGGGTGGGTGGCCAGCACCGCACCCGGCCGCCTTTGTCTCTCCAGTGGCGATGTTTACACTCCGCATGCGGTACTCATTTAAGACTGAGTCGACCGAGGGGAGGCACAGGACCGGTTCAAATAATCGTCACTGGTGTTGGCCGCGAGCGGGAGTCGAATTCAGGTCGGCCAGGTTCGTAGCACAGCGCACTAACCGCTACACTACCACTCCCCACATGCGCACGCACACAGACACACTATCTCTGGTTGTACACGCACACACCCCCCATGCATGCAGAAGCTCGATGCGCAAACTTCTGCCCAACCTGTTGCATCAGCAGCTCGTGCTCCAACTGAGTCCTCTCGGCCTCCTTGAGCTCCTCCTCCATGCGCTGGTTCGTCTGCCGCAGCTCTTGTATGTACTCGCACGCCTTTGACAGGACTCCACCCTTGCTCTGTGGGTTTGCACGTAGCGGAGCCGGAATATCAGTCACGGCGATAGGCTCTCCAATTCGCGCGCTCGCCTGAGCGTCGATTACGTTTGCCGGGGTAAAAAGTGCCACCAATCGCACGATTTTACAGTCACGCTGCAAAACCTCCCATGGCGCCACTCGTATTGCGAGAGCGCCGCTGGTTTGTAACGGAAGGAAAAAATGGGAATGAAAGACGGTGCTGGGTTTGGAAATTCTACCTGTACGGACTTCGTGTGGTCATTGGCGCAATCAGGGATGTACTTGGAAAGTTCTACGATCCAGTTATTGATTTTGTCTCTTCTTCGCCTCTCCACTGTAAAAAGACAAACAAATTAAATATTGGACGTTCGCAGAATGCAAGTGATGTGAATATTCTCAACACCAGTTGTCGAGTTGGTCAAAAAACTTAGATTTCCTGCATAGAAACAGGGAGCTATGACTATTGAGAAAATGGGTTCGATTTCCCACACTTGATGTAAATCCTACATTCTAAAACAGTCTGATGCTCTTAGCCCAACGACCATTTATTGAACAAAAACATTTGTAAGTACAGGTTTTTACTTGAGCCCATATCAGAGCTTGCCAGGCAGACAGAATCAGAGTAAATAACTTTCTCATCTGCACACATGATGATTGCAATCTTGAAGACTATTGGTCATACACCAACACTGTGGAATACAAGCTGTGCTCTACAAAGGTGACTATCGATTGTGGGATACAAACATTACTTACCAATGCTTTAACAACCAATGCACAATTATAAATATCATTCTTAAACTGCACAAAAATGGGGTTGGCATAGTAACAGTGGTCAGCGCACTGCACTATGAACAAAGCGACCAAAGTTTAATTACTGGCTTACGGCTAACATCGACAGCTAGCGATTCCTGAATGTATCCCGTGTTTGCAAACTCACACGGACCAGTATGGTGATGTATGGTCAAACAACCCCAAAGACTGACACGGCGTGTCCTTCGTTCAGTAGTGGATCACCAGAAGGAGTAAAAGAACTACATGTTATTTAAATATATAACTGGATCAGGGACAAGCGGCCTGGTTTTCTGGTGAATCATCTGGTTTCTGACTGCTATGGTGGCTGGCCGATTGGTTGGGTGAATGAGTGGGTGGTGGAGAAAAAGAAAGGCTGTTGTGATGCCTGGTTGGAGCGAGGTGGGACGGGCACCTTCATTGTGTTGCGCTCGCCGCCGCTCATCCCTGGGTGTGCGTGGCCCCTCGAGCTTCCTGAAAGTGAAGCAATCCACAGTAAGTAAAGTCCATTAATAGACGAATATAGAGCCGGGCTCTGCTTGCAGCGACGGCACTTATATTTACACATCATGATGGCGTATCCCCTAAATACCGGGCTAAACCAGGGGTGGGGTGCCCCCGGTGTATCTGGGACGCAGCGGTGGCGAGATGTTAACTCCCTTGCCTGGTATGCAGGAGGTTGTGGGTTCGATCCCGACCCTGACCTGTAAATTTATAGTTTTTATGTCTCTCTACCAGTGGTGGCGTGGATTTTTGTCCAGGTCCTCCGGTTTTTCCCTCCACATTTAGAAATATGCGTTTAGAGTATTTGGCTGCTATAAATTTCCATGTAATAAGCCACTTTATTGGGCTATGATTTGTGGCCAGGTCGCTGCTAAAAAAGAGCTATGTAGCTCAGTGGACCTTTCCTGGTAAAATATAGTAGTAAAATTGTTAACATGTTTTCATAATAAAGCTCCATTATTTTCATAAAGAAAATTACCAATTTATATATTTTTTTATGTTTAAAAAATATAAATCCATGTAAAAAGTAAAAAAAAAAATTCTGCAATGCACAATTCAATGCCACAGGAGTTACCGTGCAGCACAAAACTGGGACTGCCCAACGCGTGATGTTTCTGTGCGGCGTGGAGATCAGCTAACAAGTCAGCATTGCTTTGCACGCAATTCAATTTTTGTAGCTTCGTGAGTGTAATTTTCTATTTGAGGGGTTCTATAAAAAAATACCTGTAATAATGCACAAGAAGATACATATTCTTGGTTCTTTCAGTAAAGTCACGTAGAAGGGAAACAATCAAATAGTAAAAAATATAAAACAATAAAATTATCACGTTTCGACTGCAACCAACACAAGCAACCATCATCAGGTGTGAAAACCACAGCAAGAAAATGTGAAAAAAAATTAGTGCTGTGGTTTTCACACCTGATGATGATTGCTTGTGTTGCAGTCGAAACGTCGTGAGAATTTTATTGTTTTATTTTTTATTATTTTATTGTTTCACTTCTACGTGACTTTACCGAAAGTACCAAGAATATGAATCCCTGCAGTCACGAAAGCTTTAAATCAAAAGAAGATACATGTCTAAGAGAAAATGTACATAAAAGCCACAAGTGTGGGGTACCTCCTCTGTACCAGGCGAGGTAGTGAACATCTCGCCATCGCGGCGGATAACGTCGCCATACGAAAAACGGTTTAAGAGTTCTGAAGTGTAATTCCAATCGTGACTTCTGTACATATCAGCAATAAATATATACCACCAGTTAACTGTTACAATTAACATGGGGGCTCTTCGACAATCGGCCTGATGCGCACATATGTGAGAAGTGAGACTCGTACGGGGTGTATGGGTGAGTACGGGGAGCGATGGGTCTTTGAGCCCCTCCCTGCAGAACATCCTGCGGTGCCATCATCACGTAGAATTGGCCTTAAACAGAAACAAGGTTTGTTAAACAAAGCATAAACAGCCTTCATGGCACTGTTCTCGAATCATCCAACATCCATTAAAATTATCGATCCACTGCTGGTTGAAGGCCTCCCCACGACGTCGCCATCCCTCGTGGTCCTGCGATGCAATAATCCATCTCGCTCCTGCACATGAGCTGATCTCATCGATGCCTCTCCACGGTGGTTCTCCTCTAAGGCCTACACTCTCTTTTGGCTTGCATTCTATAACCAATCTCGTCCATCGGCCATCATCCTACCCTAGTGATGGAAATTGCCCAAGTCAACTTACTTTTCAATGTCCACTTCCCATTTTGTTCTCTTAACCGTGCGTTCCTCATTCTGTCAACTAACATAAGTGACGAGAGTCATCTGAAATGGTCTTGGCACTCAATTAATCAAACCCACACTGACCAGCTTGGTTAAGTATTTTCAAAAACCCCTGTGACAGATGCCACATGAAGAGGCCTTCATCAGACAGTGACCTGATACAGGACTGCACTCTTAATGCACTTCCTAAACAAGGGCACAATGTTTACATGAACATGTTGATACAGGGAAGCGTGAGCAAGTAACGTCTCAAGACAATGGAAAAGCCAAGTGCACGATACCATCGGAGGCTGGGCTGCCGGCTCCACCGAAGGGACTCTGGATCACGGCCTGCAGGGAGAGAGGGCACAACTGTTACGACAACGCCTCGCACGAAGGGGCAGGCAGCTTTCAATTGATCCACGCAAATACACGCGCGCCGCATGCTACGTACGCACACAACAAAAATTAACCAATGCGGTATCTAAATGCGACCGCATTCCAAGACGATTTACACACATGCGAACGTGTGTAAATTACCTGCACGGGATTCCAACCCATGCAGTGTACAAAGCCACACATCTATTACACGTGCACACACACCCACAATTGTGCTACATCCATACCAACACACACACAGACTTTGGTTTTATAAGTATATATAAACGGATTACATATTAAATTACAGCTGGAGTTCCACTATAAGGTTCACTGAAGAAAGATACTCTTTTGAAAATTGCGGTTAATAATAACATAATTACTTTTAATAGTTTCATTTATGCCATTATTGCTTCATACCATTTTTGCTTTCTTAATTCCGTTTTGCTTATATTGAACTGTTACCATAACAATTACCTATCTTGTCCCTATGTATAACAAAGTAACCATTAAAATGCATCACTTTGCGACATCTGTAGAATCATACTCTTTGGTTTTATTCGGTAAAGTCAGGTAGGTAAAAAAAATAAAATAACAAAAAATCACGACGTTTCGGCCACAACACAAGTGGCCTTCATCAGGTGAAGGGACCGGACTGTCCAGAGGACAGCACTGGAGTGAACACAGCGAAGCCCAGACCGCGTCCTTTAAGCTGTGTGGGAGGAAACAGAGCGCCTTGACAAAGGAGTTCCGCATACAAATTTGCATTTAATTGGCGGATTCTGCATCATGCACGACGACGAAGAGGGAACATGTTCAGACCGGCGAGGGGGCAGGGGAAGTTCACATAGTGTTGGTGTGAAGGGAAAATAAGCAGCTGCGGAAGTTTGGGATACCACTACTTGAAAAAATATACTGTACCATTGAAAATTAGTTTAATGTTTGGTTTGATTTAGAACATCGTTCCAGTGATTGCTTAATTTGAAACCATCCTCTCGGTTGAAATTGTGTCTGTGTTTGTAAATCTGAATTCCCTCGTGGACAAATCTCTGATAAAAACCGGTAGGTTTGCAGAGAACCTTGGTATCGGAGAAAACTATATTGTGATCACCCACAGCGTTGTAACAGTGATCAGCTACGGCAGAAGAATTCGTTCTGCCGTGTTTCAAATCTGATTTGTGCTCGCGAATTCGGTCAGAGATATGTCGTTTCGTCTCCCCGATATAGCAGTGACCACAGGTGCAGCTCAATTTGTAAACCCCGGGGTACTGTAAGTCAGGAATGACATCCTTTACGGATGGGATCAGGTCACGGATTTTGTGTACTGTATTGAACCGGACCAGGATCTTGTGTTTGTTTAGAATTTTGGAGATCTTTTTAGTAACGCCTGCTATGTATGGTAGTGTTATGGTTTTGATCAGAGTATCAAGTGGTTGTTTCTGTATGGAGGGAGAAACAGCTTGGCGGATGGTACGGTCATAGTATCCGTTCCTCTTGAGGGCCAGATGTACGTGTTTTAATTCACTGACCAGGTGGTGTTGGTCCGAAATGCAATGAGCCCTGTGGTATAACGTTTTGAAGAGATAATTATTTTGAATCGGGTGGTGGTGGGAATCAGGTTTCAAGTAGGAATCTGTGTGGGTGGGTTTCCTGTAGACAGAATGTCCCAATGAGCCATCAGGTCTCCTCTCAAACAAAACATCCAAGAATGGCAGCTTGCCATCTTCCATGGTGAATTTGATGGCGGGGTGTCTGGAATTGATGTGGTCTAGGAAAAGGTTAAAAGCTGGGAGGCCATGTGACCAACTGACAAAAGTATCGTCTACATATCTCTTCCACAGGGAAGGTCTGAGGGCGGAAGTCTGGATGGTGTCTGATTCAAATTTCTCCATGAAAACATTGGCTATCACTGGTGACAAGGGGGAACCCATGGGGGTACCCTCATTTTGTTTGTAAAAGGTGCCAATCCAAGTAAAGTAGGTGTTGGTGAGGTCGAACTTGTGATGAACTAAACGTCCCTCCCTAAAACCTTCTGCTGCAAGACCCCCTAGATTCTATGGTCTTCCCAAGATTCATAAAGAAGGCACCCCACTACGACCCATCGTATCCACAATCAACTCCCCTACCTACAGGCTAGCCCGTTTTCTGTCAGATACCTTGCTGCCTTTCACTGGCAAGACCACCTCAGCAGTACTTAACTCACCCAAATTGCTCTCTATGGTCAAAGACGTTGTACTGTCCCCTGACGATATCCTTGTCAGCTTCGATGTGGTCTGTCTGTTCACCAAGGTCCCAGTACCTGATACCATTGAAATAATTGAAAATTTGGTCCAACATGGACTAGACCCCGATACACCTGCGCTGGTTAGGCACTGCCTCACCAACACCTACTTTACTTGGAATGGCACCTTTTACAAACAAAATGAGGGTACCCCCATGGGTTCTCCCTTGTCACCAGTGATAGCCAATGTTTTCATGGAGAAATTTGAATCAGACGCCATCCAGACTTCCGCCCTCAGACCTTCCCTGTGGAAGAGATATGTAGACGATACTTTCGTCATTTGGCCACATGGCCTCCCAGCTTTCAACCTTTTCCTAGACCACATCAATTCCAGACACCCCGCCATCAAATTCACCATGGAAGTGGAGAAAGATGGCAGGCTGCCATTCTTGGATGTTTTGTTTGAGAGGAGACCTGATGGCTCATTGGGACATTCTGTCTACAGGAAACCCACCCACACAGATTCCTACTTGAAACCTGATTCCCACCACCACCCGACTTAAAAGAATTATCTCATCAAAACGTTATACCACAGGGCTCATTGCATTTCGGACCAACACCACCTGGCCAGTGAATTAAAACACGTACATCTGGCCCTCAAGAGGAACGGATACTCTGACCGTACCATCCGCCAAGCTGTTTCTCCCTCCATACAGAAACAACCACTTGATACTCCGATTAAAACCATCACACTACCATACATAGCAGGCGTTACTAAAAAGATCTCCAAAATTCTAAACAAACACAAGATCCTGGTCCGGTTTAATACAGTACACAAAATCCGAGAGGATGGTTTCAAATTAAGCAATCACTGGAACGATGTTCTAAATCAAACCAAACATTAAACTAATTTTCAATGGTACAGTATATTTTTTCAAGTAGTGGTATCCCAAACTTCCGCAGCTGCTTATTTTCCCTTCACACCAACATTACGTAAACTCCCCCTGCCCCCTCGCCGGTCTGAACATGTTCCCTCTTCGTCGTCGTGCATCATGCAGAATCCGCCAATTAAATGCTAATTTTTATGCGGAACTCCTTTGTCAAGGCGCTGTGTTTCCTCCCACACAGCTTAAAGGACGCGGTCTGGGCTTGGCTGTGTTCACTCCAGCGCTGTCCTCTGGACAGTCCGGTCCCTTCACCTGATGAAGGCCACTTGTGTTGTGGCCAAAACGTCGAGATTTTTTGTTATTTTATTTTTTACCTACGTGATTTTACCGAATAAAACCAAACAGTATGGATCCTTGCAGTCACGAAAGCTTCAAATCTAGAATCTGTAGAATCACCAATCCCTGATAAGCCAGTCCTCAACAGGTGAATCGACACGTCCCTTGTAATCCCTTTGCAAATGTTAAAATTGCTCAAGTGTATACACACACACACACCGGTGTTAAACATGGAAATGCTTCCGATCAAAACGGCCCCTATAACCAAGGGCACGAGATTCACTCCACCGCGTGTGTGTGTCCGCGTGTCTCAGCTCTGCCAGAGCCAACTTACCGTCGTCTGGCCCTCCCCTTGGCTGTCTACCTGCACCACACGGTACGTCACCTGCGAACGTCAAAGCGGAAAAGCGCCAACGCAAATTGTCACGTGCGATACAGCGAACGCAGCAAACTATTTGGGTTTAAAAATGCTTTCACGTTTCATTTGATACTTCATAACGCTTGCTTCGCCTTTCACACTTCGGGTTGCTTAGTGTTTTGAGTAAGAAATGTTAATTATTTACTGCAACATCATTGACCGATGCGATTGGTTATAATTTTCAAAGTTTTGAAAAATTAATTGGTTTTACATTAACAGGTTGTGCAAAAGCAGTTCAACAAAATTGGTTTACTGTCCTTTATGTAAACCATGACTATTGTATATTTCTGGAAACAAGACCAAAACTACTATTAACACGAAACATTCAAATTCACCACCACCACGGATATAAAGCGAAGTTGAAAATTAGCGGCAGATAACATTTATACGTTGTATGACTCAAAACTCCAGGCGGTCATAGGTGGCTGCATTGCTGTTTAAGTTCCGAGCAGCAGAGAGCAGTGCAGCAACATCCATTGTGATATTGTGCATCTAAACTCTGTCTTTACTGCTCACCTTCACTAACCCGCACTGATTAGCTTGGTGAAGTACGGTCAAATTAACTCCCATGCCCCGTAAGCGGTGGGGAGGCCCTCGTCCAGCAGTGGATGGATCAAAGGGCTGCACCTGTACACAACTAAACACGCAGCGTGCACGCGTGGACGCGCGCCCCTCACCTGGCCATCGCTGCTCTCAGTGCGGAACTGGTACTGTATGCTGGGGTCGTTGAACGCAGTGGCCTGTTGCACACTCGCGATCGCCACAGCCGTATGATCGTCGGCGCCCGATCCGTCTCCTGCGCTCGTCCACGCACATGCCCATCAGATGATGCACCACCAACAACAGCAACAGCCGCCGCCATTCGCCACTAAGTGGCGGTGACGTCACCACGCCGCTTTTGCCTCGGTATGTGCCCTTCAACGCCACGTGAAGTGTCGCCCACTGGCAGGTCACGAGACAGACCCAGGTGCCATGGCTTGGCTGAGATGACTGGCCGATGCACCACCTATGCCCCCTACTGTGCCAAGTAATGATGGATCACCACCTCTGCCACCCACAGAACGAGTAGTGTCGTTGCATGTGCTCACTCCCCCCCCCACCCTGCTTGCCTAAATCCTTGAGCTCAAGGTCAGGGTCGACCTGAACGTTTAGGGACCACAGCAGTCTCGTGGGAATTGCAAACCCCCACCCTCCCACCACAACATGTGCACACTTCAATCGTGGCTTCAATCGACTATTTAGCTGCAACACAAACACTCTTCGTGATTTGCACGGAAAGTTGAGTCACGTTTTTCGTGCATGCAGCATTATTTCAGTCATGCAGAGACGTTAGGTAAACCAGAGAAGCCTTACCCTCCTGCATTTGCAAAGATCCTTCGTCTCCGTCGTGACTTTTCTCCTGACTGCAAAAACATGTAACACAAGTCACCAACCACCACACAATCTCACCAGAATTGCCATCAACATCTTCCCACAGCGAGTTACCGTAGATTTCACATAGAATAAAAATGACGTCCCATTTACACGAATACTTCATCAAGAAACAGCTTGCGCTTTAAACTCAATTTTAAACGTTTCATTTGTTTCAAAACTGTCGCCACTCACTCACGAAGAAAATACAGTTTCTGAAAAACTACGCACGCTTTAAGTAATGTGGTAAACAGCAGCTTCCCAAAGCCGTGCCATGTGACGCTATCGAAGTCGCCAGGGGCTGCATTGCAGACTGGAAGATGTTGCAATCATGTGACTTCAAATCTCATAAATTCACTTGCCATGCAGACACCCAAAACTCGTTCAACTTTGTATTTATTTTATCCATACACGTCTGTTCTGTACATTCAAATTGTAATAGTTGTGCCAGAGAACATCGTGTATTCCAGAAACTAGGACGAATGTCACATTTATATTTTTAATGTCATATTTTTTTTCGAAGTTTTGTGTGTCGTGACACGTCGTTGAGCGAATTTGTAAATGTGTATCTTTCTCTTTTTTAACAATGCGGCAGTTTTACATGCAATGTAATGTGAACATACCCAAGAGCTCAACGTGCCAAGTCAGTGGCAATTATAGAGAAATACGGGCAATTTAAATAAAAACATAATAAAAAGGAGAGACAATGCCAAGAGTAACGCTTCAAGTTATGGCCGGGTGGATTCAACATTGGTCACTTCCTGTGGAACCCAGATTTGTCAATCCTGACAGTTCATATTCAGCCAGCATCCCTTAACGCTGCAAAACAAAATCACCGAAGCAGTGAGCCACATTGCAGAAGTTGGAATTCCAATAAAATATTTTGCAAAAGTTGACCACTTGAGAGTGAAGTCAAAGCGTACATTTCTGAAATATGTAAAAAATGTCTGCAGCAGCTGTTTCTGCAAAAAAAATTCTCCTACTGAGGCTGGGCAAGCGTGAAGATGAGTTGTGAAGTCTTCTCGGTGGAAACATTTATGTAAACTTGGATAAAACGTCTACAAAAAGATGAATATAACGGGATCCAAGGTGCTACCAAATCATGCCAACTTGACCGCTAAGCTCTACCCTCTCACCCCTTCTTTAAGAAGTAACAACCGACCGTATCGGCAAACATTGATCATCAGACACCACTAAGCAAAGTTTTGGATAGGCGGTCCTATAGGCTTGCTGCTAGTACTAGGCATAAAGCGGGCGATAAGAGTTGTCAGGAAAAATCCATAACCAAAACAACACTCCTGTTGCTTTTGGCATGGCTCTACAGTTTGACCAACACGGTGGACTGTGGTGATGTGACCGAGGGGGTTAACAGCTTGGTCTGCGGAGTTTGCACGCAAAGCCTATCAGGCTTTTTTGTTGTTCTAGTTTTCCATTCTGCACCAATTATATACCAACAAAAAACAATTCCATTTGTATTCGAGAACTTCTTACAAAGCCATTTTATTATTTGGGAATCTCAACAATAACACGGGAATTTTTCACTTTGCGTTGCCCTTAAAAAATCGCTTCTTAGCTCAATGGGTTTTACTCGGGGAAATAAACTTCTGTACTTCTTCTGTAATAAGCCAGCAGTGACACTTATGGGCCATAACCATGACATCCTTCAAGGGACAACTCATTTGCTAAATGTACCACTAGGTAAACTAGGGGTTAGATTCGTGCCTATGTTTTTAATGAACCCTCACAGATGGGCCCGACTGATCTGCAAAAAAATGTTAGGTGCTTTTTTAAGCAGTCATTGGTGATGGGGGGGGACCATTAAGCTAGCAACTCGTGGGATCCTAATTGCATTTTGGGTATAATTAAGGAGTCTCAAGATCTGCCATGTCCTAACAATGCCACCTTATTAGTGCCAAAGCCAGCCATCCACCTCTAACACGGCAGGAATTTCCAAGTGCACGTCACCAATGATGACTATAACCTCGAAATGCCTCCCTTTTCATGAGATTCCAATACGGATTTGGAATCCACTCGTTTACATAAAAAAGGTCATTCATGAGTTTATCGAAGAGTAGATTTTTTTGCACAGTACTGCTATTTAAATATCACAATAAACGCAGTCACAAATATAAACTTCAACAAACATTACGCTTAAACATCTCATGAAGAAACATATCATTAATCCACTAGGTACATGCAGGCAGAAGAAATGTTATATCGCCAAGCCCTAAAAAACAGTAAGTGCTCAACTACACGTGGGAGATTGATGTGATGTGGTTTTAACGTAAATCCATTGACTATTAATAATATTAGGATTTAAATTACTTTAGTCAGGGTATGGGCCTACCTTGTTTGGGTCAGGATTATTGTGATGATGGAGTTGGGTTTAGAAGTCAAGGCCGATTTACATAAACTACCCATGTGTTTGGCCAAGGCAGAAATCAATATCATTACAATGTCGCTGGAACACCATCTCTTCATTGCAGCAAAGCAGTGAGGCCAACAGGGCTTTTAAACAATCAACTAAGCTCGAAATTAATAAGTCAGACTCTCAGATAGGACTAGTCTGTTAAACATTTCACATGTAATTTAGTGCCAAGTGTGTGTTTGTATATAAAATGTATGCACATACTGTGTGCTTATCAGTTGAGCAGCACAATTACAGACCAAGTCTGCACAAAGGCCGCAAGGCTGCATAGAGGTTTGATGTTTAATCTTTGGTTACAGACAAGTCGTGCATTTGCCAAACACATAATAATGGTCGTGGCTGCTTAGTGTGGCTATATCCATTGGCCAAAACGTGACGGTTATAGCCTCGAATGCACACATGTCAGTTCACCTATGCAGATCTACATAACATAGCCCTGTCAAACCAATGCTGGACGAGTGCCTCACACCATGCAGATCATGGGGGGATTATTTCACCATACTGGTTATTGCTGAGAGCACAGACGTGGAAGCATAGACGTACACGTGGGTTTTGCCGCACTGCCCTCTGCTGCACACTACATAGCCCTATTGCCTATGAAATATGTTATACATGATCATCAATCCGAACACTAACCAAGCTCACGACCTTGTCAGATGCCGTGCTATGCCTAGTTTATTCATGCAAAGCATTCACTCAAGAGACGGCTCCGGCAGTTTGTCCATTCCGACAGCCCTGTATATATAGAATAATCCAGTGGGCATCCCTGTAATGTGTCCCTTGAGTCAAGAGAGATGTACCCATGGGGTTTATTTTCTCCAGTTTATTCTCTAGTCACATCCACAGTAGAACTGTACAGTGTAGGCAGGTAGTTTATAATTAGTGTGTAATCATATACCTATAGGGTTCATGTAAGATATCCCTGGCGTATCTATTTGCAGGGATAACCCTGTAGTCTATTCCCTACACTGCAGTATACTTTTCTCGAAATATCTCTGGAGAGAATCTGTGTAGATATTTCCCCAGCGTATCTCTGGAGCAAATGTTGGTATACATTTTTGGCAAATGTAGATAATTAATCTTTCGCAATTTATCTCTGTTGGATATCTTTAGGTAGGTATTACGACTGCAGCATATACTGAAGACCAAGTCTGCACAAGGGCCAGCCATGGTTTACGCAGTGGTTTAATATTTGATTACAGGCGAGTCGAGCATTTCCCAAACCAATAAGACTCTCAGCAGATTGACATTAGCCAAAACCTGTCCCGTAAACCCACGCCAAGATCTATTTAACGCGTACCCCATCGGTGTATGTGCGCGTCTGTACGCTGTACCGTTAGCCCATAATATATTGCGCCGTCACTCAGCCTCCCCCCTAAAACCCCGTGGTTTGTGTGGCCACACACCGCAGTCATCACGCACACACGTGCTCCTCGCCTCTCGCTGTGGGAGGAGGCGCCCACTCGCGGCTCTCACTCACCCGCTCGCCTCCATGCCTTGCTCCAACATCTCCATGCGGCTCCGGAGCCCCGGCAAATATCGACTTTGAAAAGGAGAAGGCCCGGTCTAACGGCGCCGGGCCGCGCCGGGCCCGGTTAGGGTCGGTTAAGGGAGGGTTGGAGGAGTTTTTTGTTGTTGTGATAGCGAGAGGTGTAAGGGTAGGGGGTAGACAAGCCGGGCACGTAGCCCGCGTGTGCCGGGTAGGGCGTCCAGGCGAGGCCGGTGCTGCGGGTTGGGCCCTGCTGACAGGAGGGCCCCGAGTAAAGTACTCCCGAGGTCCGGGTCGAGGTGACGGTGCGGGTAGCGACGAATTTGGTGGCCCTGAGGCGGGCTAGGGGAGAAGGTCCCGGGCCGGGCAGGCGGCCGGTAGCCGAGTCGGGGCCGCGCGAGTCGGGGCCGGGCAAGGCCCGAGTCGCGACGGGCGACGTCGGGTTCGGGATTGGCGTTTTAAAGGACGGCGAAGAACGGGGATAGGGTTACAGTGGGGTAAATTTATAGAGCTTATAGGTTTGGTGGGGGGGGGAAGGGAGAGCGGGGTAAGAAAAAATAGAGCGGGTTGAGGTTAGTCAGGGGTAAGTAGCGGCGGGCAAGGGTGACTTGACAGGGTCACAGCAGCCGAGACTGTGTCGAGCAGAACAAGGTTAGCAGGGGTGGTTGTGGGGGGGGAGGAGGTCAGACAGCAAAGCACAAACGTCACAAAGCGAACGAGGCCGGAGTAAATTAGGTCACTGGGTAAATTATGTCAGGCCAAATGTAATCCCTCAAGGCAGGTCAGGTGAAAGCCGGCGACGGGCAATCAGGGGGGGGAAAGGGGAAGCCGAGGTGAGGGTAAAAAGAGGGCCAGGTCGGGGGTAAGACGAGGCCAGGTGAGACGGGAGCAAGGTGAGGCCGAGTCCGTGGGTCGGGGTCGGGGGTAGAGAGAAGCGCACGCGGGCTAACGCGCAAGCCAGCACCGCGGCGCGCGTCTGTCGCGCCAAGCTCGGTGAGAAGGCTGGTGGTCGGGGATGCTTGGAGGGGAGAAGAAGGACTGCCGCTGGTCGCGGTCACAGAGGCGGTGGAAGAGAGGAGGAGGAGGAGGCGGCAGCGGCGGCGTTGTTGTTGTTAGCGGCGAGCCACGGGGGTAGGCGGCCCCGTCCCGCGCGGCCCCGGCCCGGGCCGGGCTTTTGAATCGCGTTCCTCCTCGCGGCGTTGATCACGCGGACACAACACGGGGTCATGTGAGCGGAGACGCCCGCCCGCCACCACCACCAGCGCCAATATGGCCACGTGAGGAGGGGCGGGGAGACGACGACGACGCGCGGACCCCCTTCCTCCTCCTTCCTCCTCCTCCCTCCTGCTCCCTGCTGCCTTCTCCCTTCCCCTTCCTCCTCCCCGCCACTGGCGTCGCTGCCGCCGCCGCTACCGCCGTCGATCGCCGTCCCCTCCCCCGGCTTCTCCGCGAGGGCGGTCGGGGAGGGGTGGCGTGGTGAGAGGGAAAGTGCGGAGCGGGAGTTTTCGTTTTGTGTTCCGCGCGACGGAATGGATTGAATTTTTTTGATGTTGACGGTTTTGCGTGAGACGAGGCTATTTGTATTGAAAGCAAGTACATTTGTATAGGTTCAACACAGATGACAATTGTTTAAAGGAAAAAAAAAACTTGTTCCGATTTTTTTTCGTGCAATTATAAACACACCGTGGACTTTAAAGGGAACAAAAAAATCGATGCAATTAGGTGGCGTTTCGGACACTTGTCTTTTTATTGCACATTTGATGTGTTATGAAGAAGAGATGTCCCGAAACGTCGCATATTATATTTTTGTTCATTTTAAGGTCACAACGATGTTATTTAAGAACGCAACAGTGTCCCCATGATTGTCAAGTATTATCTTGCGTTCAATTTAGAGCGGTGGTTCTTAAACCTTTACTGCAACCTTGCAATTCTCAATCGTAAAATAATTGTATAACGCTAATAAATACATCGGATTTTATTAAACTTACGTGGCCCGTGCTTAATTTGTGTGGTCGATTATTTACGTTGTTAAACAAAATCATTTGAAGCGCTGTCGTCCCGACAGTTCTGTTCCTTCACCCGAAGAAGGCTACTTGTGTCGTGGTCGAAACGTCGTGAGAATTTTATTGTCTTATTTTGTCTTATCGTTTTATTCTCATTCTACGTGACTTTACCGAAAGAACAAAGAAGATAAACAAAGTCTGGCCATGACTGGGGACCCCCAGAGAGGGCATCTGGCACCACCAGGGGATGCGTGCGTCCCAGGTTAAGGACCCCTAATTTAGAGGGTAGAGTATGGGGAGGGGGGGTCAATCTTGATTTGAAACTTTCGTGACTGCAGGAATCCATACTCTTTGGTTCTTTCGGTAAAGTCACGTAGGTAGAAAAATTGTAATAAAACAAAAATTATAGATCACGACGTTTCGATCGCAACACAAGCGGTCGTCCTCGGGCTTTCCAGCTCAGACCCCGCTTGCTTGCCCATCGCCACATAAATAACCTCTTGTTGTCACAGCTCTCTCGCTGGTTCAGCAGTTTCCACTGCTGGATGATTTGCCCGAGGACGACCGCTTGTGTTGCGATCGAAACGTCGTGATATATAATTTTTGTTTTATTTTCTTTTTCTACCAACGTGACTTTACCGAAATAACCAAAGGTTATGGGGGGGGGGGTTGTATAAATAAAATAGCAGGGTGGCATTCAATGCGAGGATTACCCGTAGTTTTAAAAATTATTATTAATTTATACGCACCCCAAACTTTAACAAAAATAACTCGACGTGCGATGTTGGGTATCCAACAACGAAGGAAACAGACCTCCGTTGTCTCAGCACATATTTTGTAATCCAGGATAGATGTATAATTCACACTTGTGGATTTTCAGGTTCGAGAAATGTTGATCTGTTAAAGCCGACCCCCTAGTAAACGCTGAGCCAACAACATTATTAGCTCCCAATCTTACACGTCTACTGGGAACAATGCGATGCGCTTACAATGTTTTATTTACGTAGACATAACGGTGTTCTTATGGTCGTATATGCATTTATAAATGTATTTTTAAAAACGCAAATTGTTATTTATGCTAATCAACACAAACATATGACATATGAAAAACGATTTAAAAACTGGTAACCGATTTATCCGCAGTAACCCGTCTCCCCACATTGTGCCCTTCTGGGGGTGCATCATTTCACGAGCATTTGTGTATACAAGCTGATGGGATGTGTTAAAAAAGACAAAAAAACTTCTTATTTTACGGAGACCGACATGCAGCGAGTGATTTTTGTTATTTTATTTTTTAGCTACGTGACTTTACCCAATAGAACCAAAGAGTATGCAGCGAGAAGTGATTATATTGTCTTTGACCTGGTATATTAAGGATTTCTTGCTCCAGTCCTAAGATTTCTGGCTCCAGTTACAAGAATCCGCTCCGCGTTTTTCTGCTCGCCGTCAACGCGCGGACTATTTTGTCTCCGCGCACGCGTTTCGTTTGCTTTTCCCCGAAGGCCCGCGCGCGCGCGCTTAAAGCCAGCGTTTATTTCTCTCGGGAGAAATATATATTTTTTAAAAACCACACAAACATATATGCTCCGTATAATTTCGCCGGCGAAGAAGAATCATCATCAAGCGCTCAAATTCACTCTGGACCTGTTCGCGGTCGCGTTAGTCAGTTTGACGGCGTTACGGAAGTCCAACGAGCGCGGCCGCGAGACGCAAATGGCGCTGGGGGGCGGTGATGCGGCTCGGCGGGGGCGGTGATGCGGCTCGGCGGGCTGCGCCGTGCACCCCGCGCGCACTGCGCAACAAGGCCCCCGGGAGAGAATTAAAACAAAACAAATGTTACATTTGTTTTTGAGATATTAACGGCGCGTATCTAAAGAGTGAAACGCAATTGACGATAACGAACAAAAGCCTTGGAATAACTGTACAGTCCTTAACAACAAAAAAACTGGGGGACGTCCGGAATGAGAAAGCGCGGGAAAAAATACCTCTGGTACGAGTTATCGCCTTAATCGTTAACTGTTCATTAAAATGTACAGACCACTCACAATCTACGGCTGCTTTTATTTTCTTCTTTAAGGTTGCGTCTGTCGACCCAGGTGTGGAATTCCCTCACGAAGCAAAGACGGTGGTTGTGTGATCGCCTGCACGAATGCGGCCACTCGAGTCGAGGTTTTGTCGTCGTCGGTTTTCCCGCAGATTATTTGAAATGCGTTTTTCAATTCTCTTATATTTTAATCCACGGATTATCCCATACCTGTCAACGCATTCGGTTTTACCGTATTGTTGTAGAGGGGAAATTGCGTTCTCAGGTCCACACGGCGGACAGCCGTTTCAATACGGGCAAAAACTTTGTGTTTTTTTTCCCATTGTAATGGGACTTTGTAGGATGAATGTTGGAAGATTTATAAGGGGGCACGGGGTGACCAATAAGGTCTGAATTGGTCTGTAATAAGGCGAGGGCACTGATAAGGGGTTGACGGGTATGATTGACGCATTCATTCTCTTCAGGTTCGAGTTCACAATCGTATGGTCTGCCTAACACAAAGCACTTCGAATGGATTTTCTCTCTGCCTTTTCAAAGAGGTAAACCGAGTACAGAACCTAAGTGTTTAAGGTCACCGTACATGATTGCATTTAAACACTCTTTAAGTGAAATGTTCCACTTTGTTACAGTTCCCTCTTTGTGAGGAATGCGACAGGTCAGCCTCAAACTCTCGCCTCTTCGCACCAATTCGGCAACAGGGTTACATCATGACAATTCGAGTTTAAACCACGCATGCATCTCACGAACAATTTTACAGAATGCTCCCGCGATGGGTATGTTTTTTTTTACCCCCCCTCCCCTTGTGATAATTGTATGTAGTTTAGTCAACAACACGACCAAATTACTGTTTTTTAACTACTAAATTTTAACTACTAAATTGTACCTCATGCTGCTAATTAACTCCCAATAATTGTTAGTCCTCAGCCCGCAGTAGGGATCTCACGTTGGGAGCATAGCCTCTACAAAATTAACGTATACAAATGATCTGTAAGGTAAACCAGCTTAATGGTTACAACTCCCAATCCGAACTGGAAATTAGCCTGACACCACCAACACAATACACTTTGCCAACAATTCACTGGCTGCCTTCAGGGACTGGATAAGCGGTGGTGGCTGAAAGGTTTGGTGGTGGGTGCGGAGGCTATATCACTGTCAAAGTCCTCGTGATTTTTGCCAGCATGACCACATTTTTACCTCGCACTGTTCAGGAGAAAATCCACTTGCATTCTTGTTTCAGAATATTCCACGACATTGCACGTAATTTATTATGCGATGCTGTGGTAAATAAAGGATGATGCAAAGCAGTCAAACTCTATTTTAAAATTATTGAGTCTGAACCAATGTTTTCCAACAGCATTTAAACAGCAAACTGAAAACACATGGGAGATTGACAAAATGTTTTGATATAATGAAACAGACACGATGTTTTTTGCTGGCTAAAAGATGGAGGGCCTATCTTAAAATGCATCACATCTGAAGCCCTTGCCTAAAAATGCTGTGTAGATGCTACCAGTCAAAAATGTGAAAGGCATTTTGTTTCATTGACAAAAAATGTCACATCTTAAAAGGCTCTCATCACTTGCTGGGCAAGAAGGGTGCTGGTATCCGAATATTTGTTACTGAGAGCTGTTACGAGTTACATGCTTCAAGTTGGTCAGTACTAAAAAGATACACATTTGTGATCTTTAAACACGTTGCATTTTAATATAAACTCAAGGATAATGGCAACGCTAAACATAGATTGCAACGTATGTTGCAGATGATAAGAAATATTGAGAGATCTTTGTTATTCATGGAATATTTTGGCAAAAGTAACACTGCGCGAACATTTTGAGCATCGGCTTTTGGTTATGCAAGTGAACTTAACGATGAAGGGTTTTTGTGTCTCGTCATCTTGATATGCTCGAACAAATCAAGAGCAATGTGCACACTCAACTCAAATGAAAAGGAACAGCTGAAACATGCCAGAGTAGCCCATTTGGTGGCTTTAATGTAGAGTACTGGATTGTAATTTGGCAGAGATTTTAACTTATACGCTGCCAATCGAGGAAAACTAATGGTGCAAATGAGTATGAGTGGCAATCAATGCACAAAAGGGGAACGTAAACCATTCTATATGATTCAACTGTGCGGTAGATATACGCTCAATGCTAATAAAGATTCATATGGACTGTGAATCCAATGCAGGGTATATTATCGCATCAACTTTATTTGTCTAAATGACAACATCCGATTACAAATAATGGCATCAGACCACAAAAAAACCAAAGTGACTAACAGCACTGTGGGTGGTTGCTTAGTGTCTGCTGGAGCCAAGGCACGTTTTAGGCCCAGTAGCCCCAAACAGCTGCTGTGGGAATCGGATCCTCAGTCCGTGTGTTGGTAAGCACTCGCCATCGCTCCTGTCAAGCAGAGGACAACGTTCAACATTTCTGTTGGGCACAGCAGAAAAAAAACACCCGCCAATGGGTACTAGGGTCATTAAATGTTGAGCAATATTGACAATACTGGCTCCTGAAAAAAAGAAATATATTAGTTGGAAATTTGTGGCAAGGAAACGACGACAAAGCATTTGGAATTATATACAGTACCTTAAACTCTTTTGGGTCTTTTCCCCTGATGAGTGCCTTCCTGTTTATAACCAATTGGGGGGACCCATTTGAGGAACAGTACTGCTTTAGCAAGGTAGACTGGGACAAACAAATACAAAAAAATATTGGACAACCAATAAATGATGTGCTAATTTAAATGTGAGAAAATTACTCTACAAAGTGCGTTATGGTAATAACACGATTTATTCTGAACTAAGTCATAAAAACGTGGCACCTTTAAAATCCAAGTCAATGGCAAAGATGGTCCTGACATCTGTTCATTCACGGATTTATTTAAATTCCTTATAGAGAAAAACAAATCCAAGCCAAAACATCTGAGGCACATTACTAAATGCATATTGAAAATGATAATTTTTATTTTATTTAAACGTCACAATTTTATCAATGACCTGCACAATTGATGGAAAAACACTCAAGCTATGAAGTGACAGTAGATTAGATCCAAGATGAGACTGCAATGATTCAACAATGTGATATGACCTATTACCTGCCAAGCGAAGTGCCTGCACAAATTGTTGCTTGACATACAGGTTAAATTAAATCGCTAATGTAAGTTCTGGTCAAAAGTAAATTGTACTTGTAATGATTTAAAATATTAACCAGGAAAGAACGGGTATTTAAGACATTTCAATCATGTAATTTATCGTAACATTCCTTGAAAAAGAGACATGCACCTCAAAATGATAATAAAAGTTCTGTGAACCATATTAAAGTTCATTGGTGGCCCTGAGAAAGTGGCTTAAATGTCACATACCTATGACAAAACCAGTATCTCCATAAGACAACCACTATTAATGTCCTAAAATATTGAACCAATTTTATCAAATGCAAATAGACAACGGATTGGGATTTCACTCACAATGTGATATTTTTGGGGGCGGTGGCATTCTGTCAATAACAGCCACCTATATTGCTTAACCATTCTCACCTTGTCTACACAACAAGGGGCCCACGGCCAAGGTCAAAATTCCCAATTCATGTACCTCTGACAATCAGTTTTGGTTTACTGGCCCTGGGTGCTGGTTATTCAGCATACCATTTACAAAATCCTAGCAAGTTGACACGAGTCCCGTTTCAAAATAACACAATGGATGAGCGTGGACACCATTCCATCTCAAAAGGCTTTCCACTCTTATGTCAAATAAAGTAACCGAACCAAACTATGAAAATCCCACTGCAGTTGCAGAGGTTACATACAGGGACAGCGGTGTGTGGAGGGTATGAAGTGCGACAAACCATGGCGTCGTCGCTCATATCCGTCCGATTTCTCGCAGCTTGGCCACCAGCTGCTCGGTGGTCTCCACCTTGATGCCGGCCTGCCGCTGGGGTGGGTCCTCTACGGACAAAATTTCCACCCGCGATGCCATGTCCACACCTAGATCCTTCGGGGTGACCATGTCAATCTTCTTCTTTTTCGCTTTCTGTGAGCACGGGAAAAAGCCAGAGATACGTTTAAGGATTGCTTCTGAATGCCAATTTAGTACACGTTAGTTCTGAGGTTAAAATCCTCGGGAACCACAGCCTACGCTAAAACTAAATTTTCTTCGCGAAGTCGTATGTTCTCATTTGTAAGCAATGGGTTTTTTTTTATGTTTTACAGTAGGTATATAACGATTTATTGATTAATAGACTAAAAGTGGTTGTTCCACTCAAGATGAGCACATCCAATCGAGTAGAATTTACAAAAATGATATTCTCATGTTACATTTAGAAGAGTGAACAAAACTGATGAGACCAAACCATAAGAAATAATACAAACGAGACAGTAAAGACAGATAAAAAAGGATAAATTATTTTAAACCGCCAATCACGACAATTTATTGAATCACGTGGAGTGGGTGGTGATGGGGCGGTGAATCATCTGCCTATTTCACTATTTTACAATTGAAACTGACAAGAAGCAGTATAATGATGGCAGGCCTCAGCAGGTTGCTTTCGCCAGAGCGAGATTACCATGATGTTGGGCAGGGTGGCGTAGCGCGGTTCGTTGAGCCTCAGGTCCGCTGTGATCACCGCCGGCATGTTGATCACGATCGTCTCCAGCCCACCGTCAATCTCGCGTACTACCTTCAGCTTGTCACCCTCCAGGTGGATTTCAGACGCAAACGTGCCCTGCAGATAGCAAGAGCAACATGGGTGCTGGGGTTACGGCGAGGGTGGAACGACTGATTAATTAAGCTCACAGTACACGAATTGACTGAGTGTTTATCCGTATAATAAGCTGTACGTAACAACCAACATCTACTTGCATTTGTAATGCACCCATAATTTAACAAGTGTATTGGGTTACCACTGCAGCTACTCGAGGTGCAGGCATTCTTCAGTGTGAAATAGAATATTTTTTTTTATCAAAGTGGGACCCTGAATCACGACAATTAATCGATTCACCAGGGAAATTAAACATTCTAACTGGTTACTATCATCTTTCCTTTGTTCTCATCTCTTCAGAGAGACTTGAAATCCCAACATCATTACTGTTTCAAAACAGTTTGATAACATTGCATAAATTAAAAAAAAAATTGGTGGAAAATATAAAATGTAGGTATGCATATAATGTAATGTTATCACATTTTTGTTAATTAATGACATGCACTCAGAGACAGCACTGACGCGACATCGAGGTTGCAGTACCTGAGGCCAGTCCAACAGAGCTGCAGTCATCTGACCTGTCTCATTACAGTCGTCGTCAATAGCCTGTGGAGCAGACACGATTATGCTGACTTGAGCGACTGAATTCCATAAACACACAAATGACTTAACACCAGTATAACAGCTCTTCCCGCGGCCATATTACATAATACACAACTCATGCAACACCACCACGGATCTTCCATCAACAGCAGCGACAACATTTTTAGACCATGGAGCACAGCAAAAACTGGCACCATTTGAGGAGGCCAAACTTTAGGTGTATCACTTGAGATAACAAAACTCCGTTGGTATGGATTTTAATTAATAGACAAAAGTAAATTGTGCAATTATACACTTATTTTAAACATTACACAATTCACTTTTATGAAACAAACAGTGGAGGGGGAATGGGGGGTGGAGCAGTTGCGCAGTGTTTAGTGCAAGAAAAATGAGTTTGATTCCTGCTATCACTCCCATCGGTAACGACTGGTCAAGTATGGTCAATGGACTGCTGCAACCAACAGTGCGGAGAAACGTTCATCCAGCAGTTCAATTGACTTTGGACTGTACGTTTATTTTTTTAAACACGTAGAATTTATCACTTTAGGTTGCAACTGACAAGTGATATATCCGACCTCCGCAGACAGAATACAAGAGCGCTGCAATGTTTCACTTCAAACTCCTGTACGACCGCCACACAGGTACAATGAACGCAAGCCACTCCATCATCCTACCTCATGCCGCCTCCACGCACCTGTTTACCGAGGATCACGAGATTGACGTCCTCCTTTTTGGCGAGCGCCGCCAAGATCTTGGAGACCTGCAGGGGCCCCATGGCCTCGTACTCCTTGCCCGACACGTTCACGTGGATGCCCCGGTCGGCGCCCATGGCCAACGCCGTGCGAATCGTCTCCTGGGCAACTCGCACGCGCAACCCGGCGTCGCCTATTAAACCCAGTTCGCCTGGTAAGAGCGCAGCGGAGGAGCGGAAATTGAGCCCAGCAACGAGTTTCATTCACGGCTATGGCTAACGTCAGCGGCGAATTGTCTGAACTGACCCTTCAGGCCTCGTTTACCGATCCACGCTGACTAGGGTAGTGGAGTATGGTCAACCCCCATGGCATGAGGAGGCTTTCATTTAGTAGTGGATTACACTCGGAAAGAGGAGCTGCGCCGGTCGAGAGCACGAATCTTACATTGCATGAGTTAATGTATAATTTCCACCAAACCATGAAGCCTTTTTCCAAGGTTTTCATCCACCACCAAAAACAATATCAACACCAAAATCGAAAAGCATCCACAAAATGAACAGATAATATGTTCCACTGTGGAGGGGGAGCAAACAGCACGCTCGCCAACAAATCGCAAGCCCTACCCCGAACCCGTATGAACCAGCGAATCGGCGACAAGTACTAACTCTCTCATTTACTAACACATTCCTGCGGAGGGAGCTGGTAGGAACGTTGGGTTGCTCGGTCAATGGCCAGGGTCAACGGCGGCGTGGTGTATTCCGCAAATATGTTTGACTGTGAGGGCGGGCACAAGCCGGCGTGACTAGGTTAAAAGTTGAGTTTTATAAGGGCACCACGGAGTGACCAGCCCCTCCCCACCCAGCCCCTCCCCACCCTCCCCACCCAGCCCCTCCCCACCCAGCCCCACCCCATCCAGCCCCTCCCTACCCTCCCCTCCCCACCCAGCCCCTCCCGACCCTCCCCTCTCCACCCAGCCCCACCCCTCCCATTTTTGGATGCACAACGGACATACACAATAATCCCCTGTGGGCTGGTGTAACCAGGAGGTTCCTACCAGTATAACCCTACTCCTAACCAATCAGCAGCCCGCCATTGTTACTATCCCTCTCACTGACCATACCCCTGTTCCTGTTGTATCGGAAGGGTCCCGTTCCACTGTTAGCTTTTAAGCTTCGGCGTTCACAGCACTTGCATCCCCTGCGAAGTGCATGTGTCACGACCGCATGTGGGGTGGGGGTTGGCGGCACCATCGCGGCTTCCGTACCTGGCACTGCTGGGGACCACAGCTCACGGCCACGATCTCCTTGGCCAATTTCTTCTCCTTGAGGCGGACGGCCTCCTCCATGGCGATCTCGCAGAATGGGTTCATGGAGTGCTTCACGCCATCTGTCACCACGCCGGTCTTGTCGGGCTTCACGCGGATCTGGCGAAGCGTGGCAGCAGGTTGCACACACGGCTTATAGAGGGTCCACACCGGCCACTCATCATTGACAGGGCCCACTAATGGTTATAAATGACCGACAAATGTAGTATGTGGTAAGTACAACGGATATTTGGAAAATATGCTAAATAGACATAAGTTAAACACCAATGTTTGAATTTTGCAACTCAAAACACGTATCGCGACAAACCGAAAATGGCCACCACAGCTGTTGTAGGATGAAGCTGTGAAGGCCCTTTAGCCCAAAACCTTTCATAGGAGTCGCACTAACTGTGCAGCAATCGTCATGATTTTCATCAGCTGGATTAACGTCAAAGCTGACAATTCCACTTCAGGATTGCTACATTAGGGCCATCCATTTAGTACGTACGCATGGAGGGGGGAGGGGGGAATGAAGCCTCGATATTTGTCTACATTGGCCTTCAAATGAGTTAGATAGTCCGGCGGTGGACCATCTGTTTGTTTAAACACGTTAATATTATTAATCCTTGATCGTTTCTGCGTGGATTAAATATCGGTCGTTCTATAGGATTCGGGGGGGGCGGGGGGGTGTGTCAAGCGTACATACGCAGGTGGGGGTGTAAAAAGTACGGGTGCGTACATGGAGGTGGGCAGGGGTCAGGTTATGACAGATTTTTGCGTACGTACTAAATGGATGGCCCCTTAGCTTTTGCACCTGATTGTAGAATATTCTTTAAAGATTAATGTTTTTCCCCCCGATAAATTGTATTTTTTACTTGTGTTGTTTTTTTGTAAACTCACAAGTGAAAGGAAGATTCGAGTTATAGAGGGGAAGATAGGGTATACACTCACTGGATTTCCATGTTAATAGTATTTGTGTTCATGTTTATAAACGGCAGCTGACCTAAGGCAGGGTTTAAACAGCACACCGTAAATAGGTCGCATTTACTTAAGAGCATATGCTCAGCGCCTGTGATCTGTACGCAGATACCCAATACAACAAGGTGATTCAAGATTCTCTCCGACACCAATCCTCATGCTCCACCACAATTTAAGTATCCATAATTGCAAATCATCACGAGAATGATTACAACATGCGGTGACTTACTTTGCATGAAAAAACTACAACAGTGAACGAATGAAGGTGGCCCCGTGCATGGTGAAGCATCAGCACTGAAATTTTAGTTTGTTGTCCGTCCCTAACACCGATTAGCACGGTTGCCTAAGTACAGTGCGAAAAAAGTTCAACATAGATTGTAAATGCCCAGACATTAAGTTAATACTTTCATTGAAACATGACCACATTGACAGGTATAGTGACAAGTTTAGCAAGCCAGGTTCGACGTTAAAATGCCGATAATGGCATCTACGATTCAGCAGGTGCAGCGCGGATGCAGCAGCTCTCAAACAGTGTGCGCTGCTGCCCCTGTCGTGTCCTCTAGGCCTGGCAACTCTTGTCCTCGCCAGCTACCCAGTACGTAGTTGCTACCAGTGCCAAGTGCAGGAACGTGATCCAGAGATGGGCAGTTAGACAAATTACGCAACTTCAGTCAGTTTTAAAGTAACCATAGTCCTACATGTGTGATGTTATTTATAAGGAAACTATATTTTAGAAGGTACGGCTCGTTTCTGGAATGAGTCGATGGTTTTGCATGCACATAAAACAGAATGCATCATCATCTCAGCGTTGATGAAAATTGCCTGAGTACATCTGAATGCCATGGTATTTTCTGAGCAATTATCCCTAACCAAGATGGGTGGACAACTTACTTCTATCAGCATGACAGTTCTCATTGGTTGAGAATAATATTCCCAAAACGCCACTTCACAAATATATGAATTTTAAAGTGTCCGAGAAGTACAGTATGTCGGAAATCGAGTAATGGTTGCTTCTGATGTGACTCAAAGGGTCGAAACGAATAATATATCTATTTAGTACAGCATTGCGTGATGTGGCACATTTAGCTCCATATATTATATTTGCTTTTTTTAACCACTTTTGTACAGCGGCAGGGCCAACAAACCCCATATTGCACGTTTAGCCTTAAAAAAACTGTTGAGACGAATGCTGCTGGTAAGCACTTATTTAGAGGTCGGTGTGGCCAGAACCACGGCGGGCTGATTTTATTGTTTTATCAGTGCTTCCACCCCACACCAGGTACTTATTTAAGGCTGAGTCGACCTAAGTGAGCCTCAGCCAGGTTCGACGTTAAAATGCCGATAATGGCATCTACGATTCAGCAGGTGCAGCGCGGATGCAGCAGCTCTCAAACAGTGTGCGCTGCTGCCCCTGTCGTGTCCTCTAGGCCTGGCAACTCTTGTCCTCGCCAGCTACCCAGTACGTAGTTGCTACCAGTGCCAAGTGCAGGAACGTGATCCAGAGATGGGCAGTTAGACAAATTACGCAACTTCAGTCAGTTTTAAAGTAACCATAGTCCTACATGTGTGATGTTATTTATAAGGAAACTATATTTTAGAAGGTACGGCTCGTTTCTGGAATGAGTCGATGGTTTTGCATGCACATAAAACAGAATGCATCATCATCTCAGCGTTGATGAAAATTGCCTGAGTACATCTGAATGCCATGGTATTTTCTGAGCAATTATCCCTAACCAAGATGGGTGGACAACTTACTTCTATCAGCATGACAGTTCTCATTGGTTGAGAATAATATTCCCAAAACGCCACTTCACAAATATATGAATTTTAAAGTGTCCGAGAAGTACAGTATGTCGGAAATCGAGTAATGGTTGCTTCTGATGTGACTCAAAGGGTCGAAACGAATAATATATCTATTTAGTACAGCATTGCGTGATGTGGCACATTTAGCTCCATATATTATATTTGCTTTTTTTAACCACTTTTGTGCAGCGGCAGGGCCAACAAACCCCATATTGCACGTTTAGCCTTAAAAAAACTGTTGAGACGAATGCTGCTGGTAAGCACTTATTTAGAGGTCGGTGTGGCCAGAACCACGGCGGGCTGATTTTATTGTTTTATCAGTGCTTCCACCCCGCACCAGGTACTTATTTAAGGCTGAGTCGACCTAAGTGAGCCTCAGAACAGGTTCTGATAAAACCTAGGGGGCACGGCTAATGCATCTTCCAGTGATCTCGGTCAGTCAACCCATGGCACCTGGGTCTGTCCTGCGACCTCCGCCTACCAACGGGCCTTCGACAACTTCACATGGCCTTAAAGTGCACATAGCCTGGCACAACCGTCGTGGTGACATCACCACCACTTTGTTAGGGTTGGTTGTTGCTGATAAAACTCGCCACTGATGTTGGCTCTGGCTCGCGTAGTGCACGAACCATTTATAAACTCTCGCATTAATACTCACTCTCGCATTCTCATACACACTCGCATGCCCTCACACACGCACACTTGCTCTCTGAACTCTCATTCACAAACATATACAGTAGTCACACACACACTCTCGCGCTCATAAAACGAATTTCCACATACAATATAGCCTTTACAGACTGTTGGGGCAAGTGCTGTTTGCGATCACCTATGAAGGCCGGCATGGTACACGAGGGGGTGGGGGGTGGTTGGCCAACACCACGCCCGACCGCCTTTGTCTCCTCAGTGGCGATGTTTTTACACACCGCACCAGGTACTCATTTGAGGCCGAGTCGACCGAGGGGAGGCCCAGGACCGTTTCAGATAATCGTCACCGGTGTTGGTGGCCGTGAGCGGGAATCAAACTCGGATCGGCGGGTTCGTAGCGCAGCGCGCTAACATCCCCCATGCACTACCGCTCCCCTCCCCCCCACACGTACCCATTGACAATGCCGTACGTAACAATCACTCTGTCTCAACAAACAATCCTTCCACACACAACCCTTCCACACACAACCTTCGTGTGGATACCACCGATCATCCCCATATCCACCGCTGCCCGGCACGAGTCCTCCTCCTGTTTTCCCCTCCACATTTATAAACGCGCGTTTCGATTGTTTCGATTATTTCGCTTCTAGACATTTCCACGTGATAAGCCACTTCGTAGAGCTATCATTTCTGACAAATAAGCTAATCGCTAAGTGGGCTTTCACCGAGTAATATATAACAGTTTCGCTTTATTTGAATAGTATATTTATTCGTGATTTGTTTACCTGTCCTATACTTTGAACTCCTATCGTGGGGTTTTTTTTTGCCTTGTTTGTTGTTGTTACATTCCGGACCAGTCCCGACTGGACATGTGAAAAAAAGAGCTTTACGGCTCATCGGATTCCTTGAGTATAAATACATCATTCGGATTCAGGTGACGCTAGACAACTCCCGCAGGTGAGGGTCAACCTCGGAATCCCGGGGCCATAGAGACAGCGGGCAGCCCCTATGACCTTTGGAGGGCCCTCAGACCATGGTCAGGAGAGAAACTAGAAAGCTGAGGAGAGACCCGGTACCTTCATACAATACTATGAACCAGAAACCCAAAGCTGGGATTGAGCTAGATAGGAGAGGGACCTAAACACCAAAAAAACCATACAACCCTCAGAAGAGGGATCAGGACCCTGGGTAAGACCGGAGAAGAGCCAACAGTCCAGGGAGGGGTTGAGATCATGACCCTAGGGGTATCCTCGGGCTCCGATCCTATCCTCTCGTGGGTCTGGGTCGGGGCCCTCCCGGGTTTCTCCCTCTCCAGCCCGGGCCCGCAGTGAAGGTCAGGGGACGTGCCGGTCTTCTGGGCAAAGTGGGGTAGCCGCGTCTCCCCTACCCCCCCACACACACCCCGAGATCCCCCAACCATGATTCGACCTCGACACCCTCCCCTCCTCCTCTTGGTCTCCGCGGCTCCTCTCGCCTGGAGAGCGGCGGGGGGAGGGGGCGGAAACGCCACCGCGTCAAAAGTCCCGCCGGGTACCTTGACGGCGTAGTCAATGACTCTCTTCACCCCGACCAGGACGCGCAACGCCATGACGAAGTTGCCGCTCCTCCTGACAGCAGCGCGTGCGGACTTTGACCCAGTTACGTCACTTCCTGTTATAGACACGCCCCCCTCCACCCACCGACCCCCTCCACCCACCGACCCCCTCCACCCACCGACCCCCTCCACCCACCGACCCCCTCCACCCACCGACCCCCTCCACCCACCGACCCCCTCCACCCACCGACCCCCTCCACCCACCGACCCCCTCCACCCACCGACCCCCTCCACCCCCCCTCGCCCAATACGCTGAGACGATCGGAATGCGGGGACTCCTCTACTTACGAACGTCCGACTTGCGAGCTTTCAGAGATACGAACAAACCTGCTACGTTAAGGCCATTTGTATGTCCGGGGCACCGAGAGTCGTAAGTTCATCCGCCGCGCAATAGATGGCGGTGGTTGTTCGGTGTCATTACCCAGCATTTCTGCCTCGGCAGAACATAAAGAACCAGTTATAGGAATAGGTTTTACCCTTTTAACTGGCACAAAAACTTACACCTTTATTCAAGGCATCATGTTTGCAATAACCACAACACAAGCAGTCAAAATGCAAACAAAAAAGACAACTCTGATAATAATATGCACTGTCCTTGAATTTGATTGGTCCACACCCGAGACTAGGCTCTATTATTATTATCAGAGTTGTCTTTTTTGTTTGCATTTTGACTACTTGTGTTGTGGTTATTGCAAACATGATGCCTTGAATAAAGGTGTCAGTTTTTGTGCCAGTTAAAAGGGTAAAACCTATTCCTATATCTTGTTACTGGCAAAGGAGGTCTCATAATGTAAAAATAAAGAACCAGTGTCATCTACATTTGCAGAACGTGAAGAACCAGTGGCATCTACATCTACAGGCGATTATACAACTTTTAAAGCCATTCCCCGTGTTTAGTGTACATGCTGTAAAACACGTTTGGAATCGACAGCAGTAAAGTTGAACAAATGAACTTCCGGACTTCTGGAATATAACTCGTTTGTAAGTAGAGGAGTCATTGTATTTATTTTTACTGGATGAATCCGATGAGCTATAAAGCTATTTTTGTTACAGATGTCCAGTAGGGGGCGGGTCAGAATGTTTAAAATATACTGTACAGATAAAACATAACAATTTTTTATCCTATCAGGCAAAGCCCACTGAACTATTAACTTATTTTTCAGAAGCGACCTGGACACAAATGATAGCTCAACAACAAAGTGGCATATCATGTGGATATTTACAGCAGCAAAATAATATAAATGCATCCATTAGACCTCCTTTGCCAGTACCAAAATGTAATAATAGGGGTTTTTTCCCCTTTTTTCTGGCAACAAAACTGAAACTTTTTTACAAGGATTCATGTCTGCATTAACCACAATACCTGCAGTCAAAATGCAAACAAAAAACATACTATGATAATATATGCATTGTCCTTGAAACTGATTGGTCCACACCAAGGGACGGCTTTGTTTTGAGCCTCGACCCAATTGGTGCTCGACCAGCTGACACCAAAAGGTCGAGCACCAATTGGGTCGAGGCTCAAAAGAAAGCCGTCCCTTGGTGTGGACCAATCAGCTTCAAGGACAATGCATATATTATCATAGTATGGTTTTTGTTTGCATTTTGACTGCAGGTATTGTGGTTAATGCAGTGACATGAATCCTCGTAAAAAAAGGTTTCAGTTTTGTTGCCAGAAAAAAAGGGGAAACCCCTATTATTATAATATAAATGGATGTTTCTAAATGTGGAGGGAAATACCGGAGGACGGGGGAAAAAATAAAACCCCCCACGCGACCACGGGGAGAGAAACACGCAAACTCCAAATACACAGACGGCGAGACCCCACCCGTACTCTACATATATAGACCGACCTCGCTTAGCGTGACCCATCAGAACGCCGATTCGTTTTTAGTGCTCTTTGTCCTGGATTAAAAAAAAAATACGAACAAAAAATGAAAACAAAAATCTATGAAACTGCCCTTACGAGTGAGAAAACGTACCGACCATTTACAAAAACAGGCGTGGGTCAGGTTAAATTGTGATTCAGGGACAGCTATTGATTTGTTTACATATATATTTTTATTGATGTGTTGTGACGGCTTTCCAGACAAAAACAATACACACCAAAATCTGTGAGAATATCTTACAGCATACATAATATTTCAAGAAATACTCAAATAAATGCAGATACATTACTGAGGTGAAACTTTTTTTTCTTCGCAGAGAAATATAAAATGAAAGATCTGCGTCACACTTGTGTGGGAAGTCCACAAATAACTGTAAAGTGATTAGAACACCCTTCAACATAAAAAGACCAAACACTGTACTTAAATTTGTAGGTAGATATTTGACAGTCACCAGTGATCAAAGTCAAAGTGATTCTTGCTCAAATGAGCAATGAGGTGGTGCTCACCTCTCATTTACAGCCCTGAGTCAGTGGTGGAAATTCCATGTTCCTATGGTGGGGGCGAGTCTATCCATAGGACAACCACTGTTGACCTCCCCACAGTGGTACTCTTTTTATCGACCCTGGATGGATAATGATGGGCCGAGCCAAGCTCCAACCAGAATTTAAACTCGCATCTTTGCGAGTGCGAGCCGATAGCACTACCGCTGAGCCACAGCGCCGGATAAATATTTTACAGCCACCACCGATATATATCTACATGCCTGGCATGGCCTCAACCTCTCACTCTTTCAAAGATGTCTCTGGTTGTGAAATGTGAGTGTAAAACAGAAGCGGTGTATAGTTCGTTGAAAAAAAAGTATAAATACACGTGATTAGTGTTTCAAATAAATCACCTGCGGCTGAGTAAAATGAAGTTACTCGATATTTAGTTTGTTTGCTCGGGCAGCACACCAAACATTATAATGTAGGACATCGTTTGTATTCAAAATAAATTATCGTGACCGACCGTAGGGTGGGCCATTGCACTCACAATTATCATATTTTGGCCAACCACGTGAGCATGGCAAGCAAGAGAGAATGAGCATCAGCTGCTCAAGCTCAAGACTGAATCGCTCACTCAGCAGTTGTCAAATCGGTACTCCGTGTAGCCCATCGCTTGACGAAGGACATTACCCTCAATTCCAGCCTCGATTTCATCTTAGTTGTGGTTTTGCCATACTTCCAAATCTGTAGCAGTGTAAAGCTGTGCAGTACCAGAGAGAACCACCCCTCTCTCAGTGGTGCCCTGTGTACACAATGAGACAACACTAGTGTGTTGAGGTATCAGGGGGATTATTGCTGTTAAAGACTTCATTTCAAGTGAAGAAAATGCTAAACTAAAAATTATTATGTGCCAAGCAACCCGATTATTATTTTCACCCATGCCAATTACAATTTTCTGGCACGCAAACACAAATCAACCTCCAATCAGTGGTGTGGTTTTAAAGTTATTTGAAGAAATGCACTCCTGTTGTGAACATAAATATCTTAAAAAGTGACTTTGGCATCTTCAAATAAAAATAAAATATGCTTTGACCATTAGTGCACTACCAGCAAACGTAAACAATTCTCCACTGCTAGCAACCGCCTGCCTGACTGCAGCATGTCTTCATCGCAGCTCCCTAACGGAAGCCTTCGTCGTTCGAAATGCACACAAACGTGTCCCTCGAACACAACACGCTATAATCGTAAGCAACTCGAGTCGATGGACGTTTCATTTTTCACGGTGTGGCGTCACTAAAAAGCATAATCAGTAACGATGTCTTAAAGCACTTCCATTACAGTGCAATATATGCCACATCAAGTGAGGAGAGACCACTTGTGGCGAAATAGAGAAATGCATTTTACAACAAAAATAACACAAGGGATTTCCAGAGTAACGTTTAAAATGAAAATGTACGGAAGAAAAATTTAACATTCGTTTTAAGTTAATTTATCATGCTCGTTCGCTTGACACCAGAGGGTTCATCAATCGAGGCACTCACTCTTCACGGATTTCCTGTGCGATATGGGCAACATTCAGTCACGCACCTTGTAGGTGAGACCACTTCCAAACCTCTTGGCATTTTCTCAAGTCCCCGTGCTCATCACTGAATATACAAATCGATGGGGACGAGCACGTCAGGCAATAAAGAAAACCTATTAGGTCGTTTAAACTTCCATTACCCGCCGACAACGGTGACCAACTTTACCAAGAGGGCCACGGAGCTAAGCTTGTTCCCTTGGACACTTGTGAAGCACAGGCACTTCTTGCTGTTGTCGTCCTTGTCCCACTCATGCTGGGGGTCGTTTTGTGCATCCCCCCCCGACCCCACTTTCCATCAGCGTAAGTGTAGTAACGTCGGTTACGAGGACTCCAGACATTGGGCGATGCTCGTCCAGACTCCCTCCAAGGTGCCTCTGGTCGTGTCTCGCGGAACTACGACCGCAGTGGGTCCATGGTGGTGGGGGTGAGGGTGTGGTGGAGGGGGGGGCGCCCGGCGGTGTTCACAGCGCTCGCTGGTCACCGCTGCGTCCGCACGAGCGCGCGGTAAACACCCAGGCCGAGCAGCGCGATCATGGCGGCCCCGATGCTGGCGCGAAGCCACACGGACGAGCCCCGCGCCTCGCACTCTTGCCAGTGCCTGCGTCACAAAAACGCATCCAGATGTGCACGCCCACAGATTAGCTTATGGGCATGCCCTTTTTTCATGACTAGTTGTAAGCAGACCATAATTGTGCTGGGCCAGAAACCAGGACACAAGGCAGACCATAAAACAGAGAGTAGCTAATCCTGGCTATATATTTTCCTACTTTAATCTCGTCTTATCTATCCCAGAGCAGAGCAACATTTTCTGTTAGAGAATGGCCCGGGGAAGTGGATACCAAAGAGCTACCTATGAGACCTATTCAAGTGACCTTTGTTAAACAGCTTCGGCTACAACACTTTCCAATCCGCGCTGCCACTGACAGTAATGATTACCTTATGGCAGTCTAACCAATATTGTAATTCGCAGAGGTGGAATATAGCCAAATTAAGTGCAAAACCAATTTTTTGGAGAATCACGAGTGACTGGGATGTGACTATTGCTTGCTTCCAAATGTAAGGAAACATAAAGGCACTGGGGAGGCTCCAGCACAGGAAGGGTCTGATGCTTGAAACGAAATGCAGAGCAGGACCTTCACATGGATGGGGCCTAATAGTTAAAGTACCCTTCTGTTCACAGACTCATTATTAGTTAGTCCAACCCTGCACACACACACACGAGCTCAATGAATTTAGCTGAGCAACAATATTGACTGTTATTTCCAACAATTAAAAAAATACATTTAACAAACCTCACAGACATTAAATAAGAAGCGGCAACACAAGCAAGAAAACAAAGCGGAAAACGTGAGAAAAACGGTGGAACATCAAAGTGCAAGTACACACAAAAGCTGCAAGCATCTCATTGATATTGCTTAGCACTCTCTATAAATGTAAAAATGTGCCTCTTTAGCTGTTTAGACGACCAGGACAACTGTTCTTCGTGAGAATGTTTATGCTAGCATGGATTTAAGAGATAGTAGCACCAACACCACGGTATTTGTCTATCATAGTTAAAGAGGAACAACAATCATAATAAACAATGCCTTTTATTTGGCCAGGAAAGCCTCAAGACTCTTGAGTGGGCCTTGATTTTTTTATGTTTGAGAAATTTCGTTCATAAATGTTTGGCATACGGGAGGACACTATACCACCATAATTCGAGGTACTCACGTAAAGCGGATTCAATCTAAGGCCAACCGAGCAAAGTTCAGGTTGTGAATTATGGCAAGGAATTGAGCCCAGATCACCGAGACCTCTACCACTATTCCAACTCTCTCCACGCACACAGTGGATCCAGTGATTCGTCCGTAGCAGCAGTTAAATTTCAACCCAATTAATTCATTCAGTGATCATCCAACTGACAAACGTGCTCAAGAGACACCAACCCCTTCCCGTGCCCTAGACAATGTGGCAGGCGGTGTGATCGGGATTGGGGGTGTAGAAGTGAGGAAATGGGCTGTGGTTGGGGTGAGAGGTGAGGCTTGGGGGGGGGGGGGGGAGTTGATGAACGGGGGGGCGAGGGTTACCTTCGAGGGAGTGACACTCCCAAGAAGGCGCTCCCCTCACCTAGCGCGACAGCGTGCACCTGGTGCGGGGGGCCTCGCCGCTCCCCGCTGGACAGCACTATCACTCCCAGCTCCTCCAGACAATCCCACAACCTTGGCGGCGTGACGGCGCGCACCACACGGTGAGACGACCGGGTCAGCTCGGGCGTTTTAGTTTGGGGAGGGGCGAGGGGAAAGGTAGGGGGTCAGGGTAGGTACGGGAGAGGCGGTGGCCAAGGGGTGGGTTTGGAAAGGTCCAGTAACCCACAAAAGTGATTCCGGTAACACGCTAAGCCCGGTCTCTCCCCGAACAGTGGCATGCCTTAATTTAGCTCTCACTCAGTGTTAATCAACGATTTAATTGTAACACGATGGGGGCTTTCATTCATTAAATGTGACATTTGTATTCAAGTCAACTGCAAATTAAAATGGTCATCTTGTTGTTGATGGGCCGAGCTGCGTTCAGATCACAGAGCACGGAGACTGGAACGACAGCTCGGTCAACAAGCGTTGTGAATATTTCCAACAACTCTTAATAGATCCTGCTGCCTTCTGCTGCCTTATGGCCCTCAGCAACCAGGTCAAAACGTTATAAACATCGTTGGCATATAATTTTCCTATCAATGCACACGGCCAATTAATTTCAATGAGGTTTTTTCCTGGTGTGTCAAAATAACATTGGTTGCCCAAGTCCATAGGTTGCCAAGCAACATTAAGCTGGCTCCAAGCAACATGTGGTAAGCTTTACAGGTGGAAAAAAGGGTTCATCTACAGATAATGACCAAGCATTGACAGAGAACTCGCCGTGCTAGAAAACAGAATGCACGACGCTCAACCCTCGTGACAAACCAGAGCTACGTCCATCTACTGATCCACAGAAGATCTACAGCCGCCAGTCTACGTCTGATAAGAACCAAAATCCTTCCACGTGTAACACCTGCCCCCCATCGGGTCTGCAACGATGGAGGGCGCGGGGAATGGGGAGGAAAGAACAGCTGCTTAGGGTTCCTGCGCGGTTCGCACTTAACGACAGAGCGTAGCGATGTGCAACAGAAAGAGGCAGAGAGCAACCCGGAGGAAATGCGCGGAGACGAGTGGCCTGATGACACACGGAGGAGAGGGGACACAAAGGGCAAAGAAAAGAATAAACAGTGGCAGATAGGGGAGAGCCGAAGCACTCGCAACCATGTTTATATAGTGGTCAAAGTGGAGAAATCTAACAAACATCGGACCAATTTAACACAACTGCAGAGTAACTGTTGCCTGTTTTTTTTCTACCTTTATCTTATTTTGGTTTCCACAAACTTTAAGCATTCATACATAAACACAGATCTATGTGCAGTGACGTAATCATGCACGTGAACTCACTTTGTCGTATTGCTCAATGGACACGGAAGATACACCATGAAACGATAATAAAGGTTTTTTTAGGTTAGATCGCGTAAATATAAACGTGTCGTTAAATCCGCCACCACCCGACACAGTTACTTAGTAAGTTTTGTGACATGAACAAAATGTGCCAATTAGTTACTACTTCAGCACACCGGTGTGTTGGAGAGTAAACCCAGAACATTTACAAATCGAGTACGATGTTTCACTGGTGATTACAACAACCAGCTTCATCAGGCGATCAGCCAGAATTGCGAAGAAGCCTTCCTGTTTACACTATTCCAGAGTGCACTCCCAGTGTACTCCAGAATAGGCTTACGTTTAAAAAACACACATGCAGAGTTGGGTGACCACGCTGGAACCATCAAACTCGCTCGACGCAACAAGTCGCTTTGGCAATAATTGAGAGAGAGCTGGATTTTAACCCAGACTTCAGGTTCGGTTTCAGTGCTCCAATGAGGCCATCGGTCTCCGGAGCAACGCGGTCTACACACTCACTCCACGTTGACAGCCGCTTGCACGGCTGAGCGAGAGCGCTCTCGCTTGTGATCGCCGCATCCCACGTTCGCCACAGAAGTAGTTTTTCACAGCCACGTCCCAGCAACGTCATCACCAATATGGGCAGGACATTGAATGTTTGGCTGACATAAATGAGGCTCAGTGGAATATCCGAGAGGTTTAGGGTGGGGGGAGGGTGGGGAATGGGTTAACAGAAAAACAATTAAAGTGTTAAAAGTATGCGGCATTATAGAGATCGACTGTCACGTGATTCTTCTTGACTACATATATGAGCAGGAATTTGATAGAGGACACACTACGGAAGCGATGAATGACATCGTCAGATAAGCAGAACTCGTTAATAATCACAGAGTGTGAGATTAAGAAGAAAATGGGACAAGGATGCTGATGAGAAATTGAGATAAGAGGCAGTGATGAGAAGTTAGGGATGTAACGCTGCACCCCTCCACTATTCTACGAATCGTCACAAATCAGATTCACAATTCAATTCTCAAAAATAACAAACGTTTCCTCTTGCTAAATATGTGGAATATATAGCGGTATAAATAGTGTCTGCAGTGGTGTGAATCTACAGCGCAATTGTGGTATGAATCTAAATTATTCTATAGTTGTAGAAAAACCACAAACATACAGGATGTGAATTTGATACCATCGATTTTTAAGCGGATAATTCAGTACACGTAAAACGAGCATAACATTCCATTTTAACCAAGGCGACGTTATGTCCCTCCTAGGCATGTAACAATTCAGCGCCTCACTTGCCGATGATACATGAATTGTTAAACTTTGAGGGTCACAATTCTATTCAATAACATTCATTTTTAAATCTCACTTGCACCGTCAGTCTCTCTCTGTCGTGTTCATTTTAATAGCCAATCGGTATAGTAGCATGGAACTTGCATATGCATTTCATGAACCACTAAAAAAATCGATTCACACAACCTATCGTTCAATACATCTATCGTGACCAAAAGAATCGAGTTTAAGGCACCACGGTGGCAAGATGTTAACGCCCTCGCCTGGTATACAGATCGTGGGTTCGATCCCGACCCCAACACATGTATATATGGAGTTTGCATGCTTCTCTGGGTCCTCCGGATTTTTCCCTCCTCGTTTATAAACATGCGTTTAGAATATTTGGCTGCACTAAATTTCCACATAAGCTAATTCGTTGCGCTATAAATTTGTGGCCAGGTCACTTCCGAAAAAGAGCCATATAAGCTCGGTGGGCCTTTCCTGGTAAAATAAAAAGTTTTTGTTTAGTTTTAATCGATCAATTGCACACATGCCTAATTACTTAGTGAGGGGCAACCGCGAAGATTTAGTGGGGTGAAGGGGGGGGGGCACGAGAAGGAGGAGGGCAGCAGCGTCACGGATGCAGCGGCCGTGCGTGCGCGTGGAGGAGGAGGGAGAGCGAGAGAAGGGCGAGTAGAGCGGGCAGGTGCAGGGAGGACCTGGAGCGCAGGGAGGCGACGAGGCGGCTCCGGAGGCCGCGTAGCAGGGCCGAGCCCAGCAGGTTTTGACACACGCAGAGTGTACACTTGTTGCAGTTACACAGGCAGTCTAACTGGGAGTGGCTGCAGGAAGACACAACGACAAAACCAAAAGACAAAAATGCACGCGCTCCCACACAGAGAAGAGGAGGAAAAAGTTGTTGGCTTCTGGGGAAATGTCGAAATTCTTGGGCAGCAGTCAAGGTGTTAAACCAAGTGAAGTTCTGATCTATAACCATGAAAACATGAAAACCCAGTTTTAACCAAAGTAAAACAGTAAAAACATTGATAAGGAACGCACGACCGCTTTACGAGATCACAGGAAGTAAGAAAGTAAGTTTAAAAAAAGGCAAGAGACTGTTGATTAACCTTGTGGTATGTCGGGGCAAATTCGGTTCATCCTGACACACCGCTGCACCACCCAGGGGTGATGGTGACCCACACCATGTTCAGATACCAAACGGCCACTTGTCTTATGCATCATGGTCACAACTCAAAACCTGGGTCATCAACACCACATCGCAGTACTTTCCCCAAACACCACATCAACCATTGACGCACGTTTGAAGATTAAATACAGAATCGTGATGTCAGATCTGGACTTTTGTTAAATGTCTGATGGAGCTCTACAAACATTCCCGGATCAATCAAACAGAATCCTGTGTACAGCTGTCTATCGAATGGAGAACTATTTACAAATTCACTGAAGCCACTATCCCAGCGTTCATCCATATTCTCTGTCTCTCTTTGCTGCAGCTACGATCACGGCTGCTGTTCGCAAGAACCATGTGCCTTATTTCTACCTCCGGATTGTATTACTCTGTGTTCACTCTTGGCCATCTGCTCTCACTTAACGGTGCAGTTGCTACATTACAGGACAGCGATTTTTCTCTCCTCACACAGCACAGTAACTTGTAACCTGTCACCAATGACTTTACTCGAATTCCCACTGGCTTCTCACACTCAACTAACTGAACTAAATAAACACAAAAAGCCCACTGAGCGATGAGCTCTTTTTCAGAGGAGACCTGGCGACACTTGATAGCTCCTTCTTTGGTTCTTTTGGTAAAGTCACGTAGAATGAGAATAAAATAATAAATTGATAAAATAAAATAACACAATAATATTCTCACGACGTTTCGGCCACAACACAAGCGGCCTTCATCAGGTGAAGGGACGAGACTGTCTGGTAGGACAGCGTTGAAACGTCGTGAGAATATTATTGTGTTATTTTATTTTATCAATTTATTATTTTATTCTCATTCTACGTGACTTTACCGAAAGAACCAAAGAAGATGAATCATTGCAGTCACGAAAGCTTTAAATCAAAACTTGATAGCTCATCGATATAGTTTATCATATGTGGGAATTTATAGTCGCAGCCAAATAATCCAATTGCAATTTTCTCAATGTGAAGAGAAAAACAAGAGGACCTGCAGAAAAATCCACGTGACCACGGGGAGAACAAGGAGTCAGGGTCAGGATCGAACCCACGACCTCCTGCGTACCAGGTGGGGAAGATAACACCTCGCCACCACGTCACCACCTTTGCATTAAAGTCCTAGGGGCATCGACTTAGAGAATCGTTCAACATTACCAACATAACCAAAACCGTACATAACGTACGATATTTACCACCTTCAATTCCTTCTCAGAAAAAAAAAGTACCTTTTCAGTTTTGTTTATAACAGGTTTTATCAACGTGTTAGTGAATTAAAAATAAGTACGTTAGAGTGTTGAAACGGGCCTGTGTTCTTGTTACAATAAAAACTTAATGGAAAGAAAAACGCAAGTACGTTAGGCTTCTCATGTCTCCCCACTAGTTGGACAGTTCACACACTCCTGATCAACGTTAATAGCAATGAATAATGTTCACCTAGCAAACGTGATTTTTTTTTTAATAACCACCAAAACACCAGGACCACAGACCTCCGCTGCACCAATTTGTAACGCGCACGGTATTCGCGAGCTCTCGAATTGAGAAAACGACTCAGAGGCACGAGGAACCACCGACAAGTAGTGAGCTGGTGCACCAAATTTCCTCCCCACCTCAAAGCTCTGCGACCCTCTACATATGAAGGTGTTATCAGCCAATTAATGAGTGTTTACATGCGGCAAAAAAACTGAAGCACCCGGGGGAAACCCACACAAGTGAGGGAAGTGACACTGTCTCCCGTAGAGAATGGACAGATAATATTAGTCCGCACGTTTTCCATACATTCTCATGACGCCCGCAGTAACGGAACTTCCCAACATTTGCATGACCCACCAACCTTCGCTGCCTCCACAGTGCTGTATGTAGATATGTTGAACTTCTTTCGCACCGAGCGTAGCCAAACGTGCTAATTAAAGTGCTGTCAAACCACACCTCTACCCTCCAACCCCCCCCTCCCCTTTCCCCCCACAGGGTCACGGTGCCAACAAGCTAGCCAGACGCTACGCACGGGTAGATGGCGACCGTGAGCAGCTTGAGGAAGATGTCGCGGCATGGGGTTTCGGCGTCACCGACGCCGGGCGTGAAGGGCGCCGGCAGCGGCAGCCGGTGCTTGCGGCAGAACTCGGCGGGGCTCAGCCCGTGCAGCTGCTTGACGGCGCCGAGGTCTGACTTTGTGGCCACCACCACGCATGGCACGCGACTGTCCAGGAAGTGTTGCTGACCACGGTGGATGTGTGAGTGCATGTGGGTGTGTATGCATGTGCATACGGGCAGGTGAGGAAGAAGGCGGTGAGCGTGCGAGCTGAGTCGGAAGGCAAGTGCCAAACAGTAGGAACAGAAAGGTGAATCGCCTCATCCAATTTATATTAAATTTTTATGCTCACGATGGCATTAATCAAATGGGGAGCGTTATAAAGGAGTGTTTTCGCAGTCTGTATGCTGTACGTTATGGGATCAAGGGATCCCGGTAGCCAATAGAGAGGCGCTACATTCACCACAATGTTAACAGATTCCCAAATTGAGCTTAACGGAGACATTTAAGATGAGCACAGTTTCACTGAACGTATCGTCAAAAACATCAGACGAAAGTGGCGTTCTGGTTTACTCATTTAAATTTGGTACATCTGGTATTTGTGCCGTTCTCATAGCGCAAGGATATCATAAAGGCGTTAAGTTTCACAAACAAGTATTGTTTGCTAGTAGGCGGCAATGTTACTGGACATCTGTAAAAACTGTTTTATAGCTCATAGGATTCCTCCAGTGTTCATAAATAGTCTGATTCTGACACTTTTTTTTGCTACCAAGATAAGTAATTTGGGAGTAAACTTCCAAATTTGTCAAATTTGTGGACGGTGGTGCCCGCGCACACATGTGGCATCCGTGATGAACGTCGCGGGATCTTTTTCTCGTCCACCGCGAAGCAGGTGGCGGTGTATCTAAACTAAACACACCCGCAAGTGCATCAACCAGGGGCACAGGCCCGCTGGGCCTCTTAACCACGAAACCTCTGCAACAAGCGGCGAACAGGAAAACACACTCGGCCACGTCGCTGGCTGACACGGCTCATGCGGTGCGGGCAACCTTGAAGATGCGAGCACAGTACTCGAAGGAGTGGGGATCGTCCACGTTGTAGAGGAGGCAGGCGACATCGCAGCGCACGTCGCCCGATGCCAGGAACTCTGAGTCCGTGTCGATTTCATGCATCTGAGCGGCGGCGGCAGGAAGCACAGGATGACATTGAGACGAGGCGCACAGGCAGATAACTAAAACTAAACTATTTAAACTATTTTTAATTTACAAGATAAGGCCCACTGAACTATATAGCTCTCTTTCAGAATGCGGCCTGACCACAAATGATAGCTCAACGAAGTGGATTATCGCGTGTAAATTTATAGCAGCCAAACACTCTAAACGTACATTGATTCTAAAATGTGGAGGGAGAAACTGGAAGACTCAGCAAAAAACCCACGCTTCCAAGGAGACAAATTGGTTCGATCGCAAGCTAACTCAAAAAACCTGGATTATTGATTTTATTGGTCACGAAAGCCTACGTATTAATCTAAATATACAGGCGTCGGGAACAAACCCACGACCTCCTGTATACCGGGCGAGGTAGTTAACATCTTGTCACCGTACCGCCCATTCCCCTCTGGTCACATAGGGGAATGGGTAAACAGGCACACAGAGGTAGAAATAAAGATGGGCACAGTAGACAGGAAGGTATAGGACCAAGTCAAATATATTTTGCTTCTTTTGTTGACCTTGCCAATTGGCTATCGCTTTTACGACACCGAGCAGAAGCAAGTGATAATAAGATATGGTGGCATCAATAGGATTTACTACTGATTTCTTGAAATCGATTTTGGTTTAATGAAAATGCCACTTAAGGCTACTGATCATCCAAATTTGGTAGAAATTGAGTTCGGGTTTGTTGTGACCGTTTCACGGGCAGTTTATGAAAAGCAGAAGATCCCTGGATTTGATCTTCCACAAAGCACATGGTCCACCCTAAATTGCATCCGCACATACCATGGCAGATGCAGATACCTGATGCACAAATGGAAAATTAAAAAACTCTCCAGTGTGTGCGACTGTGGTCATCCAGAACAGACCAAACAATATCGCAATGCCCGATCCAAAAATTCGAAGGAGACATCACGTTGATGCACTCCGCTGCTCCCAACGCGGTTATCTCGCTTGACCACCCGAATGTGAAATTGTAGCCGTTGCTCTGCATCTACATCAACCATATGAAAAAAGATTAAAAGCAACCGATAATATCATCACACCCCCATCATTGCGGAAAAATAAGGGGGCAGCGGACAGACGGCGATTGAAACGAGGCTGACCGAGTCACACCCACCAGCAGGTACTTGTCGTGTCCGTAGATGGAGAGGGCGTTGATGGCGTACAGCGACCGGTGCTCTTCCCGTATTCGCTTCTGCCTCTGAACGACAAAGGCGGGATTCGCCGACTGGGTTTTTTGCGCACGCTAACGCAAGACATCAACGGTGATCGTCCTGTGATGTGAGACGGCGGCCCCTCGCCTTACAAAAATTTGCATTCTGCCCATTGGGTCAGCACTGCCATTGCAGAAGAATGGTGCCCAACGCACCGCTCAGCTGGGCATGGGGATTGAGCTGCTTTTTGTGTTTGGTTTTGCTGTCCTTCTCCCGCACCTCTGATTAGCATGGTTGGCTATGTACGGTGGTGTGAAAGAAGTTCAACATACAATCATACAAGCCCTGCGGCGATTCACACAAACAGCTACACTATGAACTGTCACAACTCAGGGTCACGATTAATTTTAATTGAAATTTTTTGTCTCGTGTTTACCATTCTGGTAAAATGTTGCTCGCAACGCTATTCTTAATGTACATATAATTCACATACATATCAAATAACAGATTCTTACAGGCACACTTCATTGCACGTATCGCTAGCATAAAACAAAAAAATTCAACCAATAAATTGGTGGATCGTTGCATGCCAAGTGAGGGGACTATTATTATACGGAGAATTCAGCGGTGAAAAAAACGACCAAACTAAATATTTCCTTTACATTCCTACGACTTCAATAATCGTGAAACGTTTACAGATCGACGAATACTTACGGACAGGTTCTTCCCCAGGAAGGCTTGCAGGAACGCACTCTTTCCAGCTCCTCGCACGCCGAAAACGTTGCACAGGAACGCGTTCCGCTGCGTTTGCTTCTTCATCAGATCCAGCTTCTTGTCTCGCGTCACTGCAGTGCGAGCGCGACAAGGCGGACGGGTCATCTCGGCGAATTCATCACGCAACCTCCGATCACCCTCGCAGGGTCGGCTTTTGGCTAACCGTCAAACAAAGACGGTCACTGCTCCGATAAGCACGGCTGCCTACGTACGGTGCAAAAGAAGTTCAACATACATACTCTGCATCGCGCGCTCGGACATGCTTCTGCGGCCGACTGAAACGCTCTTCCTTCCGATATCAGGAAGCCACTGGAGCTATGCACTTTCAAATGTACAGTAAAACCTTGGATTGCGAGCATAATTCGTTCCGGAAACGTGTTTGTAATCCAAAGCACTCGTATATCAAAGCACTCGTATATCAGTTGTGATCACGTGACGCTCGGCAGGCAAAGCGTATACGTACTACTCGTATTGCAAGACCTCGCTCGTTTATCAAATTAATATTTATTTAAAAATTTTGCTCATCTTGCAAAACACTCGCAGACCAAGTTACTCGCAATCCAAGGTTTTACTGTATATTGAAACCTCATTTCTCTAGAACTGCTTTTGTATTTAGTTTGTTGTCCTTCCCCCCTGCGCACCTCCGATTAGCATGGTTGGCTATGTACGGTGCGAAATAAATTTAACATACGTACATACGTACATTGTGCTGAGGCCACCGCCACCACCACCACACACTTCGAACACATCACTGCCTCTAATTTGTCAAGGTCACGCAAGCACAACACAGTCCACACCACCTGACTTCGAAGGCCCTACTTAATGGCCATGATGTTTAAGGGATGATGAGAGTGCGGCGTGTAGAGTTTAACGTTGTAAGCGCTAAGAGTGGGAGTTGCGCAGGTGAAGTGTCATTTGTAAGTTAGGGATGTGACGATTTATCGGCTCGTCGATTAAAATCGTTTCTTGTGATTTGCAACAAGTTATGTGCGTGAAAACTAATAATTTACACATGCAAAATATGTCAATAAGATGCTAATGTTAAGGGAGACGACAAAATTGTACAAACGAGGCAGAAAGATCGAGAAACGTTAAAAAATAAACGATAAAACCGAGACAACCAAGGAACAATTCTTTAACTGAATCGTGACAATTCATCGATGAGTTCCGAGGATTAATCGTCAAGGAAGGGTTAAGGTGTTAACTGTAAATGTTAAGAAAAGTTGATGGATTGCGGTTGACGGTTAAGGGTCGGGTCACCTGTGATTGCCGAGGCCTGGGAGGGCTGGTCGGCGAGGAGCGGGTACCCCAGGTGTCCCAGATACTCGAGGCATCGGTGCACGTCTAGGTACGCCGTGAGCCTGCACATGAAACAACGCGATGACGAGGGAAGGAGGACAGAACGAGATAACTCTAATGTCACACCGATCCCACTTTCACAGCCCTGCCTCTTAGCCTCGACAAAATCATCTCGTTTTGTAATTGTGTTTTCCAATGCATGTAGTTGTGTATTCTAATTCGGCTGCTGGTATCGAAAGTACACAATGAAGCATTCTCTTCTGATCTTGATTTGAAGCTTTCGTGACTGCAGGAATCCATACTCTTTGGTACTTTCGGTAAAGTCAGAATTTTTTCTTCTACCTACGTGACTTTACCGAAATAACCAGAGTATGCATTATCTTCTGCTCTAGATTTCCCTGTGGAAATCTGTATTTGATAAGAAACAAGCTGGAAACCTTTACCTGGCATTCTCCGAGGGTGATGTAATGTATAATAGTAATTTAAGATGTACAATATTCATGCTAAATGCATCTCTAACGGGGAAATGCATTATCACACGCGTTGTGGACATTAAATGTGTTTGCAGGTCACACTTGAAGGGTCTTTGTTCAGTAACCTCAAGCCCATGCATCGTTAAGCTGTGCATGTTAGGGTGTCGATTCAACTTCTTTGCAGGAAAAAAAGTCCTTTGTCAAACCATACTGAATGAAGACCTCTACATACCGTATGGGTTATGGGTGTTTGCGAGACCATACTTTGCCACAATAGTCAGTGCGGGTTGTGTAAAAGGGAGGGGTGGCAGCACTGCCTCAGATATCACTTGCACTGTTAGTAATAGGCGGCAATCAAACTTGGGCAAACCAGGTTGATAGTAGAGTGCTTGATCCTGCAGAACGACTCCCTCACCATCCTTGTAGTTTTTTAATGAGATGATCGATCAACGAATTTATTGATTAATTAACCGACCCCAGGAGTGCCGGGCACTTACGTCCACTGCGCCAGGTATCCCTGCTGGGTGATCCATCCTCGCTCGTTGGTGAGCACCGTGTGATTGACGTCGGGCCCCCAGGGCATGTAGGGAAACACTCCGAACAGCTCCTTCAGCTCCTCCAGGCTCAACGCCCCGTCGCGGTCCTTTCAACGTACACACCGGGCAGGAAATAAATACAAAAAACAAAAAATCATGAAGTTAAACAAGAAAACATTGACAGTTTCCAATCCACTAACAAGCTGTCTCTACCACCGAATGACAGAAAGTAATCACTTTTAAAATGCCTTTCATTCAACTGTGTGCATGATGCATTTGATCAACTACAGTGGGAAGATTGGCCGAGTTGACCCCCCACAATCGACAAACTCACAGAACTTGCAACTGCTAGTCAATCACGCTCTCACAGCACAGCCTGCCCAAGCAATGGCTATTCAATAGGCACGCACGTATGCAGACTATACGCAGAGGCCACATGGAAGGCAGGCAAGTGGAGTGCCATTCTAACCAGGTCATGCTTTTCAAAGATCCTCTGCAGAAAGTTGTAGGCGTGGTGGTTGAGCTCGGTCGTGCAGTCAGAAGGAACCTTGAGCCTGCGCGAGGTCAAAGAGGACACCAGACCAGACACGATTAAATCACCGTGACGTCAATGTGACGTCCATTTTTAGCACAACATAACTGCAGTCTTGCCACTATACTGCTATGGCAGGGTGCTTGACCATGCCTTTAATTAACAACGCTTGTGTTGGACATCCCAGGACACATGGCTTTCGTTCATATTTAACGAGTGAGTTGTTAGGGTTTTTCTTGGATTGTGTCTTTAAACAAGGATTCTTCAACAGGCAGCCCGTGGGCCAGAAGGCACTTGGAGTGGCCTACTGAGAGGTATGGCACGCCGAACTATAGAGAAATTAAGATGAGTGAGACGGAAGCGAGATAAACAGGAAAGAGAGCTGTTAACAAGATGCACTGATTAATGGTCACATGCGCAAACATTACATTACATGACGTCATGTAGCCCACCAGCACATGCCAGTTCTTGTTGCAGCCCACCATAAAATCTAGGTTGAAGACTTCGGCTTAAATATAAATAATTTTCGACGAGATTTCTGCAAAAGCAACTTTCAGCGCCACCTCACCGCCCCCCCCCCCCCCACCTGCCCTGCCCCCCCTCCCACTCCGGCACCCCGGTGGCAGCGGGCTCAGCAGGCCACTCACGACGGGTAGAGGTACTCATCAGTGAGATCCAGGCCCTCGTCGTATCCGAAGCGGCGCAGCGCCGTCCATGTCGTCTCGTGCCGCCCGCGCTGCACAAACAGCGTGTGCAGGAACAGGAAGCCTGGTGGTGAGCGGCATGCGACACGGAACCGGACACGAGAGGCAGGGAGCGGTGAATCATTCACGTTCGCAATAACCGCACAAAAACACAACGGTCCCCCCTCTATTTGTAGCTCTGATAAGACTGTTAGGGCAAGTGCTGTCCGGAAGTAAAATTGGTCTCTTGCTTGAATGAGTGCTGGATGGTGCTCATAATCATTGATGATCCTGAGCCAGCGATTAAAGGCATCAATTTTATGGTGGGGAGTAGTATTTGCATAAGACGATGGTGATGATGACATTGAGGCTCAGTAGACTGACTGGGATCTGATCCCGTGGTCGAACGACTGGGATCCGTGATTCTCTACCAAATGAGTCATAACATGCTGGTAGCAAACAACTACTAGACATCTGGGAAAAAGAGATTCATAGCTTATCAGATTTCACCAGGATAAATAAAGATTTCGATTCTGAACTATTACTAAGGTCATTATGGTACATTAATGAGATCACACCAGCACCGTTTCCATGCTGAATTTAATCATAATTCTGATTCAATCACTCATTTATGACTGAACTGACCTCATGTAAGCCAAAAACTATACACAGAAACAATTTTACAATCATGATATTTGTGGCCTAAAATCAAACTCAGGTAGTTATTTGGGAGTGCTAATAGACTTTACACACACAGACATAAACACATAAGCAGAGACACAAACCAAACTGGTACAAGGTGCGGCGTTTTTAACATTTGCTGAATGAGAGCCCAATAAAGGAATGAAAGCGGCATGAAGTTATTGTTTAGATGGTGAAGGGTGCGCTGGTGCGCGACTGTTAAGAACAAACGGGGGACGCCTCACCTTCCAAGGTGAGGGCGCCACCCAGCACGCCGTTGGTCGTGTTCTTCCTCACCACGTTCTTGACGTCCTCCAGCGTATGGGGAGCCAGGGGCGACTTGTAGCAGGTTTTCTGTAAGCGCGTAACGCAGCACAAGTGAAGCGCAGCAAGTGAGCCAGGAATCACCGCTTGATTCACATCATCATCAGCCATTATCAATCCACTGCCAGATGAAGGATTACCCAAGTGTACACCATTTCCCATGGTCGAGTGATACAACAACCCACCGAGCACCTACATACCAAATGATTTCGTTGCTCCGTAGCTGCAACTCTTGTCATTAGTCTTGACTCCAACGCCATCGTTCCTTGGAGTGACGTCCTACTCTTTAACCTCATTTTTAGGAATTAAGAAACGGCCTTTTAAATGTGCAACTACTAACTGTCACTTAAAGGAGGAGTTCATTTGAAGTGCCGACCTATGTGCTGGACACAACAACACCCTCTGACCTGGAAGTAGTTGATCTCCGTGTCATTGAGCAGCCCATCGTTGTCCTGGTCCGAGATCCTGAAGATTCGGGTGAGAGCCTTCACACACCCCGGCCTCAGCTGCAGATGCACACACACACACATCATTCACAAATCATCGCAACTAACAAAACACTTTTAAATTTGTTAACAAACAAATGACCATAGCAACTTAGGGATGGCAAAGCATTGAGGCAGCTAGAGCAGAAGCCAGATTTGTCGCAGTGGTCACAGGCTACAAGGGATAGAAAATATGAGCATACAAATGAATAGCTGGATGTGTAATGACAGCGCCAATAACACTCAACCAGCACCGCTGAGAGAGTGGGTTAGATTTTGATATTTAAAACTGGCTCTCAAGGGTAACGGGTTTATGGTCCGTGCCAGATCAGAAATAACTGAGCACATTGCAGGCGTTGATTTTAACAGGTGGGTAAGCTCAAAGAAAAGTGTTCACTCTTGAGCTCATACGAAGAAGCAGCAGTGTGGAGACTGAGACAGACTGCTAAAGGATAGCTGATGTCACTTCAGTTTTGCTCAGCAACGCCATGTTTGGCCTGACAGTATGTAGGTGGATCTGAACTTGAAATGTCCTTCAATCTGAGCCAAGATGCCAATAGCACAAATGGACTATCATTGGCAAAAGTCTGAAACCACAAATTTAAACAAACAAAAAATGAAATGCAATAAACTTTCCATGGAAAATCAAAGAAGAGGCCCCTATATTGAATTTTCCACAACTGCGCTTTAAAAATAAGTGACAAATAATACAAAACACCCAGTGTTCACATATTATGCAGGTAACAGGGGAGTGTAATTTATGTGGGGGTATTTGGTTGCACTGTGGAGCAGTAGTTAAGTGGTTTTCGTGCACTGTCCTTTGAACCTGGCAATATGAGACTGATTCCCGGCGATGTCTAAAGTAATATCTTCACCGGTTCTGGGCACAAATTTTTCACCGACCCACACTGACCAGTGCGACGAACTATGTTCAAATAGCTCCCACGTCTGACATGGTGTGAGGAAACCTTCGTCCAGCAGTGAATCGAAAAAGGGTTGTGGATGATGAATTATTATGTCTCTACTGCAAAGGCGCATCTAGTGTTGCAGAGCGTGGATCTGTGGGTGTGGGGAGCTCGGATATTTGAGTGGGCACGGCACTGGACCTGTTTCTCCTCCGGCGAGTACAGGGGCCCCGTGGGATGCAGCACCGCCTTCTGGGCATAGTAGAAAACCTCCGAGATGTTGCGCAGCACCCGTGCCGAACACTGCAACATGCGCCAGGCAGTCGGTCAGCTGTCAGTCAACGCATGTGCTCTGCTTGACTAGGGCGTCACGATTAAGAGGTGTGACGTATGTGTACGTATGCATGTTGAACTTCTTTCGCACCGTATATAGCCAACCGTGCTAATCGGAGGTGTGAGGGAAGGACAAAAAACTCAACACAAAAAGTAGTTATTTAAAGAAATTAGTTTAACAATTCACCACTTCTTCTTGCAATTCAATAAATAATCGAGCTTCAGAGACGTGATTTTATTGAAATTGAATTGATTGTTTTTCAACCATGTGGTGACTTTTCTAGATTTAAAGCTTTCGTGACTGCAAGGATCCATACTCTTTGGTTCTATTCGGTAAAGTCACGTAGGTAAAAAATAAAACAACAAAAAATCACGACGTTTCGGCCACAACACAAGCGGCCTTCATCAGGTGAAGGGATCAGGCTGTCTCGAGGACAGCGCTGGAGTGGAACACAGCTGGTGTTTCCGCGTGGCTTTGTTCCACTCCAGCGCTGTCCTCGAGACAGCCCGATCCCTTCACCTGATGAAGGCCGCTTGTGTTGTGGCCGAAACGTCGTGATTTTTTGTTGTTTTATTTTGTACCTACGTGACTTTACCGAATAGAACCAAAGAGTATGTGGTGACTGGTCAAGCCTTAAGTGCCTGCCAGGAGATGTGAACCGATTACATGCAAATTTGACAGATGGGAAAACATCGATTCATGCACATGCGATTGATGCACGTGTAGTGAGCCACATGACATCTTACGTTACGTGTACGCATATTATGGCGTCACGCGGTGTTGTGACGTCTCAAAGTTCAAACATGCAACTGCTAACATCACGCCTCCAGCTCTCCCATCTCTATTTCTTGTTTGCTTTTCTTTCATCTCACTAATCTGTATCTGAAAGCCTTCCCAGTTCACATCTGGCCCACAGACCACCAGCTGAAGAACCCAGGTAAAGGATGGCGGTCCGTACCTCCACACATGCTTCAATGTCGGAGTACTGGTTCATGATGGGAAGAATGGCCTCCATTGAGCTCTGCTCCACCAAGTCCGTCTTGTTGCCCACTAGGATTATGGGTATCCTGCATGCACGTGACAACCTCATCATGCCTCCACATAAAAACCTTTTACCAATGTATGAACATCATCACAAACCAACATATGCACACCAACACACATCCACAACACTGACCTCCTACCAACATTTAAACACTACCAACACTTGGCACCACCAAAACAGAAACACCATCACAAACCACCCACTGGCCCATGACCTGTAGCACGAACCTCCGATTGTGTTAACAGGACCCAGCAATGCAAAAAAACTCCCATCGACACGAGACATACCTCACATGAGCAGTCTACAAAAAGCAAAACATTGGCCAGTCACTAAAATTGCAAGTTATAAAAAAAATCAACAAAAGTAATAAAAAAATCCACTTCACCGAGAAAGATGCTGCACTCATTTACAAATTTACAGTCCTGAGCCAGTGGTGGAAATTATATATTCCTTTTCCAAGGACCAGTCTATCCATAGCACGAATGCTGTTGACTTCCCTTCAAATTGGTAATTATCTTAGCGGCCTTCTTGGGATGATTTGAACTCGCAACCTATCGATTGCAATACCCCCGATCTCACGTTGCACCTTCAAAGTGGATAGCAAGGTGATTAAATCTGTTCATAATTTTATAAAATTAAGCCTCAACGAAGAGTCAATAAAGATGTGGCCCTAATGCAGTGGTGGGTACCTTCCATCTTTGCCGACGGTTTCGTTTATCAGCGGCACCCACTTGCTCGTGATCTGCAACACAGAGATTTTCAGTAGTCTTGTGGAAGAAACTGAGGTCTGCAGATTCCCCACCGAGTCTGAATCGCAACTATGTTTGTCGTTGATGCGCAAAACACACAACAGTACTAATAGCTGCATACCTATCCATGGAATATAAGTAACACAATAAAGTTTCGATTTAAAGCTTTCGTGACTGCAGGGATTCATTCTCTTGGTTCTTTCGGTAAAGTCACGTAGAAGGGAAATAATAAAAATAAAACAATTAATTTCTCACGACGTTTTGATTGCAACACACTGATGATTGCTTTTGTTGCAATTGAAACGTCGTGAGAATTTTATTGTTTTATTTTTATTATTTCCCTTCTACGTGACTTTACCGAAAGAATCAAGAATATGAACACAATAAACTGTTTAGTTTAAAAAGAAACGTTGCCTCGATTCAAAATAAACGTTCACATTATCCAACTACTTATGAAGTCACTTGAGTAAAGCATCTTTCCACTCTCGAGGCAGCTCAAGTTGCTTTAACTTTACCATTGCAAACACTAATTTTAGATGCATAACAGTGCAATGATTATAGGTTGCCGTAGACAAATATAACCTCACTCTGTTGTGGACAAAGAAATTGGTTGTGAGTGAACCATCGTTATTTATTTACAACAGATCACTTTGCTCCTCAACCCAAACACTCCTCCAACCACCATAAACCAAACACAAAACCACAGGGGGACAGATCTTTCTCATTTGCAGCACCACACCTCTTGAAGAACCTCCCTGAAGCAATATGCACACTCGACTCCATTACTACATTCAAGCTATAACTCAACAACACATCTCTTTGCACTTGCATACAACTAACTCACAGCCACAACTTTTAAACAACTATAGATAGTAGGCAAATATGCATATATTTATCTCATTGTTTAGAATTTTCAAATTTTATGTTGAGTATTCACATGATGGAGCTTTCAGTGGAAGATTTGTGCCAGAAAGGCAAAAAAACACATGTTCACGGATTTTGCGGCTCATGGCTAATTGGTAAGGGTAACATGCGTACATCTCGTTGAAGCCCAGTTTCACCAAGTTCACAATAATAAATCAATATTATTAGCACAATTTCCACAGCTGGCATTCACCTTCTCAATGGAATCTTGGTCATCCACTGCATAGACCACGCACACCACGTGAGCCTAGAAGCGGAGAGAGGCAATCAACTCAATTCATACTCTTTGGTTCTTTCGGTAAAGTCACGTAGGTAGAAAAATTAAATTAAATACCTACGTGACTTTACCGAAAGAACCAAAGAGTATGGATTCCTGCAGTCACGAAAGCTTCAAATCAAGATTCAACTCAAGTCAGTTGCTAAAAATAAACCTGTGCCGAAGGCAGAAGAGGAGCGAGCACTTCCATATTTACGGTCTGCATTGCTAGAATGTTATTTCACCCAGCGGTTAAATATCATGTTTAAAAAGAAGCACGTTGCCAATGTTTGATTTAATCTTGGGAAAAGGCCACAGCTTGGTGGGATTAATGCAGCAGTAAGTTGGAGTCTAATCTGTCTAAATAAAGTACTTAATGCGATTTGCTCATTAAACAGCTAGAAAAGATTTAGCTGCAGGCTCACAAATATTTAAAAAAATGTTTTTTTAACCCACGAAATGTATGTGATAAAAGCAACAATTGACTTTTTTTAAACAAATCCCACTAGGACATGCTAATCTGGATGGCACAGAGGCTAAGGGGTTAATTCTTTGTTTTTACTAAAGAAACCCCCTTGACAAGATTATATTTAACCAAAAATTTGCTGAAATAGAAAAAAAGGAACTTTGACAAAAACAATCCTGTTCTGCTTGCTTTTGTGGACAATTGTCAGCACTTTACGGTGTACAACTTAGCGAAGTCTCTATGACCCCCCGGCGTGCACAATGTAATTCCGTACAGTATTTGGCCACACCCCGTTTAATAAATGCACTGCCCGCCCTTTCCAAGTTAACGTGTGGGAGTGCGACATTGAGCAGCTGACTACAAATATTTATAGAAAGTCAGGAAACATGGGAACAGCTTTGAGGATACTCAATGGCTTTGCGGCAGGAGGACACATTTAATTTGTGAGCCTATTTCCCAGATCTAGAAGACAAGTGTGTCAGCCAATGTGCACGTATATATTGAATGTGGCTTTATACAGGTTTCCCTTGCAAGTTCAAAAAAATACACTCACCCGGAGAATCTCCTCCTGTAGTTCTTCATCAGTCTGTTCGATGTCTGTAAAGAGTAAGCGTCAAACGCGTGTCAATTTGTGGCCAACGCCATTTTACTAATTGATGCTTCCATCAATCTGCACAATAAACATTGATTCTGTTTAAAGGTTAGAGTACATGCTCTCCCTCTCGCACACTCCCATACTCCCTCTCTCCCTGTCACTTCATCTTCCACCGTTTCCTATTCCATTCCTTCCTCATATTTCAAACTTTGTTCCCCCACCATCTTCCACTTTTCCTTTCCAGCCTTCTCATCTTCCGTCCCTCAGCCTTTTTCTCTTTGCTGTGTGCAAAACGTTCCGTCAATTCACTCCGTCATACCCGAGTAGTCCACAATGTGCGTGGGGACCTTTTCCGGCGTGACGTCTGCTGGTATTGTGATCTCCTCCGCTCGATGAGGCACCTGCGCAACACGTGATCACGTACGACACACAGCACCAGCCAGGGTATAATTTCCAGCTGAATATTTTCGGGGTCGTGGGTAAATGGAGTAGGCATGTTAAACATTTTCTGGATCGCTGGTATAGTCGAGTAGGCACGGGACTAGTAGCCACAGCCATAACAAGAGGTACACTGGATATGGTGTGTTGGGTGCAGAAATATATTCTGGCTCACCAACCCAGACAGACCGAACTGAAATTAAGCCTTGATTTATGGCCCACCTCTCGATGCGTACTCATGGCAACCAATATTCATATACTGCACAAAGGACTGTCTCAATACTTAAGAGAGCATTATATGTCAATCATCTCCATTGGCCGTCCTGAGCCAGTGGTGGCAATTCCACATTCTAAGGTCTAAACTAGTCTCTCCACAGGAATATAGTTAAAGTCATGATTAAGTACGACTAGTCACTAAGATAAATATTTTATCATAATTAATAAGCGAGCAAATTAGAATGTCTCCGCTTATAGCTTATTCTTATTGCACAAGATAAAGTAGACTTGGTCAACACTAAAGCAGCCAATATAATAGACCCTGGACAGAGATCTGTACTGAATGGGTCACTTCAGCCACACTGTGTGGTTGGAAATTTGCAACTCATGTTAACCGAAGACTGCATTCTACAACTAGAAAAAATCTGCATAATATTTTTGAAATGAACATTTTAACCAATAACTAATTTACAAACTATTTCACCTCTCCAAATGATTCACACTAAATATCAGTACGCACTGTTAATAGTGTTTTCCCCTTTCTGGCAATAAAACAGGTGTTAAGATGTTAAAATACCAAACTGAAACCTTTTTGCAAGGAATCACGTCTACATTAACCACATATACTTGTGGTGAACATGCAAACAAAAAAACATGCTCTGACAGTATGTGCATTGTCTTTGAAACTGATTGGTCCACACCAGAGACAGCTTTCTGTAGAGCCTCGTTGCAAACAGTGTTAGACCAGAGGTCGTTCATAAATTGCTCATCCATTATTTTCCTTGGAGTAGCATTGTCGTAAAAAAATCCACAAAATACAGCACAAATGCATCGTAACCCAATAAATACGATTGAAAGTACTAACTACTGTACATTGTCCAGTACATAATAAACTCCTAAGCATAACGACATGCAAAAAAATGTGTACCCATGTTTAACAAAGACTTCACATGGTTGGTTGAATAAACCGAGCGGCAGTAACATGAGTAATGTTATGTAACAGGAGACGTACAAATAGTTTCAAGTTTTATCGCGTGAACTACAATAACAAGATGTATCTTATGACCTTGAGCAAAGCACTTTGCGAGCTTAAGCGGTGGAAATTAAACGCCACCCGTCAATTGAGGTCTCACCTCTTCTGGGAACTCCTCGCTGACAAGGGTCATAATCAGGGAGGTCTTCCCCACCTTGGCTGGGGCATCGGTGCACAGAAGTCGGTTTTTGACAAGGCGTTCATAGGGACAAGGAAAGGTGACAGAAAACACATAAAAACCACGGAGGCGACAACAATAACTTTGTACAGTACCAACAGAACATAAGATAATGGTGATCAAACCCACGTTGACGCCCGAAATATACTGCAATGGCCAGAGCTGTCTTCCCTGTGGGTGACTGCAATATCACCGTAAAGGGAAGTTTGCATATCGAACAGTGTGACATTATCCGGCTCAAGTTTGTTTCAAAATACTGTACATACAATGGAACACGACCGCATATATCACAGCGGGCATCGCATGGACAACCCAAAGTGCAACGTGTGTCATCGTTCGTGTCGACCCTGGTACGACAAGAGTGATCCCAGCTCTGTACAACACTCTCAGTCATTCAAGGCACCAGCATCATCACTCAATGAACCATCACTCAACATCGCCGCTCCTCACATGGGAAGCAGGGCTCTCAGCCTTGTTGGTTCATCACTCTAAACGCGCGCGTGAACAAATACAGCCAACCCTCTTTGTTAACCTGCTGGTGTACAAGGGGCCTCCCCCCAAACCTCTGCAAGGTTGTGGGGGGTTATTGAGCCATACTTCACCGTGTCGGTCAGTACGGGTTGAAGGACGAGGATAGATAGATGTGGGAGCATAGAAGGTCGGTAAAACTAAAGATGTTGCTGCACTATCCTCTGCTGTCCTCAACACAGCTCCGCAGCAGCCTACAACCCGTGTCACGTTGGGTTGGTCTGCCCATCCAAGCACTGTTAAGGCCTCAATTCTACTTGGTTTCTGGAAACGGAAGGGATCGGGTGCATCCTGGATGATTGGTCATAGCTCTCTGTGCAAAAAGCCAGGCTGATTAACAGCCACCTTAAGCCTCATCCAATTAATCACTTCTCAATATCACTATTCAACACGAAGCTGGCATTACTGAACTAGTAAGTGACCATTTGCCTGACAAATTAATCATGCAACGTGATATTTTTTTTACTAAAAAAGAATCCGGATTAAACCTTCACCTCCAACATGAACGATCACCTAACATCACCATTTAACAAGACACAGGGCCGATTAGGAATCCACATTCGGCCAAAAATAAAAACAATAATCATCACGCGTCAAAATGCAGATTAGACAATCAAGCAACACAACGTGTTTTTGTTTGTTTGCTTGTTGTGGTTGCACCCGATTCAAGAGCCGAATGGCTCACAGGGCTATACCAAAATAAATAAACTGAAACTTAAAGAATAATAAACTGAGATTATTGAACTGCTCGTCTAAACTCAACTTGAACTCATTTACGCACCACCGCTACCAAACAACTGAACGAAAAGTACGAGATTACTAGGAATTCACCTTCAACCTAAACGTTACGCATCTTTACAACTCCTCAACAAGAAATGCCGAGGTTTTTACGAATCCACAAATAGCCTCTCCTCACAATGGGATAACCGCATACCTGTTAAAACCCCTTATTAATTCCCTTCACCTTATTACAGAACAATTTAGACATTATTGGTCACCCCGTGCCCCTTATAAACATTCAGCGTTCATCCTAAAAAGTCCCATCACAAGGGGAAAACACAAATAGACAAAAACTAAACATTGCCATTATTGAAACGGCTGTAGCAAGCCGTATGGACCTGAAAACACTCAAATTTCCCTGTACAAGAATACGGGGTTAAACCGTCTGGGTTGACACGGTATGCAACTGTGAATCTACCTATCATCTCATCACACATCTTCACCACTCCCCCCCAACAAGAAACGGTGATGATTACGAAAACACCACCGCTCCTCAAAAGTTGTGGTGGTTGTGGTGGTGGTGGTAACGATGATAGGCACTTTGACCTTCTTTCGCACCGTACACGTAGCCACCCGTGCTGGTCGCAGGTGCGGTGGAAGGACACCGAACTACGATTCCACATTCAAACCCGTCAACATCTTCACCCATCACACTCTTTTAGCCACCTTCGACCTCCTCAATGCATCACTGTCATCAAGCAAGCCGCCGCCGCCGTCGCTCCGTTCATCCACTCTCTCCATAGTCACAAAAAAAGCCGCGCTTAAGAGGAGTCGCCGCTCTCGACCTTAATAGATGCAGGATATACTGAATGCAAGCGTAAATGTGTTCGTTCTAAAACACTCCTCCAAACGCAGAGAGGTCAGGCCGGGCAGGCGACACTTGACATAACAAACATAAAAGGCCCATCGACCACTCCGGCCAACATTTCAGTAACTCACGTTCTCCCAGCAGCAGGATCCTCACGTCTTTCCTCACGCCCATGTTAAACGTCGATTCTGTCGAATTCTCCCAAAACCAACCCGCTCCTCCCCAACCTCCTCAGCCCCGCCGCCAACCCTTTCAACAGAAATCAGACTGCATGTGCTTCAAGAACGCCAACTTGACGGACCCAAGGTCGAGCCGCTAGGCCCCAGGCGGCGTTGCACACCGCGCCTCGGCTAGAAGCTCGGCCGCCCTGGGGCGCGCCTATCCCGGCAGGCGGCGGCGGCGGCGGAGACCGTCAGCCGCTTTTCCCACCACGGCGGTGGCTTGACTCCAAACCTTCAAAGATTCGTTGGGAAAAATTTAGTTTAAAAAATATATATACGGCGCAGGATGAAGTACAATTCAAGAAGAGTGCGACTGTGGCGACATCGCGGTTTTGAGAATCTTGTCGTTTCGCCAGATTGCCTCCGTTCAAGGGCTCGAGGTTTGCCGGTGGTGAGCGGGCGGACGGGCGAGCCGGGCAAGGGCGGCCCACTAGAGGCGCTGGCGGGCACGTGGTGGTGGTGCACGTGGTGGTGGGTGGCGGCGTGGTGGGTGGTGGTGCACGTGGTGGGTGGTGGTGCACGTGGTGGGTGGTGGTGCACGTGGTGGGTGGTGGTGCACGTGGTGGTGGCGGCGTGGTGGGTGGTGGCGGAGTGGTGGTGGTGCACGTGGTGGTGGCGGAGTGGTGGGTGGTGGTGACGCACGTGGTGGTGGTGACACACGTGGTGGTGGCGGAGTGGTGGTGGTGCGCGTGGATCGTCGGGTGCCAGGTGGGTTTGCGGGCCACGGCGAATTTCATCGGCGGAGAGAGCGCCGATGATCGTTTGCCGTGCGTCGCAGGCAAACGAACTCTTATCACGGCTAACATCGGTGGCGTGTGTTGATGTTAGCCGTGGGCCCCAATCAACGCACTCACGGCTAACGTCAGTGTTGAGCGCTGTTAGCCGTGGGCCCCGAACAACGCACTCTCACCCGTTAGGAGATGATAGTAAATGTTAAACAAACTCTAAACAAATGTTAGGCATTACGAAGAGCCATTAATCTGTATTATTGCAAAATCACAGCTTTCACGATTCAATATACATGAATGATATTGTGAGATAATTCGCGAGTATACATTTTTTGTTTACAGAAGTACCGTTTCATTTCCCATTTTTTGTGATCATGAACAATGTCGTGTTAAGATATCACTCAATCAGACAATTGATCTTTTAATATTTATAACAATGTCTTGCATAAATGCTTTTCATTGTACAGAACTTGTCGGCCACGTTGAAGCGTAGGATAGGTATATACAGTCGTGCATAAATCCTCCATATGATTAAAAAAAAAGATGCAAACACTCAACTGGAAGATTCCAAAAACAAAAACCTAAAATATTCATGCTTCCAAAATAAAACATTTAAAAGTTTAAATGCTAATTTCTTAGACACACCACACATTGTCAACATTATTAATGATCCAGTTTTCCCCCATTTCTTTACTTCCTAAAATCACAGCAAAACGAATAAAATAAATCCAAAGGTTAACGTCCACATAGGCTGAAGACATGTATCTTTCTAGAAAGAAGTCAATGTGTTCCCATACTCAAATCAGCTGTGGGAAGTGCCAATCTCCTTTGGCAGGCCTGAGCTCGTGATAGAAGTTTCACATTTCCAGTATATACTGGACTTAGATTTGACCCGCTCTTAATTTTTGGATGTATGTTTATTCCTCACATCCCTGTCTATGTTGAGCGTCTGTAGATGCCTGTGTTTGTTAACTTCGAGTAAAATCAGATGTTATCACAACACAAGGCTTTCAGTCTTCCGGATGTGTACACATGCACGTAAGGCGAGAGGCATTTTCGAAGACGAATTCTGCTCTCCGCCCATCAGTGCTGAGAAGACTGGGCAAGATCAGTGGCTGTGACCTTCCAAAGCTCCTGTAGAAACAGCACAAAGATATTGCATTACTGGTGTTCGATAGGACGGATAGAGTTACCTCCATTAAAGACGGGTGAGGGCCCATTGAGACAATATGTGTGCATGGTAAGACCTAAGCTAGCAAAAATGTAGGAGGCTTGGGGCATGTGGGAATTATAGGTAGGAAAATGTTTGTTAAAACAAAGCACATGTCCTAATTAACAAAATAAAAATAATGAAAGCAGTAAATTTTAAAGATAACTTTAATTATTCAGGAAAGCATCACTGAGACTCATGTCCTGCTTTGGGATTGTTTGGATAACTCATAAGTTGTGTGAAAGTGACTGATTTTTTAATGTTTATTTACATTTTAAGAGTTTAATGAAATTATACGCATAACTATAAACACAAAAGCATCCGAAAAAGTTGTGTTATTTTTAGTTCCATTTGACCAGGTAGACCTTGCAGCAAACGATTACCAACAACACACCATCTGCCAACGTGGCTTCCATGAATCTCTGCATTCATAATGGACGGAAACAAAACGCTGGGCAATTCCAAAATGTTGGCCATACATTTCAGACAATTTAAAAGATATGGACAATCAATAATGGAATCAAGAAATGGCTTTTCACTTGAATTTAGGTGTACCAAACAATTAGGAATGGGATTCAGATAGGAATTATTTTCCACCTATCTTAATAAGGGAGAAATTATCATAGTATACCGCGGTGACAGACGTACTAAAACTTTTCCATCTGCAATGACATGGTGATGGTGCATTCGGTTTCATGCGTGACAAAGATATTTATTCCGTAAAGAGGACATGTATTATAGGATTACAGATAATCACCCTTCAAATTGATACCAGATGTCTTAGCATAATTTAGAAATGTTTACTGAGGTTGCCGAATGTGGAACTGATATACAGTGGCTGTAGTGAGATAAGATAATTGTTGGAAAAAATTGCAGTTAGATGAGACAAAAGAGATGTAGACAAGAGAGAGATTCATTGGATGTTGATGTAAATTAGTTTTTTCTGAAAGTTTTTTAATTTAACATTTTGATTGAAAGCTTTCGTGGCTGCAGTAATTCATATTCTTAGCTCTTTCGGTAAAGTCACATATTTTATTATTTTATTGTTTCCCTTCAACGTGGCTTTACCGAAAGAGCTAAGAATATGAATTACTGCAGTCACGAAAGCTTTAAATCAAGAGCTAAGAATATATTTTAATTTTAGTTGATATTTGATGCACCCATATTTTCTTCACATATCCAGCGCCCCTTGGACTACATGAGTACCTCAGCTTCTCCTTAGTACGCTTATGCCTTGTGCCATTGCGGGCACATGGAGAAGCCACGCCCTCCTTGGTGTATGTATTGCCAAGGGACGCGCCCTCACCAGCTGCTCCACGCGGTCGTACAGGATTGACTGCGCGAAGTCCGTAGACACCGACTGCACGGTGAACACCCTGCGCTCGCCCTCCATGCCGGCCAGCCCGGCGAGGCACGTGCGGAAGTGGTCGTACGCGTCGCAGGTCACAGCCAGCGCACGCAATGTGAAATTGTAGCTGTGTGGCGCGAAAACGATTCTTGACGTCAGGTACACAATAAAACTCCCATTACTTTAGTGTCCACGTGTTTGTCATTTGGAGTGCGATAACAAGGAGCATAAGCCATCACGCAAACTCTTAATCATCTTCGCAGCAGCGGCATTTGGTTAAACAGCAGACAAAGACAGTCACCGCATCGTGCGCTGTGGCCGTCTGGAATGCTCTTCCTTCCAGTATTTGGAAGCCACTGGAGCTATGTACTTTTAAATCTAGATTAAAAACTAATTTCTTAAGAATGCTTTTTGTGTTTAGTTTGTTGTCCTTCCCCCGCACCTCCGATTAGCACGGTTGGCTACGTATGGTGCAACATAATTTCAAGATACATACATATTAACAGTTGCCTCTTACTTGATAATTCCAATATAACTTTAAGAACTCTTTTTGCAGTCAAGTACAAGCATCGACTGAAAACACCACACGACCATTATCATTAACGCTGCTTTATAGCAGATCATAAATATAGCAGGCTGTGATATTTCGATTTAAAGCTTTCCTGACTGCAAGGATTCATCTTCTTTGGTTCTTTCGGTAAAGTCACTCCAGCGCTGTCCTCCAGACAGTCTCGTCCCTTCACCTGATGAAGGCCGCTTGTGTTGTGGCCAAAACGTCGTGAGAATATTATTGTGTTATTTTATTTTATCAATTTATTATTTTATTCTCATTCTACGTGACTTTACCAAAAGAACCAAAGAAGGCTGTGATATATTTTACGATACTATCTATTTTATTTGGGGGTGGTGCAGTGGCTCAGTGGCTCAGTTGATAGTGTACTGTGCTATTAACCCAGCAACCTGAGTTCGATTCTTGGCCAAGTAATAGCAGTAGCGATTGATATCTGAACCAGTCCTGGACACCCTCTCCTTCACCAACCCACACTGACCAGCAAAGTGAAGTACGGTTAAACAACAACCATAACTGATACATCGTGGGGATGCCTTTATCCAGCAGTGGATTGACTGACAAAGCGCTGTATATTTATGTTATATATTTTTGTGTATAAGGCAGTGTTATTGACGACGATTATATGTTTCATTCCAACGGAAGTAGTTTACACATTTTCAACTATAATGTGAAAGATGTAAAACAAAATAATGATACTTCTGGTTGACAATTTATGTTGAAAAGAATATTTTAGTATAGTACTTGAAGGCAGGTAGAATAGCAGTACAGTACAACAATGGATTTGTTTTGCTGCACTGCCCACAGTGTAACCTCAACAAAATTGTAACATAGCTTCTGCTGGGTGGGAGAAAAATCAAAAATGGTAAGATTATGTCATTACCGTTTCTCTATGGCGATGTAGAGGGAGCTGGTGCTGCGAAGGTTGTTCATGATGCGGAAGACAGTTCTAAACAGCCCATCAGTGAGCTCATCGTCATAGCAAACTACACACAGGCACAAACATGCAATTAATCAACAGATGGAAATACATATACTGTACAGTGTACTTGTACAAGTATCCTGATATAACATGTCTGAGGAAGTGGCATTATGGTACGTAGTTTTCACAGCCACTTGTAATCCAAGTGTGGTCTTCCAGGTTAGACCGCGTGTTAAGCATTTCTTCTCTCAAGCTTTCATCGCGCACTGCTACGGGCATTGCTTCATCTCCTGAAGATCGCACCATCTCCCGAAGATGCCTGCGGTAATGCGTGCCCGTGGAAGCTTGAGGGAAGACATTCCACATGCGCGGCGGAACTTGGAAGACCACTGCTTGGAGGTGGCATTACGGTCAAAGTGCTCCACTCTCCATTGGAAGATGGCGAGTTTATATCCTATTTGTGGATCCAATCGGTTCATCATTCCTTCAGGGTCAATAAAATGACCGCCAATTTGTAGAAGGAAAACAATGGATAAACCATCCTCCACCACAATAATGTGGAGTTTCCACCACTAGTTCAAGGACCACCAGTGAATGATAACTCCCCGACACTCGTTTGAACAGGAAGATTCCTGACTTTTGACTTGCTTGGCTAAATAATTTACAAGTGATGAACGCAATGCCGAGGTATTTTTAATAGAACTGCGGCTCCCCTAATGTGCCTGCATTGTAATCACCGTGACTTTGATTCTACAAAGTGGCCGATGATAAAAATGTATTTCATAAAAATGTATTTACCGTCGGCCGCGAGAAGCACGGTGGCGTTGTCGTGTAGATGTGCCACCTCTTCCTCTGTCCAGGAAAAGCGGCACTCAGAGTCTGCAAGATGACAGATGTACGCAGAGCTTCAGATGTACATGGCGCTTTAGACAAGCCATGTTGAGAATTCCAGGTTTTCATTTTGTTCTCAAAATCTTATCTTTTTCTATTTTGGGTTGTAATGTTTTTTCAATGTCTGGATGTATATTAGTTGGTGGAGTAGAAGGGCTCCAAACCCAAGTTCAAATCCCAGCAAGAGTCGAATGAGCGTCATCATCTTTATCGCCATCACAATTCATCCAAGGTTGATTAAATAAACATGACCTGGTGAGGTTAAAGCACTTCGTTTTGGAAGCTCGACAACGGTTGTAGTCTGATCGAGAACTGCCTTCACCATAGAAATGTGTAAATGCCAATTATGGATCCAGACGACCAACAGACAGCACAGGCCTGCTCTTGTTTGAGTGCGGTGATAAACTGATGAAGTGTGTCTACAAATCTGCATGTGCCATTACTGAATTGCCTTATTATGCCTTTGCAAGGGAAATACATTTTTTTTCATTTGACAACGGACTATTTTTAAAAGGCTGTTTAAATAATTACATATATATGAAACTTCACTTACCTGTACAAAAGTCATTTTTGAGCCAGTCCAATGTCCTAACTTTCACCTCTCCTCCCTCCTCTCCATCTATGATTTTAAATAAGGATGAACACACAAACACACAGACAGACACAAACAAAACAAAGCTCCAAATGCCGCATAATAAATGTGCCAGGTTAGGTGTACAGGTAGTCCTCTACTTACGATGGAGATGCGTTACGACGACCCCATCGTAAGTCAAAAATATCGTAAGTCGAAGATGGCCTAGCCTACCCAGGAGTCTTAAAGAATGGTGATAATTTAGCAAAACAGAGCAATTTACAGTACCGTACTGTATAAACTATGTACTGTATGTATTTATTAATTACAATACTGTATTGCACAGTAAAATTTTAAGTAAAAAAAACAAGGTAAATTCTTAACCTACCTATATGAACTGCACTTTAATAGAAAGTTTTTTTCAGGAAACAATCCTATCTGCTATAAAAACTTTTAACATGCATTGAACGTATCATATCGTGGTAACCCTAAAATGAAATCGCTAATACTACGTATCATACATACAATTTTGTCGTATTGCCATCGCCATCGTAAGATCGAAATATCGTAAGTCGGACCATCGTAACTCGGGGACTATCTGTATATATATAAACACTTAACAGGTGGTCGGGTGGTGGCGGTTTTAACGACACATTTATATTTACGTGATCTCACCCAAAAAAACCTACGGATAATATTGGTCGCGAAAGACTACGTGTTAAACTAGGTGTGTATATATATTTTGTGTGTGTATATATATACACATGTAAACATGCGTGTATATATGTGTGCAAACACACAAAGATTCCGCGTATAGCCATCTTAGTTTTAGGGCAAGTGCTGTTAGAGAGCACTTATGAAGGCCAGCAGGGTACACAAGGGGGTGGGTGGCCAGCACCATGCCCGGCCAGCACCATGCCCGGCCACCTTTGTCTCCCGAGTGGCGATGTTTACACGCCGCACCAGAAACGCATTTGAGGCTGAGTTGACCTAGGGAAGGCCCAGTACCAGTTCAGATCATCCTCACTGGTGTTGGTGGCCGTGAGCAGGATTCGAACTCGGGTAGCCAAGTTCGTAGCACAGTGCACTAACTGCTACACTACCACTCCCCATACGTACATACACACACACATTGAATGTGCTTACCAGGGCGCATGTACAAATGCTTGTTTGCATTGACATTCCGTTGGCAATTGTCCAAAAGATCATCACCAACATCTAGATGAACACGGAGATTGATTGTAAACGTATGCACTCAGAGATTGACAGGCACATTTGGCAAGAAAGTGTATACGTGTGCTGCACATATGCACACAATTATAGTTAAATATAAACGCTGATGTTGGGGCGAATGTGCTCATGCACAATTGTAATTTACATTTTATATTGCATTTTATATATATACAGTAAAATTTAAAATCTTTATCCAGGAAAGTTTTACAGAGATTTCAAGATACTTTTTAGGAGGCATACATTGGGTTATTTGGCCAGTTCCCTGCTGAGTATATTTAATGTGCCGAGTGAAAATCCACTCATATATATACACACAAGTGTAAACACTCTGAACTAATTTGACGAAGATAAACTAATATAAACCTACTTGCTGTACTACATTATGCAGGCACCACATCATCGACCACAGTGTGTATATGGGCCATATGGAACACATGCAGACTCTCTAAACACAAATCACAAGACAGTAGTTGTCAGCCACGTTACAACTCGTTTGTATTTTTTGTAATTTTCTCCGTTTTGTTCGTGCAGATTTCTAAATCCGATCACCCTTAATATGACAATAGCATTACGTGCGCAGGTCATTTGGAAGGAACAGATTCTCGCACGTGTGTATCAGTGCACCTTTAAACGACCAATAACCGTGGTTCATTCATCATGGCCACCAGCACTCCCCTGGACGATCCGTCATCTTATGGACGGTCAGAGGCCACGCGAGTCCCAGCGTGGCGGTGCAGTGCGGTGCGGCATGGAAACTTGGACCTGTGCAGTAGACGGTGCGGGCGAATGTGGCGGCCACAATGCTGGTGGCGCCGGTGCCCGCGCCCAACTCGAGTGCCGTGACCCCGCAGAACTCACGCCGGTGCTGGAGGAGGTAATCGCCGAGCAGGAAGGCGCCGCGCCATACCTGCAGGGCAAAGGCCGGGCAGGTGGTGAGGGGACAGGAGGTGGGGGGGAACAAGGGTGACTCGCACATTATTGTCTAAGTCAGAATCTTAGTCAGAAATCTGAATATTTACTCAGAATGGAGGAATCACCGTTGTTCCCCTCTTTGTCATCGTGTCTTTGTGTTTACCGTTGAAGACAAAGTTAACTTGATAAGTTAATTTGAGAAACAATGTGGCATTTATGTCCCCGCGGCTAAAAATAGGGGAGGATACACTATCAATGCCGCAAAGTTCGTAGGAGAATTTTCGTGAGAAGTATGTACCTGCTTTCCAACATCATCCAGACATGTTCCCATCGTGTGTTCTGTGTAGCAGAATGAAAACATATCAAGAGCAATGAAAACAGTGATTATAGTGTACTTTAACTGAGCCATGCTAAATAAAACAATAAACATCCGAGGGTCTGGTTCACCATGTATAACTCAATGGGCCTTATGAACCAATGTTTTCCAGCAGGATTTAAGGAGACATAATAAAAATTGGTCCCAAATTCTTGGAAGATATATTTTCATTTACTTTTCGTATGGGGAAGAAGACCCTTGTCTATTATTGTATCATTCACAATCAGTTGTGATGGAGTATAATACATCTCAGGCATGGGTGATTCTCAAATTTAATATTAAGCTAAGGATGCTGCCAATAACGGTAACACTATAGTCTTGCCACGGCTGTGACGTCTAACGATCTTTGGGACCATACCTATTCGCAGTGTATCACTGGCAGTCTGTCCCTCCTCATCATCCTCATCCGCCTCCTCGTCTGTCCAGCGTTCCGCCTGGCTCAGCAGCACAGGGTGACTCAGCGGCCGATCGTTGGCACGGCCAGCCCTTTCGCCAACAACACTGACTGAGTCACGGGGCTTCCGGGCAACCAGGAGGTCTCCGTCCTCGTCCAGCAGGCCACTGGCGTCGCTGGCACCACTGGGCGTCTCGCTTCGCCACTCTTCACACGCTTGGGAGGGAATGGTGGCGCTGTCGTCCGTGCAGATGCTTGATGTCGGTGGTGGGAAGCAGCCATCTTCATGGGCAGTGCCCCACAGAATCTTGTACTTGGACACGTAAACTGCCAAGTGAATTATTCAATGTGTGAATACGCGAATGCGCACGATGAGTGAATACTCCCAACATTTCATTTCGAAATACGGGAAGGAGCGACGATTAAATATTACTGGATCGGTACTCTGTCACACAAGTTGTACGATGCTGTGTGCGACACTAACAGCAACACACATACCATAGCCTCCTCCTCCACCACCTCAAAATCCCAACGCCACCATCACAACCACCACCGCCACTGCTGCCACACTGACCAGGCTGTCCGACGGCGTTCAGCCGCACCATGAGTCGCCTACTGCTGGGCATGAGCACGTGGATGTCTGAGAGAACCAGATCACTGCGGAAGACGATAGTGTCCATGGTGGTGGCGGCGGAGTCAGTCGAAGCTTGCGAGGCGTCCTCATCTGACAGGGACAGGGGCCGAGTTAGGGGCACCACAGACACAAGCGCCGAGGTCACTCACACTCGCACGCTGATGCTTGGAATAAACATTTACAATGTGTTTTACAAGCATTCTATTCTAATGTTAAAAAAAAACTCCAACGTTTTTGCTATGTACATCTGTACATTTGTAATGATGAAGGGGTATAGTTTGTGGTCAATTCACATGGAATGTGCTTGATCTCCTCAGATTTAGGAGATTAAGCAGGTTTGAGTCTGGATTGTGCTCGGATTGGAGGCCAGCTAGTATAAAAAAGTGCTGTAAGATGCAGAGCTGGGTGTATGCATGTTGAACTTCTTTCACACCGTACGTAGTCAACTGTGATAATCGGAACTGCGGGTAAGGACAACTAAACACAAAAAGCAGTTCTAAAGAAATGTGGTGCACAAAGGAGGGCAATTCAGCGAAATACATGATTGTACTGTACTACATTGCCAGATCTATGCTCCCCACATTTACCAACCCGCACTGACCAGCGTGGTGTAGTTGGCAAAATAATCTCCCACGACCTGCACAGGTATGGTGAAGGGGGTGGGGCCTCATCCAACAGTGGATTGACAAAAGAGCTGTACATTCTGGAAAGGTACGGCAGCTTTAGCAAATAAAATTAACGGACCGATGGAAAGAGTGGTCAGTCACGTTGTAATAGAAATGGTAAAATTAAAATGTAGTCCGCAGTGTATGGAGACGGTCATTCAAAAAGTTACAGCGCCCCCTGCCGTCATGTTTTGCAATGTGTCAATTGTTGACCACAGGGGAGCAGAATTCCACAAACGAACCAAACACCTACAGTACTGGCATTTGAAGGTGACCCATACTTTTCAAGCCAATTTAAGCTCAATAGATGTTTGTGGGTTCAGTAATGTAGAGAGATCGGCTAGAGGTGACGGACGCTTCAAGGCTATAATTGCCTGTGGTATATCACAATAGGATCTGATGAATGTATCTGCGAATGCAGCATTTTGACTGATTTTTGGCGAAATGTCTCAATCACCAACAGTGCAGCAAATCACCAAAGCAAAGTGTTTGAGCAGCTTTGTCAAGGTGTGCAACTTCTGCAATGATTTAATATTGCTCAGGTGATTAAAACTTGGTAAAAGTGACTAAAGTTTATTGCCAACACATCATCGATTACTCTCATTTTGTTTAAGTATATTTTTCATTGCATTTGCTAAAGCTTTTTCTTCGGATATGTAAGGTTGTTAGTATATGCATCGAGGAATCAGGGGAAGTGGGACAAAGGGACATTCGACAAATGTGGGTTGCTGAACCTCTGTGTGATGTGGCTGTAGCCAGGATACATTGATACAAAGAACTTCAAATTAAAAAAAGGCAAATGCATGGCACAGGGCAAGATATGGTGACAGAGTAACATCAGAATCACATTTATGAAACCAAAGAACATTGAAAAAAATGAGCAGAAGAGCAGCCTAGTGGAGTCACAATGGAGAGAGCTACGGATGTTCGTGGGGGAAGGAAAAGTAAGTTGCAAATTTGAAAAGAAAAAGCCAAGAGAGTAAAAGAAATGAAGAACATTTCTTGGGTTTTGTTTAAAGTAGGCGATTACCCTTGGATTGTGAAACTTCTTCATCGTTGTTAAGTTTCTCCAAATTCAAGGCTCTGCTGTAATAACATCATAAAGTAGAAGGGGAAAACGTTTCACAAACACGCAGCATTGCCATCACACGAGCAGTTAATATGTGCAAACATCGCACGCCATGCTTAAACATCCCTTAGAGGTGTTGTGTAATCTAGACATCTGAGATTTCCTTGACTTATGATTGTCAATATTTTATTACTGTTTTGCTGGCTACTTCCACACGACATTATATTGCTCACTTGAAGTAGTATATATTAAACGAAATTAATTGCCGATGAGAGATCAGCCCATCTATCTTATTGTCATGAAAAAATACTCTCAGCAACAATGTCCTGGCTTTAAGAGTGACACTTTAATATAATAATAGGGTTTTTCCCCTCTTTTCTGGCAACAAAACTGAAACCTTTTTACGAGGATTCATGTCTGCATTAACCACAATACCTGCAGTCAAAATGCAAACAAAAAACATACTATGATAATATATGCATTGTCCTTGAAACTGATTGGTCCACACCAAGGGACGGCTTTCTTTTGAGCCTCGACCCAATTGGTGCTCGAACAGATGACGCCAAAAGGTCGAGCACCAATTGGGTCGAGGCTCAAAAGAAAGCCGTCCCTTGGTGTGGACCAATCAGTTTCAAGGACAATGCATATATTATCATAGTATGGTTTTTGTTTGCATTTTGACTGCAGGTATTGTGGTTAATGCAGACATGAATCCTTATAAGAAAGGTTTCAGTTTTGTTGCCAAAAAAAGGGGAAAAACCCCTATTATTACATTTTGGTACTGGCAAAGGAGGTCTAATGATGAAGTGACACTTTAAATTAAGTACAAAAAAAAGTATTGTAACAATTCACCCAGAAGTAGTTCAAGAAGACAAATTGTGCTCCCCGTTCGATTCAAGACTCGTTTCGTTCTGCACCACGAAAGCGACTGGTTTCAGATATCCCTGGCCACTGTTATCGTCAGCAGGAATCTAACTCCGTCCAGTTGGGTTCACGGGACAGCGCGCCAACCACCGCTCGTTTAACGAGCGCTGGCAGTGAGATGAAACTAGCGGCGGTGGAGGTTGCAAGTGGTCACTGACCCACGAGGTGCGTTCATGTGTTCAGTCCTCAAGCACCGTGCTTCACCGCTGCTTCACGACGCCATCCATGCCACCGGGATTCCTCACTCATCCCCCTGTGCAAAATGCGACACGGCACTCGGCTGCACCAGCCAGAAGCCAGCAAATCCACGAAGCATGCAACGTTCACAGGAACGCAGCAGATGCTCTGCGTTGGTATAATCCACGGTGCTTAAAAATAAACGTACTGCGTGTTGAACTTCTTTCGCACCCTACGTGAACAACTGCGCTAATCGGAGATGCGGGAGTGGGGGGGGGGTGTGGGGACAACAAACCACAAACACGGAGATACCACTACTTGTGAACCGGGTATCTGGCTTGACCACCTGAATGTGAGCGTGTAGTCGTTGCTCTGCATTTACATCGGCCATACGACAAACCTGTCAACCCCTCATCAGTGCCTGCCTACGAAGTCCCCATCGCAAGAAACACAAATAGACAAACATTGTGTTGTTGTCCGTATTGAAACGGCTGTACGCCGTATGGACCTGAAAACTCTAAAATTCCCTGCACCAGAATACGGGGGTAAAAACCGTGCGGGTTGACAGGTGTGCGATACGAAAGAAGGGCGCATAGACGCGGGAGCATGGAGGTACAGTACAGTAACAGCACAGCTATGGATCTTGCACTGGTCACCACCTCGTAGCCTGTGACGCCTGTTATGCACGGCGGTGCTACCTCCACGCCACGCTTGGCAAAGTGCACGGCTAAATGTAAGCTAAACGAGTCAAGTAATTTGTTTCCACAGGGCCATGCTCGGGGGTTGATTGAATCAGTGCTGTAAGATACGAAACCCGAAGTTGCAGGGTTGCGGGGGTGGTGTTGCCCGTCCTCTCGTCACAATAACCCTCACCAGAAGTCTAAATAAGCGGACGTGTGACACTTTCAAAAGTTTTCACGATCGCAGTGTTTCTCCTTCCTGGCAAAAAAAAAATCGCAAACCTGTCAACCCCTGCTCAGTGCCCTACCTTATCACAGACCAATTCAGACATTATTGGTCACCCAGTGTGCCCCTTATAAATCTCAACGTTCATCCTAGAAAGTCCCATCGCAAGGGAGAAACACACAAGGCACATTTGTGTGTGCCCGTATTGAAACGACTGTACGTCGCACTGACCTCAAAACTAAATTTCCCTGTACACATTTAACACGTAGGCTTTCGCGACCAACGTCATCCATAATAGAGGTTCCCCTGAACAAGAATACGTGGTTAAACACGTGTGGGTTGACAGACTATGAAAGCAACGCGCTTACGACTCACGGACGCACGCGCGCCGCTGCCAGACTTACAGCGTGCACCGCACTGTACTCGCCGACTCCTCCCCCGTGACCTTTCAACCGGAACGGAATCAAGATAAGCTCCTCCCCCCCCAGCACCCTCTCGACAATAACCACTTCAAGAACAATCTCAAACACCGTTATGTGCACATAGAAAAATGAGTCAATTAAGTATCACATTTTTTTCCTCCCCATTTGAGAACGATACGTCTAATAACGAATAAGCGCAAGTGCGAATGTTGTATCGGATTATTTCTTGGCTGCGGACGCAGACGATTCCGCACCCACCCCCCTCCCCCCACGCAATCCCTTTGCCCATGGCTACGTTAGACGAGGCGGTGATGCGGTCTCGTCCCTTTGGAGTGGTGGGGGGGGGCGTGCGCGCGGTGGCGGAGCGATATAATCGGTGCGTCGCCGGAAGTGACTCCTTTCTCTCCGGGTGTCTCGGTGAGGCTGCAGGCGGCTTTTTTGCGGCTCGCGGTGGAAGCTCGTGATAATCGCAATTTTTAAACAAAATGCACGTTCGAACGCTTGTTAGTGTAAAAGCAAAAGTTGCCGGCCGAATAAGAGAGCCGCCAGAGTGTTTTGGTTTTGCGGGTTTTAGGGGGTTTGTTGCGTTCGCCTATTTGAGAGTGTAGAGGCGGGTAGGCCTAAGGCTTTAAGGCCTTGCGCGGGACACGTGGCTTGCGAGTTGCGAGATTGTGTGAATGTTCTTTTAATTCGTTATCAAAGGGCTAAAATAACTATTGTTGTTACGAAGTTATGTTGTCGGGCGATATAAATTGTAATTTAAACGCGGGATGGAACTGGCAAGTTATGTATGCCGCTGCAAGGGTTTTTGTGAATCGCAGAGCGTTGAGCCAAGAGTGATATCAACAGTAATTGTGTAGACATTACATATCGAGATGCTCCGGAGCTGAATTAAGGGATGAGTAGACGGTTTAAGAAAACTTTATTGGGGGGGGGGGGGGGGGGGACGCGTTATTACAATATTCTCAAGGCCCTTCCACGTGTACTTCGTGACTTGATTATAGTCGCATTTACATTCTTATAGGAGAATAACTGATTCGACTGGCACTTAATACAGTTCTCTATCACGAGCTGCAGTTTTTGTCTCGGCGTTGTGAAATCATTCGACGCGGCTGCAGTCGATGCATTAAGACCGCCCGCATGTTCTAACGGTGGTTGCTGTTTGTGAAGCCATGTGTTTATGGGGATTCCTTACCGTGCAGCGGTACCGATGCTAACCCCTAGTGAACGGTGGCACCACTAAACGCCACAACTGTAACGTAACTTGAACGAATCTCAACTGTGTAATCCCGGGGCCGTCAATTTCACGGCAGTAATGCTTTAATAATGTATTTTTAAAACGGCATGGGTTAATGTTTTTCCGGTCGCTTTCGTTTTGCGTATGTGTCAACGTTCCAGGGCGCTGGATTGCATATACAATCCTGCACATGCATGTTTACGTATCTTACAACTTAAGCGACGTGCTGTTTCGTTCTTTTCCAGAACTTGAGCCACAATGCCGGTGGCCAAGTCGTGGGTGTGCAGTAAGACCTACGTCACTCCTCGCCGTCCATTCGAGAAGTCTCGCTTGGACCAGGAGCTTAAGCTCATCGGTAAGCAAGCGGCAAGGCCGCCGTGATACCTGGCGAGCATCGTCTTATTATCTCTTGCACACTTTCTCACGTTTCTTCGCCTCAACTCCCAGTGTCTCGCGATTCGTATGAACCCGCGTTAGTGCAAAATGTTCAGAAGAAACATGCCTTTTAGTCGATGTACAGCGGTTTTGTTCATCCACTGCTGGATTAGGGCTTTGTGGGCTTAATTTGACCATCGTAGTCTTTATTTAGACTGGTGGAATCCGATGAGCTAAGAAGCTCTTTTTCACAGATGTCCAGTATGGGCGGGTCGGCAAATTACGACAGCATACTTCTACACGATGGTCGGCGATAAACGTGTTTGTGCGAGGTGCTCACTGATCCAAGCACTTTCTCCAGGCTCAGCGCTGCTGAGCTTCTTTAATTCTGTTAAGACTGGGCATGATGGGTTGTGGGTAATAGACTTAAGAGGCGCTTTAAGCCCCTTATTGCATTGCCTACGTGTGTGCACAGGCGAGTATGGGCTGAGGAACAAGCGCGAGGTGTGGCGTGTCAAGTTCACCCTGGCCAAGATCCGCAAGGCCGCCCGCGACCTGCTCACGCTCGACGAGAAGGACCCGAGGCGCCTGTTCGAGGGTGAGCCCCTCCCCGTGGACCCTAAAACGACGTCCCCCTCTACACTGGGGGTTCCTCAAAAGTTCCAGTCCCCCCCCCCCCCGTTTCAATAAAGATTTGGATGTGTAATGTTTGATTGGCGAGGACCTAACAAATGGTATTTTGACAACTTTGGTTATCGTTCGAAATACCATTTGTGGTGAAGTTGCTTACATCAGATGCAGTGGTATGGGAGCAACTTTAGTCACCCCCATTTCCCTTGAGCAGAGTTTAATCCTAGTAAGCAGTCCTAAAGTCATTTTATAGTGCTCTGATCTATTCTGATCCAAAGACGCACCATTCTGGGTCTCTTGGACTCATGGTTGCATATTTTGGTTAGTTACGAGTGCTGAGCAATAGGTGTCCTATGGAGACACTGATCCCTGCCATAGAAGTGTAGGATTTCCCCATCTGACAGGGTCACTAACGGATATGCACATCACCCACCATTCACGTGAGACACCCGCTTATTGGTGGTGCATTCAGAGCTTTTAAACGTTCTGGACTGCTGTCTTGCCAAATGTTGATCCTAATGTGTGTGGTCTGCCCTTACGTAATATAATTTCTACATACCCTTTCTGTACAGAATCTTTGAGATACGGCTGCATTTAGGCTCAATATAATTCCACCTTGTGTTGCACCCGTGCCAATCACAGGTAACGCCCTGCTGCGTCGCCTCGTGCGCATCGGAGTGCTGGATGAGTCCAAGATGAAGCTCGATTACGTGCTCGGCCTGAAGATCGAGGACTTCCTCGAGCGTCGGCTGCAGACGCAGGTGTTCAAGCTGGGCCTGGCCAAGTCGATCCACCATGCCCGCGTGCTCATTCGCCAGCGCCACATCCGGTGAGGGGACGGCCCACCTGTGACTGACAAGTTCGGCAAGGTCAATTCGACGCATGTCGTATACCTTGCGCGTTTTTCGCGAAGCCTCGTGGCCCGCTTTGACAAGGAGGCAGGGCAATGACACCGCCGAGGAGTGAGTATTTGTTACCAAATCTGATAATGCACGCTCAAAGAAAAATGCACCCCAGCGCCAATTAGCTTGTGTAGATGTTTGTCTCAAGGTGCAATTTTTATTATTTGTCATTGACGATTTAAAATGAGTGGCATCACTAAATTGCCATACTGTATTGATTGACTTGACTGGACATTTTAATGTCATTCACTTACCAAGATTAAAACTCCTTGGCGATCAGCCCAAGACAGTCTGGCTGCATTTCTGATGTGAAAGCTCCTTGATTTTGGGCTGAGTTTAAGTATTTAAATATTCATAGAGGTTTTTGGGTTAGAGCGTGTAAATATGTCATTAAAACCCGCCACCATCCGACACAGCCAACTAGTAAGGGTTGTCACGTTCTTTTTACCCAAAAAACCTCTGGATTATATTGGTCGCGAAAGCCTACGTGTTAAACAGTATTGATCTATATTGGCCAAGCAACTCCTTATTAAGTTATCGTCACAAGCCACTGTAAACATTTTGCCTGTTGTGCAAAACCCTTCAGTTTGTTATTTAAAGTAAAGCAACAGAAAACATGACTTTAAGGTGTTTATGCAACTCGCCCTGAACAGTCAGTCCAGGAGAATTGTATTATTAAAATGTCTTTGGTCAGAGTCATCCAGTATAGATGACCATTCAGACTCATTGTTCCAAAGCCCTGACTGCCAGAATATTAAGTGAAAAGATAAAAAAAAAATTAGGTCTGCAACCTGCTTTGTTTTACCACCACCTATTGGGCAGCTTAGACTTGTGGCTATTTGCCTAAAACATGTTGGGTAAAAATAAAAATCCCTTTTTACCTTTCTACCCCAGCAGCAATCCTCAACGAAGCGACATTGCCCCCCCCCACCCCCTAATTATTTGTCGCACGACTGTCACTTGAATTTTCGGTGTTACACAGCAACCGGCATTTCTCACCCCGTGTCTGTGCCGTTGACCGTGCCCCACCCACCACCACAGTGTGCGCAAGCAGGTTGTGAACATCCCGTCGTACATGGTGCGCCTGGACTCGCAGAAGCACATCGACTTCTCCCTGCGCTCGCCGTACGGTGGCGGCCGTCCTGGCCGCGTCAAGAGAAAGAACATGAAGAAGGGCCAGGGTGGCTCTGGTGGCGCGGATGAGGAGGAGGAGGATTAAAAGAGATGGTACCACCTGCCACTTCTCTATTGGCGGTGTGGCATGCACTGATCAGGGGATGGGGCGGGGTCAGCCTGTTGTCTCGTGAAACCTTCGACAATAAACTATCAAATTACACGCTCGCGTTCCTTTGTGCTTGTTTGACTTGACAGTGTGAAATGTCCATTCCTACCAAGCAATGACGTTTATCAGAAACAGACGATGTGGAAAAACTGAAAAGTGTATAGTAGTCCCTCGATTAAGGGTTTTAATCCATTGACGAAAATTACTGTTAACTGAAATAACTCGTATATAGGAATTATACGAGTCTGCAAGAGAGCTGTTCTACTGCCAAAACAGAATATGTAAAACAAAGCCAGTCGAGGTCTGAACCCTCAAATGGGCATCGCTGATTAGCTGAGGCATGTTCAGCCCATTTACGAGCGCTCTGGCCGAAATTGGCACTACGGTGCATAACGGCATGCATACCGTGAAAACCATGAGGGTCCTATGGGAAGTGAAACGTTTACCAAAAACCCGTTAACCAATGTCACTTAATGTAGGGATTGCAGAACTGAACGATTATAAACTTAACAGT